GTTCACTGCGGTTAGTTACAAATTATATGAATTTATTTCAATAGCTTACCTAGTTGCATATGAGAATTTATTAGCAATATCTTATGCAAAAGATAAGGTAAACCATATTCATTTACAGAGTTTTGGTAACTTTGCTAATAACATTACCACTTAATTTTACAAAAACAAATATATCTACGTATTTTTTTAAAAAATATATAAAAATTCTAATATATTTTCAAGTTTCTGATATGATAGAAAGTTTATAATCGTTTAATTCTTGTTATTCATAAATTTATAATAGATTTATGTCTAGGTATGTCCTAGAAGATTACACACCAATTCAACCTATATTTTTTGTATAAAAAATAACGGTTTATATGAATACACTGTATAATATTAAAAAAAAACAGTACTTACATTACGGTTGAAGCAGTAAATCACATCATTTTTCTAAAACTATCACACAAAATCAAGAAAAACACTACGAAACTCTATAAACAATATAGACAAATGAATAATTATCAATTTGTCAAATATTGAAAAATATAACTCAAGATTTTCCATGGCACTCTTAATAATTTATCCTAGCGATCTATTGGAAATATAGAGAATTTTTAATGAAAATAATCTAAAGGTATGTTCACACTAATATTATAGAATAAATAAAATGTTTTTATACAGGATGTGCTAGTTTTTAAAGGGAAAACATATTAAGTTCCTATAATTTGAAATTTTTATCAGATTTTTTATTAAATATGCAAGAAATACCTAGTAGGGCACATTTTAGAAATATTTTTACAGATGTATCTACTGGGTGAATCAAATATATTTATACTCTAACTATCAAAAACAACTACAACTATTAAAACTGTCGTTTTTTGAAATGAAATACTATAGATTCTTATTGTTTGGTGACTTTTTTGTGAATACCGAGTGATTTTTGAAATACGGTCATTTTTGTACTTATTTTCCTGTACACTTAAAAGTTTCCTAATAAAAAACAGCAAATTTTATATTTTTTTTTAATTGGGAATATTTTATGATAGGATCTTTTCTCGCATGGTGTATACAGGGTGAGAAAAAAACTAGATATTGTATTTTCCTTCATTAGTTCAAATAAATCATTCTGTATTTTTATAAAAATAAAAGAAAATACTGAAACTTAGATACTGTTAGTGTTTTTTTTTATAATTATTATAAAATTGAATATCAAAAAACATATTATATTTATAATTATTACAAATTAATGAAGAAATTTACTTATCAGGTTCCAAACTGCTTCCTCCGTTAAATAACTAGAATTATATTTGACATTTAAATACCTACTTCGCAGTTGTATGTACTCGTTTTGTTGACGTAAAAAAAATAAACCATAATTTTATAAAAGTGGTCCAGCTGGTTTCATAGACATTAAAAACAATAGCATTCCAAAAAGTTTGCAATGTTTTTGCAAGTAATTTTTTATCAATTAAAGCTACCTAGTGATTGTCTCATATTTTACTCCTAAAAGAAGCATCATCATTTTTCAACCATTTCCAATTATGGTGTAGCCTCTCTCACATATTTAGACTCTATTTACTCTCTTTATACACTTCCCCAATAAATTAACGCACCACAAAAAAATAACCAAAAGTTTAAGTTAAGTTTTTGTCAAAACCACTTATCCGATTTGGACGATTTTTTTTTGAATGATAGGTTATTCTTTCCACAATGTTGCTATATTAACTATATTTTGATAGGAATCCTTTTTATACTAATACCGGGTGTAGCAATTATAACGTGTTTTTTTAATAAAATTTGTGACACCCTGTAGAGTTGATCAGTTACAGTATCAAGTTAAAATTGAAATCACATTTTAGCCTTATCTTTTTTTTACATTTTGTTTTTTTGTTTACTCCATTATCTTCCTTATTACACGAGAAACAACATTTTATAGGATGATATGATTTAATATTGGTTATAATTAACATTTTTCCATTTTACTCACTAAAGTAAGTAGCTGGCTATGGAAAAACACGGATTACCAGTAAATGTCAAATAGAGATGCTAGTTTCTGTGCAAACTTGTAGACCATTAGTATCTCTGAGCTGAGTTTGAAGGATCCGAGCTGTTACGAAACGTCGTCTTAATGTTGAGAGTTTTAAAAAACGTTCCTGAATCGGATTGGTTCTTCGATTCCTGCCTTGTCCCGGCCTGCCCATTACTCCCAGTATCTCTATACCGTTGTATAACTCGTGAAATGGTTGAGTGAATTACATTAAATCGTTCACCAATTCTTGGGTAGCTCCTACCTTCCTCAGGCAATATTGAGCACATTCTTTGCCAGTAAGATTTCTTATTTCACGTGCACGTTGCATATTTTTGATATAATAAAAGGACGAAAACGACTGACACTGACAACAAGCATCTCTATTTAACATTTACTGGTAACCCGTGTTTTTCCATAGTCTGCTTTAGTGAGTAAAATGGAAAAATGTTACTTAAAACCAATATTAAATCATGTCATCCAAAAAATGTTGTTTCTCGTGTAATAAGAAAGATAATGGAGTAAATAAAAAAACAAAATGTAAAAAAAAGATAAGGCTAAAATGTGATTTCAATTTTAACTTGATACTGTAACTGATCAACTCTACAGGGTGTCACAAATTTTATTAAAAAAACACGTTATAATTGCTACACCCGGTATTAGTATAAAAAGGGTTCCTATCAAAATACAGTTAGTATAGCAACATTGTGGAAAGAATAACCTATCATTCAAAAAAATCGTCCAAATCGGGTAAGTGGTTTTGACAAAAACTTAACTTAAACTTTTGGTTATTTTTTTGTGGTGCGTTAATTTATTGGGGAAGTGTAGTTGGGCCTATAGTTGTCTATTGTTAGTATATCGTCTATGCTGTCTATGTTACTAATATCATGGTGCCATCTCCGGTTTGGTTTTCCTCTAGTACTCGTAATTCCTCGTGGATACTATGCTGTAAGTTTTGTGGTTCATTTGTTGTCCATCCTTCTTGCCAGGTGTCCTGCCCATTGCTCCTTGAGGGATTTGGTTCTGTGGATGACATCTATTACCTGGGTCTTTTGTCATATCCACTCTATTCTTTTACGGTCTCTCTTGGTTATTCCCAGCATATTTCGTTCCATTGAGCGTTGTGCTCAGTTGCAGTTTGAGAGATTGATCAACTGCAGTTTGAGAGATTGACCGGGACCCAACCAAATAATATACAAACTGTGATAAGAGAATGTGATATTTTTTGTGATTCAGATATAATAAATGCTGCCAAAGATATAAAAATTAACAAATCTTCGGGCTGTGATAATTTGCCACCAAATGTGATAAAAACGCTAATATTGGACAATGTAGAATATTTTAGAACATTTTTCAATAACTTTCTTCAGAGAAATGAATTCCCTAAAGAATGGAAGAGATCCAAATTAACCCTAATAGAGAAACCCCGGAAGCACCTAAATGATCCACCAAAATATCGTCCGATTTGCCTCATCGATGTAATCGGGAAAGTCTATGAGAAACTCATCAATACGCGACTCTTGGAAGAAATTAGGAAGAAACGAAATGGTATGCATCCAAACCAGTATGGATTTGTAAAGGGGAAATCTACCCCACACATGCAATGAAGAAAATATCGGATATCGTGAAAAGAAAAGCCACTTGGCATAATGCTTTGATTTTAGTCGACGTTAAAAATGCATTTAATTGCGCGTCATGGGAAATAATTATTAAAGAACTTAGAAGATGGGACATAAGTGGCTATTTGGTGAACATAATAAGAAGCTATCTTGATAATAGATTTAGAGTTCTCAATAGAGAAGATGAAAGAGAGGTATTCGGTGGCGTCCCACAGGGCTCGGTGCTGGGGCCAACCCTGTGGAACATATTATACGACAGTGTCATGGAGCTTACTCTATCAGGTGGGACAGAGTTGATCTGTTCGCCGATGATCTTGCTGTGATAATAACAAAAAAACTAAAAGAAACAAAAAAATAAACGACCTCGACCTAATGCAGAATGTGGATGATACACTAAAGATCATAGCCAGATGGATGCGTGAGCACAGACTCGAAATAGCTGTGGAAAAAACAGAGGCGATTTTACTGAGCCGCAAGAGAAAAGTTGACCATATAAGGTTTAATTTTAAGGATATAATAATAAATCCAGTAAAGCAAGTCAACTATCTTGGATTCCACATAGACCGTGCACTCACGATGGGCCTGCACATCAAGGAGGTGTGTCTGAAATCACAACGAACTGCTAAAGCGTTGTCCGCAATACTGCCAAACGTTCGGGGCCCAACACCAGCAAAGAGAAGAGTGTTAGCATATGCGTGCCAGAATATTATTATGTATGGAACAGAATATTATTATATTACGTGGAACGAAGCAACCAATATGCACGGAAATAGAAAAAGACTTGAAGGTGCACAGAGAGTCATGGCTTTGAGGGTCTGCTCGGCGTATCGGACAACTTCAACTGAGGCAGCCTTGGTGATATCGGGTCTGGTGCCCTTGCATCTTCTCTCAAGAGAAAGAGAACGACTCTTTCTCAAGGGTGAAGTACAAACCAGGGCAAGCAGAGAGATGGAGAGAAACCGTACAGTGCAGCAGTGGCAGGCAGAATGGGAAGTATCACAAAAAGGAAGATGGACATATAAGCTCATTCCAAATATAAATATGTGGATTAAAAGAAAGCATGGAGAGGTAAACTTCTATCTTAGTCAAATATTGAGTGGCCACGGAAATTTTGGGAGTTACCTGTGTAAAATTGGAAAGAGGGAAGTCGCGGAATGCCGATACTGTGCTGAACCCAATGATACTCCAGAACACACAATGTTTGCTTGTCCAAGATGGGAACAGGAAAGATGTGAGGCACGCATGATGATTGGTGGCAACATTTCCGCAGATACCTTCTTAAAATCGGTAACAGAAAGAAGAGAAAACTTTGAAGCCATCTCAAAACTGGCCCAAAATATACTAGAGGCAAAATATAGCGAAGAGCAGGGGTAATGACAAAAAAGGAACAGTCCGGCGTCTACTTGAGGAGATGCGTCCAGCGGGTCCAGGTAGACGTGGCAGGAGCAAGGGGGTGACGTTTAGTGGGTAGTGTCTTCCAGGCAGCTTAAGGAGAGATTGAGTCCCACACTCCGTACGTAAAGGTATTTTACACCTCCAAAAAAAAAAAAAACCTGCAGTGTCATTTTACACCTCCAAAAAAAAAAAAAAAACCTATAATGTCCGTTTTAAGTGTCCAGGTTTCGAATGTATAGATCATGACTACTAGTACACATTGATCGAATGTGTTTTCTTCTTTATATAAAGTGGCACCTTATACGTAATAATCTATACATTTCAATATCTATAGGTGGTACGGATGGTAAACTTCTGGTCATCAGAAAGCATCGAAAAACGCATTTTTCGACCACTGTGTGGCCTTCGGTAGCCTTGAAATTTTTGTCTCAAGGTCTCGTCAAACGGAGAAATCGAAAGTAAACAGATTCGTACGCCACAAAAATACCCGGTGGTACCACCAAACTGACCAAAAGGTGGTACTAGATTCGAAATTTGGCGCAAAGGAGTCCGCCAACGCCCTGTGGGCTTTCCGGAGCGACAATGAACTTGTCGTCTGAATGTCAAGGTTAGTATTAAGTCCGGAACATCGGAGATCCTATTCAACGGGACATGGTTCGTAGATTCTTAATAATTACAATATTAAATAAAACTAAATAAGAAAACAAGATTTCTTTACTAAAGAACTAACAAATACAGAGAGCAAATAGATTAGTTTCACAGATTCTAATGATAATCATAAAAATAAAACCATATTTTTCTTAGACAGGTACAACGAAAGTTTACCACTTATTGTCTAACATATTGCAGCAAAAATGTATTATTCTTAAATGAAAAATAATAAAATGCCAATGTATGTGCACCCTAATTTTGGCCTAAGGCGTTTAGCAGGGATGTGTCTTAGAGCCTCTCCTATTGAATATATTCATGGTAGCACTCTCCATTATAGTGGACAGCAAACTGCAGGAGAGAGGTTTGGGCATTAGATACAGATACGACGGCGCTCTGTTCAACATAAAAAGACTCAGGGCAAAAACACGAACAAAATTCATTACAGAACTTCAATACGCTGATGACTGTGCTCTAGTTGCAAATACGTTACAGCAATTGCAAGAAATGTTGAACACATATACATGGGCAAGAAATGTTGAACACATATACGAGGCTTTGGGACTTAAGCTGAACATCGATAAAACTAAAATCATGTGCACTCCCCCGGAAGATCACAACAATGCTATATAAAAATGGAGAACTACTGGAATATGTAGCGGAATTCAATTACCTCGGCAGTTTGATTTCGGAAAAGGCCAATATCGACTCTGAAATTCAACACAGGATTAGCAGCGCCTCAAGGGCATTCTGGAAATTAAAAGACAGGGTTTTCTACAATCGTGACTTGAGCACAAAAACGAAACTTGCAGTTTACCGAGCAATAATAATTCCCAACATGTTATATGAACAGCGACAACCAAAAAATAAAGAGGCAACAAAGCAATGAGATTTTTGAATGTCCGGAGTGCGGTAGACAGATAACATCACGTATCGGGCTTTTCAGTCACAGAAAAGCTCATGAAAGAAAACGCCTTGCGTGACTATCTTCTGATGCGTGTCAAATACTCGTCAGCGAGTAATGGCAGTAGTAGTAGTACCCTAATTTTGGGGATCCAATAACTCCATCAAAAATATCCTTGTTTCATCTTTTAATCTCTGTAATTCCGTGATCTGGGTAAACGCCGATATTTACGAAACATATTTGTTTTCTACAAAACATCCTGTTACTTTCATTAGGTCTACTTTTGCTTAGCACTTGCCTTAATAATTAAAATTCACACATACAATAGACTAAATAACTGCTTTAAAAAGAACATAATGCAATGTGAGTAAAACATATATCAATGCAATCTGGAATATGTACAAAAATCCAAAAAGTATGATCAGACAGGTTCCTATCGGATTCCTTCCTGACATCTAAAGGACTTAGCCAGGGGTGCAGTTTATCACCTACCTTATTTAAAATATATATCCAGGAGGCATTGAAAAACTGGAGAAGGGAGAGTAGAGCTATAGGAATAGAGATTGACAACCACTGTCTATCGACCTTGTTCTTTGCAGACGACCAAGTTATTGTTGCAGGTTGTGAGGAGGATGCCGACTATATGTTGAGGAAACTTGAGGAAGAATACGACAGATGGGGACTCAATATCAACCTCACAAAAACCGAATACCTGAAAGTAGGAGAAGAACAAACTGAAGATCCTGAACTACACATACATGAAATTAAAAGATGTAGCGAATATAAATATTTAGGAAGTATTATATCTGAAGAAGGGAACTCCAAGAAAGATATACATAGTAGAGTTCAACAAGGTAAGAAAGTAATCGATCTTTTAAACCCTCTTCTGTGGTTAATTAAAACATCCATCCAAACAAAGATAAGGATTTACAAAGCAATCGTAGATCCAATTTTAACATACAGTGCCGAATGCTGGCAATTTACAGCAAAAGAAAGAAGGATGGTCGAGTCAGTGGAGATGGACTTCCTCAGAAGAGCATGTCGCTGTACTAAGAGCATGCATGTAACTTTTTCAAGGACCGATACGTTTGAAACACGATGGAACCATCGGATTCTTAAGAGTTGTCTAAGAGGTTTCTGTTGCAACCTGTTTAAAATGCGTTATTCATGTGTCGGCAATACGGCACCCATGTTTCGGTCCCTTATAACATGGTGGGAATTATTATTGCTCGGTACACTGCAAGTTTCGTTTTTGTGCTCATCTCATGATTGTAGAAAACCCTGTCGTTTAATTTCCAGAATGCCCTTGACGGGCTGCTAATCCTGTGCTGAATTTCACAGTCGATATTGGCCTTTTCCGAAATCAAACTGCCGAGGTAATTGAATTCCGCTACATATTCCAATAGTTCTTCTCCGATTTTTATAGTATTGTTGTGATCTTCCGGGGGAGTGCACATGATTTTAGTTTTATTGATGTTCAGCTTAAGTCCCAAAGCCTCGTATGCCCAGGTATATGTGTTCAACATTTCTTGCAATTGCTGTAACGTATTTGCAACTTTTGAGCACAGTCATCAGTGTATTGAAGTTCTGTGATGAATTTTGTACGTGTTTTTGCCCTGAGTCTTTTTATGTTGAACACACCGCCGAAAATGACGAACATCGAACATACATTACACAATGGGAAAATATGAGGAATGTACCAAATTTATGCTGCAGTTACAAAGATACTCCAGTTTACGTTACTGAGAGTACCTAATTATTGAAGAAAAAGAAGAAATGTTGCAAAATAAATATATCCGTTAAAAGATAATTGTTTTGATATTTTAACTTTGCAAAAGAAAATCATATATGTATATCACATATATTTATACTTTCTTAATCTTATTTCAAAATGTTACAGATACGCGATAGTGGTACTAATGATACTGCTTGTTTGTAATAAAATAACCGGCTGGTTTGTTGTTATTTAATTTGCCGTCTTAAACAAATTAGTTGCAATAATAAAATGGTAGATATACGAATAACCCGCGAGCAGCCGTTGCTAAAACGGAGCTGCTGGTGCCGCTGCCAGCCGAAGAGATTGTAGTCTTTTGGAAAATGTCAAGGATGTCGACAAAGTACCGAGCGGTATCGATAGTACCCAGTAGCGGCTTTCTGGGTACCTACGTAGCCGGTACGCGAGCAGACAGCTCCGGTTTCAATGGACATGACGGAGAAATAATATGTGTAAAGAGATACGGGGGCAATGAGACTGTAGATTACCATATAGAATTGTTGAAGAATAATGTTACTAGCACGGGAACAAAAATAAAATTCTACACTCATGAACAAAATTATCAAATATTTTATAATAATAATAATAGCTCCCGTATATAGCGTTTGACGCCTTGGGAATAGCAAGGTACAGGGTGGGTCAAATTCGACGCTTTTAAATGGAAACATTCTTTTCTATAGGAGATAGACGAAAACTAATATCGCTGTCTGGAGCTCAATTTTCATCAAAAACATGATGGTGAAACCGCACATCAATATCTGTTACCGTTTCGGAGTTACAGGGTGTTTTTCAAAAATGTGCATTTTTAACAAATCGCTGTAACTTTTTTGCTATGGAAAATTTTGTACTTCTATGAAAACATTTCCAAAGCACCTTTTTACGTAGAATTTAATGGTTTAAGTATAATTTTTTTTTAATTAATAATTTAAGAGTTATCAGCAGAAAAAATGATTTTTTATTTGGGACACCCTCTATATTTTTAATTAACTGAAAAGAATTTAAAATTACCTTTCCAAAAATATAGCACACTTGATATTTTGTTATAATCCCCTTCGAAATACAGAATTTTTGAAAGTTCGCCACTTTTAACTAGTAGGCTTTGGACCCCTTATTGATGATATGCCCTTAATGGAACTCGAAAACATATTTTTCCAGCAAGACGACGCACCGCCTCTGAACGCTGAAGTTATCAGCAAATTTTTGCAGCCAATTTCAAGAATAAACATCACAACCAAGATCCCAGCCGTTGGCCGTCGAGGGCGCCTGACTTAGTGCCCATAGATCTAATCCTATGGATATATTTGCGGAAGAATAAAGGTTCCTTATTCTTCTGTATAATCTAGACAAGAATTAAAAGTATTTAGCAGTTATGAGAGGGTATCTTTCACCCTCACTGAGTTAATGAATTCCGCGAGAAATGTTCAAAAACTGCCCCGTCTGTCCATAACAGAAGACGGTCGATATGTCGAACACCTGTAGCAAAATCTCATGTCTTGGTTTGCTAGTTATTTTTATTGTTATTAGATATAGTTTAGATGTGTTGATGTTGGTTAAATATATTTTAAATTGTTACAAAATTCTGCATCTCTCATAGCAAAAATATTATTTTCGTTTTAATTGATGCTCACAGCTAGAATTTTTTTGCATTACAGCCGGTGCCGTTCAAAGCCTACTTATTTAAAGCGAGCGAATTTTTATATACTCTCTATCTCGAAGTGGAATCGAGCAAAATATCAAGTGTGTTATATTTTTGGAAAGGTAATTTTAAATTATTTTCAATATATTAAAAATATACAAGGTGTCCCATATAAAAAATCAAATTTTCTGTTGATAATTCTTAAATTATTAATTTTAAAAAAATTATACTTAAACCATTAAATTCTACGTAAAAAGGTGCTTTGGAAATGTTTTCATAAAAATACAAAATTTTCCACAGCAAAAAAGTTACAGCGATTTGTTAAAAATGCATATTTTTGAAAAACACCCCGTAACTCCGAAACGGTAACAGATATCGATGTGGGGTTTTCACCATCATGTTTTTGACAAAAATTGAGCTCCAGACACCGATATTAGTTTTTGTCTATCTCCTACAGAAAAGGGTGTTTCCATTTAAAAGCGTCGAATTTGAACCACCCTGTACAGTTTGCCATACTAGAGCCGTTCGGTATACAAGGAAGGTAATGTGGCTAGCACTACGCTTCAACCGCCTATTATTACCTCAGGATTAAGTACTAATTTAAGGCTGAGTCGACCTAGGTAGCCAAACTATTTTTATTTTAATAAAAATAGTCGGCTGATGAAATGCCGGGTGTGGGATTCGAACCTACTACCTTGAGATTGGTAGACGAGAGCCTGTACCTCTACGCCACCGGGCACCTTTCGAATATTCTAAATTTTCAAAATTTTTTTCACGTATATAAATTTTAATGAATAATATTCAACAAACAAGAAAGAACAATGTATTTTACACATTTTAAATAAGGAATATTACATTATTATTGACAGTAAATTGTAAAAAAAATAATGGTTAATTTATGAAAATGAAGGATAGTTAGTTTCAACTTAAATGCTTCAAAACTAAGTAAAACCTTTTGAATGAAAAAATAGGGAATAGTTAATAACGATTATTCCCACCTCGAGCTCTAAATGCTGCTTGCATCCTTCTCGGCATGCTGCTAATTAAAGTTTGAATATATTCTTGTGGAATTGCATTCCACTCGTGTTCTATCGCATATCGAAGCTCTTCTAGTGTATAATGCCCAATGGGATTTAAGTCTGGGCTATATGGTGGCCAATGGGGTTGGCAAAGGTTTTATACCAAATGGTATAATTAGTATTATACTTGGTATTATACTTTGTATTTAACTTATCCAGGTATTATACCAAATTGTATTAAACTATTAAATATCAAAACATTGTCTCACTGCCACGCCACTTTAGACAGCAAGATGCCAAAAAAATAAATGACCTGATTCGTCAAAGGGAAGATTTTGCGGTTACATCCACGCACAATTTGACCAATATCTTAGATCCCAGATTTGGTGGACAGTCGCTTAACGATACAGATAAAACCGAGGCCGTTTCGAATTTAGAATTTTATATAAAAGAATATGGATTTTGGGAAAATGAACCACGACGTTCATACTTTAAATATATACAAAAATAAGGCCCTTTTAAACCCTGTCTATACTGGGATGCCAAGAACACGTCCAATCCAGTCACGTGGTGGAAAATGTTCCAGCATTTTTCAGAGGTTTCAGATCTTAGGCAGCTGTAATTTTTTTAGGAAAAAATCTAGTCGGCCGCTGTCACTTTTTAGGATGTTTCTAATATTGTTTTAATTGACATTACCCTACTGCAATACGTTATTATCTAGATTATTATTATTATCATTATTATCACTAGATTCTTAATCTAAAAATATTTTTAGTCCTGACATGAAATGCTTTATATTTTATTTTTTAATTTCAAATCGGTAAGTTTTATAAAAAAAATACAAGAGATAAAAAAGTTTCTAAACAAACTAAACTATCCAAAGTAATTTGTATGTGTTTGATAAGATTTTTCTTTAAATTTCGTTAACAAGAATGATAGGGGTAGTTTATTTCAATCCCTTCCACTCATTTTAAAAAAGTGAAAAAATTACCAGACAGTGTGTTTTCATAACAGTAATGCTTCCATAAAATTTCATTAGTCTATCTCTTTTCGTTTTCAAGATAAAAAAATAAGAACATTATTTTTCCGCCATCTTTGTACCGCGATATCTCCCTAATGGTTGACTTTTGACCCAACGTTTATGAAGCAAACTACCCTTTATTTTGAACAAGGAATCTCCCCCTGAAGTTTTTCGCATTTGTTTTGAAACACCCTGTATATTGACAATTTCTAATGTTTTTTCTTCTTAATTTTTATTTTTAGATGGAGGAGTTGGATAATGCCACGTTAGAGGAGGAGGAAATAGAATTGGATACACTCCCAGGCCGTAGCTTTCCAGAGACGAACAGTGTCAAGGGAGTTGAAACTATGTGTTATCTGTGCTAGTACTTATTGATAATAGATAACAATATAAACCTGCCTTTAAGATGGCAACGCAATAATGGATTGCCGTCATTTCAACCTCGAAAAATGTGGCATCCTTGGATAGGGTTACTGGTACAACTATCTCTTTTTCAAATGCGCTTTCTGTCGTTCTTAGACCATCTCTACACCACGTTGAACCACTGTGAATATATTTTAAGGCATGCCACACAAATTTAGTTATAGAAGAATATTTTATTAAGAAGAACTAATAAATAATCCAGACAGCTTTACAAGTTTTAACTCTCGCTAATTTCGTTTTCAGTGTTTTTAATGTGGTTATTAATTATATCGAACTGATTGTTGCCGGAGCGGTTTGCGGCGTTGAAAAATGTGGACAAAAAGCCGTAATAATGTCAGACTGGCCGGTCCGACTGTCCTTGAGCGGCTAATAAGAGCGCGATCTTATTTCACATCGAAAAATATTCAGGATTTCATTACGCTCTGAATTAGTTTGGTTGCAAACAAACAATAAAAAATTCTGCCAAGACCTTTCTTAAGATCCGGGTACTGTTTTTGGAGTGTTATCGGTGCTTGAAATAAACAGGTTAATGCATTTTTCTGGAAACATCTGTAAACACGTATTTATACGAGTTTACAGATGTGTATAAGGTAGTATAGTGTATAAGGTAGTATTATTTTTATTATTGCAACACAATAACTGATCAATAAATAAACTTCGGTAAAAATTAAAAGTATTAAAAACTTTGATACCCTTGGAGAAATGAAGCCTTAAAATTTTTACTGCAATTTCACAAAATTGAAAATATTTCAAAAACGGTAAGATTTAAATGTAATAAACCTTAATCAAATTTACTTTTATTTTAATCGTAGAAACTAAAAATGTAATAATATACAGGGTGTTCTATTTAAGAAAATAAAACTTTGACATTTTTTATTTATTTGGGACACTCTGTATCTTGTAAACATATTTTTAAATTGTAGCTCTAATTGTATTTGTAAAAATCTCATCGTTTAACTACAATACTCCGTGTCGTATGTGGTGAATAACCCTGTATATTTTTCTTCTCTGTATTTTTCTTTTAGTTCTAGTTTTTTTACGTAATAAACTTTCTGTCAACTATAGCTAAAATCTTTGGCAGTTTAAAGTACAGCTTTACGCACTGTCGTCATGTTAACTCAATTAGCAGAAGCTTTTTGATGACAAATGTGTAAACATAGAATATTCTTATCAAGTCTGACCAAGTTTGAATTCCTCTAATTTGATCAGTTCAGATCATACAGGGTGACAAATTAAAAAGTGGCATTTGCATATTACTCGAAAAAAAAACCTCTTCTTATGGCGTTGGTATAAAAATAGGACGCAGATGTTGTTTGTTTTTCGTTGTTAATTATGATTATGTAAATTTCGGACATCTCTCCGACTCGAGGCGTGATTTAATCGTTAGATAATACGATTACTGATGTAAATTGGATCGAATAGTGATGTGTAACAATATCGACATTTTTGAAATATCGATATCGGTGTGCAAAAAATTGTTATCGAAATTTTAAAATACATGGACATGTATAACAGTTGGATGCACTGGCGTGTGCATCGTTAAGTGTAAATCATATTAACCTGACGCGCTTGAATTTTTATAACAATCATCTTTTTACTATCGTCTGTATAAAAGGTATGTGTGTGTGTATTTTAGGGATACTTAAAAATGGCGCAAGGTTTCTCCCTTTATGTTATACCGCAGCGAATGAGTAAATCCCAAATCCCATAATCACCGCTTGGACTATTATCGATGTTTTTCTTAAACTGGACATCCCTAGGCAGAAGTATCGTTGCCATCAGTGATGTAATAATGGTATGAAAGAATCAGAGAGTATGCATTCCTGACGCAACCTAATATCTGCTGTCGATTCTTTTGTGTTTAAAATCGCTACACTTAAAATTGAATATTTCGTTTTGCATAATAACATTATACAGATAGAGAAATATCACTGGGTTTTAATACCAGGGCTGTCACATAAGTGTTTAAAGTTTAATTTTATTCTAATCTTATTTTTAAGTCATTTTTTTGTCGTTTAAACGAACCTTTGTTCTAATATTTATGTATCTAAAGCTGGCTGTATGAACTGATCCCTAAAATATCGAAAAACTTGATATATAATCTAACTGACAAACCACTGACAATGACAAATAATTAATTTCTGGAGGTATTGTGTGGTGTTTTTCAGGTATGTTTTAATATTTAGTCGATTTACACAAAGAAATAGCCATTCAACAATTTAAAAATACTTCATAACAAATCTAGACATATATAGGTACCTTTCATTTAAAAAAAGAATCATCAAGATTGGTAAAGCAGTTTCGGCGGGATGGATGTAACAAAAAAACCCTTTGAGCTTTTATATATGTATGTATGGATTTCTTTTGGCCACACACCCGCTTTACCCGACCCCTGAGAGCGACCCGAAACCCGAACAGTACAGCGTAGTAGACTCTTAATATTAATAATATAAAAAAAACATTGTATTCTGACAGGAAATGACGCTATATAATTTAAATGTACGAAATATCATAGGATTATTATAACATTATCAACAGTTATAAACAAAGACCGGTTAAATCAAAATGCTATTTTAGCAACCGAATATCAATAAAACAGGCCATTAAACGTAAACTATTTATAATCTCTACCAAAAGTGAATGATTTTGAAAACCATTCGATCAAGAATTTCTTGTAGACGTTTCAAAATTGTCTAATTATCTCCATTTTATAATAAAAATACGACTTATTAACATTGGTTCTTTGAGATAGCCAGCAAATTAAAAATGCGAAAACAGTATATCTATAGTAAATATGCTAATTCATATGAATGATACGGATGTTGTAAAAATATTCCGCAAAATTTACAATTTATGAACGATAAAACCACTGTTAATAATTGTAATTAATAATAGAAAAAAATAATAGTAAATAATGCTGACTGTTTTATAAATATATCTAATGGTGTTATGGTGTTATCATATCAATAATTAAAGAAGTTCAGATAAGGAAAACAATTAAAATTAGACAACATATTTTAAGAATTAAAATATATCACAGGAAAAAAGATTTTTTTTTGGTTACTTTAAAACAATTTTATTGATAAAACGTTGCTAATTTATATATCTATCATCCACGTACAAAGTGGCATTTTAAATTAATATAGGATAACCTTTGGTATGTATTTTCGAATTCCCGCACTTACTAATCATTGAAGCAAAAGATTATGAATATTTAAAGCAACAAATATGCATTTAGGAGGTTTAGAAATATAAATAATTATGTTTTTATCTATAGGTACGTCTAAAATGCATGACATTAACTCAAGAGGCCAAAAAGTTAATAAACTTTGTTAAAAATATGTAATGCTTAATCAAAATGCACTAAAAATAATATTTGCACTCGACATGCACCAGGATATCTACCTCAAGTATTAGGTTTGGGTATACAGAGGGTGTAAGTTAATTTGTATTGTAGTGTAAAAGCGAATTTATTTACACCCTTGTATACTTTGAACGACTGAATATCGGAAATGGAGAAATACCCTCTGTAAATACTGGCTTTTGTCAAAGCCCTGAGACGATGTGTTTGATGAGATATATCTACTAGTTCAGTCACTGGAGATTTTTGCTTGGAAAAAAGTCCGGAAGTTTTGCAACTTTGCAGGTTTATAGGTTTTGGGGTCCCTAACTAAAATCCATAAAAAGCACATTTCCATCTTGCCAAGATGGCGCCCAAAATCGGTATTTTGTGAATATCTCGAAAACTATGCGTTTTTCGCGAAAATTTAACAACAGCAAAATTAAACAGAATAAAATCTATACTGATATAATATAAAACCCTTAAGTGACTGACATACTGATTAATCACGATCCTGCTCAAACCACTCAACGTAAGAAGCTCAATTTTGGCATACAGGTTGATTCTAGTGTGTAGAGGTTCGATAAGAAGGGATTTTTCGAAATTCCAGTTCCAAGAGGGTGAAACCACCCCTCAAATATTACAATATTTTTTATTTAAAAAACGGTCAATTTTCCGAAAAAACGCTTAAACAAGTATATTTTATTTTGTTTTTTACATATTTTAAGATTTTTTAAAAATGTATACAGGGTGTTTCGAACAATCCGGTCATTGATTAATCACGATCCTGCTTAAAGCGCTTGACGTAAAAAGCTGATTTTTGGAAAACAGATTGACTTTAGGGTGTATAGGTTCGATAAGAAGGGATTTTTCGAAACTCGAATTCTAAGGGGGTGAAACCACCCCTCAAATATTACAATATTTTTTATTTAAAAACCGGTGAGTTTTTCGGAAAATCTCTTAAACACGTATATTTTATTTTGTTGTTTTACATATTTTAAGATTTTTTATAAATCTATACAGGGTGTTTCATAAAATATGGCCATTGAGTAATCACGATTCTGCTTAAACTGCTTGACGTTTAAAGCTGAGTTTTGGTAAACGGAGTGACTGTGGGGTGTAGAGGTTCGATAAGGAGGGGTTTCTCGAATCTCAAATTCCAAGAGGGTGAAAACGCCTATTTAAAAAACGGTTAGTCTTTCGGGAAAACGCTTGGACAAGCATAATTTATTTGTTTTTTTTACATATTTAGATTTTTTTAAAAAATCATTTTTTAAAAAATCATACAGGGTGTTCCAAAAAGTTGGGTAATTTCTTAACCACAATTCTGCTTAAACTGCTTGATGTAAAAAGCTGATTTTTGGCAAACGGATTTTTCGAAAGTCAAATTCCAACGAGATGAAACTACCACTCAAATATTACCAAATTATATAATAATATCGCCATATTGTTTTTTCTCATGCTGACATAAATGTGAGAAAATTTTATCCAGTTTGTATGTTAATGGAAATTCTTGCTTTGCTTTATCATCACCATTACAAATGATTAATTCGGCGCGAACGAAGTCGCTGGTACACGCTAGTTTCCTATAAAAAAGGTTTTATGAAAATTTTCGCTAAAGGCACAAAATCCCTAAAAATTTTGCGTAAAATATGATATATTATGTACGCCACTGTTTCATGACAAAATTGAAGAAACTAAACTAAAACTAGTTTTAGTGAATCCTAATCGACGTTTGATTTCTGAAAATCGATTATACATAATATATCATATTTTACGCAAAATTGTAAAATTCCCAGGGATTTTGTGCCTAAACGGTTGACTTTAGCGAAAATTTTCATAAAACCCTTTTTATAGTAAATTTTATTCTCTTTAATTGTGCTGTCCTCAAATCTTTGTGAAAAACGCATAGTTTTAGAGATATTCACAAAATACCGATTTTGGGCACAATCTTGGTAAGATGGCGGCGCCGGCGGCAAGTCTGGAAATGTGCATTTTATGGATTTTAGTTAGGGACCCCAAAACCTATAAACAAGCAAAGTTTCACAACTTCCGGACTTTTTACAAGCAGGCCCCTTTTTTGATCCCCAATGACTGAACTATACATCTAGTTATGTCCAAAATCTTCGTTTTTTCTACCTTTTGAGCAAGATATTAAACTTTGCTAAGTCAAGGTTTATAATATCAGTGTCCAAAGGTAAAGTGTCCCAAAAGGCTACTTTTGAAATGTAGACTAAAGTATTCCCTGTAATTTATGAATAATTAATTTTTGATCCCCAATGACTGAACTATATATCTAGTTATGTCCAAAATCTTCGTTTTTTCTACCTTTTGAGCAAGATATTAAACTTTGCTAAGTCAAGGTTTATAATATCAGTGTCCAAAGGTAAAGTGTCCCAAAAGGCTACTTTTGAAATGTAGACTAAAGTATTCCCTATAATTTATGAATAATTAATTTTTGATCCCCAATGACTGAACTATATATCTAGTTATGTCCAAAATCTTCGTTTTTTCTACCTTTTGAGCAAGATATTAAACTTTGCTAAGTCAAGGTTTATAATATCAGTGTCCAAAGGTAAAGTGTCCCAAAAGGCTACTTTTGAAATGTAGACTAAAGTATTCCCTATAATTTATGAATAATTAATTTTTGATCCCCAATGACTGAACTATACATCTAGTTATGTCCAAAATCTTCGTTTTTTCTACCTTTTGAGCAAGATATTAAACTTTGCTAAGTCAAGGTTTATAATATCAGTGTCCAAAGGTAAAGTGTCCCAAAAGGCTACTTTTGAAATGTAGACTAAAGTATTCCCCTTCCTTGGCGTCTAAATCCATTAAAGACATACCAAAACGTATTCTTGATGTCTTTGAATGGGTCTTCAGTAGTCTGATAACTCAAACTTTAGCTCAGAACAAAGAAAAGTCAGAAGAAAACAAGAGTAGATTTAGATAGATAGATAGATAGATAAGAAAAGGAAGGATATCTCACCGAAAACAAGTTGAAACAAAGTGAGCATCCAGCTAGGGTACCTCGGGCTTGCCACACCCGTACTCACAAGATATGAGCCCCTGAGGAGTAACTGTTAAATGATTGAATAGTTATTTTAGCCAGTCATTTAGCTAATACAATACATGATCGACGTAGTGTAATCCAGAGTCAGCGTAATGTAATCCATGCTGATCCCTTGCTGTGTAAAAGAGTAAGGAACCATTATCGACCTAGAGTTTCTGAGAATGATTCTGCGAACTTTTGGTGTTCTGGCGATGTTCTGAGCTCTGAGAGCTTCCTGAGCTGGCGACCATGAACTTTCTCTCAAATACATGAGAGCGAACATGGTCGCGAGTTTATCTCAAAACAAATATTTAAATATAGACCCTTAGAACTTAGAACTGAAAACAAATTTTTATGGTCTTAACTATTTGGAAACGTCATTCTTCAAGACAAAATCTAACTTTTAGGTAACTTCAATGACATAAACAAGGCTCTCAGTGTCTTATAAAACTTAACAGGCCTGATAAACTATTCAAACATTTCCCAGGAAAACCCCCAATAACATACACACATCAATAATATTTATTTATTTAAAATATAATTATATAAAGGCTCTCTAAAACTAACGAGTGAATAGAAACATAAAACAGGGCGGCCTCGAAAGACCCAGGGTATTCCTCCGTCAGTCCATGTAATCCATCCACGGTTACGTGCAATCCATAGTCACGAGTAATCCATGGCCACGTGTAATCCATGATCGGCGCGTAATCCATGGATGACACCGGACTAGCACAGGCGTAAAACCATCCGTTGCGGCCTCGAACGATCCGGGTAAATCCCCCGAAATCAGTCCGTGTAATCCATGGTCTTGATGTACTCGACCGCTGAGCAAAACTGCGTCCACCAATATTCCTCCTCCCCTAAAATCTGTCCCTGGAAACTGTTCACAAACTGGATAGTGGATAACAAGGCTCCGGGGTTGACCTGGATGATAACGTAGACTAGAACAGGCGTAAAATCATCCGCTGTTGCCGATCCTCTGTTCTGAGAGAGAGTGAGAAGGTCCATGATGCACCTGGCACACCTCAGAACGCACTGCAACTTGTCTTTCGGTGTTCGGGCAATATCCAAGGCTCTGAGAGCTTCCTGAGCCGGCAACCACGGACTTTCTCTCAGGTACGTCTTGGGAATGAGCAGATCTTTGTGGTCGGGCGTTATGATTCTGGAAAGGTTGCTAATATGCTCTCTAAGCACTCTATCCCTGTCTCTATCGCCGTCTCCGTTGGGATAGAGAGCGTTTGAGTATACTCTGCCCATGATGTTTCTTTCCAGGACCGATTTGATCAAAGCGCCTCGTTTTTGTAAGACGTGTTGCCAGTGGCGTCGTTCGTGTGCCAATGCATATAAGCGTTTGTAAAAGGTTTGTAGTGAGTCGAATTTTTCGTCTGCTAAGCTTAGTTGACGGAATTCTTCGCAGAAGACGGTTATGATTTGTTCTTGTTCTTCGACGAATTTTTGCACGCAATCTGTGGCAAAAAAAGTCTCGCATTGGCGCTTCTCGTTCAAGATTTGTTCGTGAAGCCTGAAAAAATAAAAGACGGATAGGGAGAATAAGCATTGACGTGGGCAAAAATTCTAATCATCGATTTCGATCTCCTTGATAATAACATAATAATTAGAGGAAAAAATTTAGAACTACCCCAAAACTTTCCTCCGAAAGGCTTTTTTGAGTACAATATGACTAATAGATTACCTCTATATCTCTAAGTAATACCAAAATTAACTAATATCACGGTACTCACGTGTTCAGGTACATTTCACAGAAGAGCAGCTCCTGTTTGGACACAATTAAATACTGAATGTAGGTGGAACGAAGCAGGACATCGTCGCGCATGCTCTGCAGCAACTTGAGACAGCTGACGTCATCCAGGAGGTTGACGCATCGCACCGCTTCGGACACGCGCGCCACCTGCGACCAGTCGCGCAACTTTCTCGCTTTACCCAGTTCTAACCTCAAAATCGTCTCCAGTTTTGCCTTAATACTTCGTGGATTGCGCTGTAAAACAGAATATACACATAGGAAATAGAAATGAATAAAATTTCGAGATATTTGATGACGTAAAAGCAAACATTTATTGATTTCTCTATATTTTTACCTTAATATACAGGGGAATTTCGGCTAAGTTCGCTAAAACCAATCGTAGCTTCTTTTTTATATCGCCCAGACTATTAGCTTCGCTATCCAGGTTTTCAGAAGTGGGATTCTTAGCCGGTTTCTTCATGGTGCCGTTCTCTTTAATGGGGCTGCTTTCTGCGAAGCCTTTTGGTCTGTATTTGGCCAAAATGTCATCGGAACAGTCTATACTACCCCGTTTAGCTAGTGCGCCTGTCAGATCTTCTTCCGTGCCTCTTAGGTCGTCCTGGTTTCGGAACGACCTCTTTTTGTACCTGAAATAACGTTTTAGAAGTGATACACTGCAAATCAGGGATGGGTAACTCGAAAACTTTCGAGTAAAAAACATTTTTTTTTACTTCGAGTTTAAAACATTTTTCAGAATCAATAGAAAATGTATAGTCGAAAAAAAAAAAGAAAAAATGTCATGTTTCTTGGTTTTATTAAGTTTTATACGTTTCTTAAGGTTTTTAACAGAGATAAGCAGGTAAAAAACTATTTTTTTGCGTGTAAATTATGAAAAGAAAACTGTTAATTGTAATGACCTTTGTAAGAAAGACATTTCAATTTATTCCACTATACAGGGTGAGTCTTAAATAAGTGCAAATATTTTTAGGGCTGATAAAGCCAAATTTTTTCAAATAAGTCCAAAATAAATTAGTTATTTTACTTAGAAAATTAAAAAAAAAACAAATTTTGGTTTAAATTTTAAGAACCACTGGATCTTTTCTGTTTTTTTTTCTCGTAAATTTAATCTACCACCTATGTTGCCATATTATCAAGAAATTATGTTTTTTTAACTAAAATCGAAAAACATTTCCAAAAAATTTCAAATTTTCAAAAAAAACTTTTCGCGAGAAAAACTTCATAAGCGTGTTTCTAGGGTCGAAATTCGAAATATACTACCCCTAAAAATATTCGCACTTATTTAAGACTCCCCCTGTATATTTTTTTATTTTGTGTAGAAATTGAAATTTAGACAGAAACAATAGAAAGAAAAAGAAATGCCATTTATCTTGTTTTTAATAAGTATTAAACGTTATTAGGTTTTTTACATTTTTTACAGGGATGGGCAGGTAAAAAAGCTCTGTTATTTGTTAACGACGTTTGTAAAAAAAAATGTTTCAATCCACTATATATTTTTATTTTGTGTAAAATTGAAATTAAGTTAGAAACAATAGAAAATATACCATACAACCGAAAAAAAAACGGCGTCAAAGGTGCCTGGGGAATGACAATCGATAATAATTTTAGCGAGGTCAAGCTCTAACCGTCATTTACTTGGCCTGTACTCTTCTTTATTTTTTAATGGCGCTTGCTGCCAGTTAGCCTTAAGAAGATTGTAATTTATTTTTAAGTTGAGTAGAAACGATTTTTAAATGGTGTAGTTTAAAATTCGAGAATTTTTTTTAAGATTTATACGATTTTTAACGTTTTTTTTTATATTTTTTTACAAGGACGGGCAGATAAAAAACCTCAGCGTAAAAAACTAGTTTTTTATATGTAAAAAACTAGATTTAGATTAGTAATTCTAGACCAGTATTAGTAAAGCTTTTTTAAAAAAATATATAATTTTTTTACTAGGTTTTTTGTATTTTGTGAAGAAATTGAAATTTTCACAGAAAATGTTAATTGAAAAGGGAGAGAAATGTAATTTTTCTTCTTTTTATATTAAGTTTTATACGTTTTTTTAGAATTTTTAATTTTTTTCAGGGACGGGTAGGTAAAAAACATTTCTACGTGTAAAATACGTGTAATAAAACGACAATTAAAGCTTACCTAAACCCGTTCTTCAATTTCCCGAAGAACCCTCCCCTCTTCGTACGAGATTCATCGTCCAACCCTTTGTCCACGCTCATATCGAAGCTAATACTCTTCGGTATAGCCCCGGTCGACGCAGAAGGCTTCAAAGTCCTCGCCGTTACAGTACTGCTCTTCTTAATCGCCCCCGCAGGATGCCCTAGGTTATTTACACTCAAAACCGAAGATAGTTCGCTGGTACTTTCTGAAGGAGTTAGTGTTACGTTGAGGGAACTGCCAGAACTATTGAGCCAAGGCTTGGTGTCCCATTGGTCGGAATTTTCCGTGGCTGAAGCCTTATTTTCGAAGCTGTTGCTGGAACTCCCACTAGAACTGAATTAGTAAGAAAAAAGAATCTTAGACTGTGTAATAACTAGATACAGTTCCGTTAGAGTGCGTATTGTGGTCAACATAACTTTATGACGTCAGATTTGGGCAAAAATTACAGTACAGGATTTTATAATGTTCAATCCTCATGAAAAATTTAAAATAAATTATAGAAAACTCTGTCATTCAACTAATATCTCTTGTTATAGAGTTCAGTCTCTATATACAAAGAGTACCAACCATTTAAACTTTCAGAAATCCCGCCAGAACTGGAACAGTAAAAAAATACCTTAGACTATGTAACATCTAGCTACAGTTCCGCTCGTCTGCGAGTTGTAGCCAACATAAATTTATGACGTCAATTTTGGGCAAAATAAGAGAGTATAGAATTTATGAAGTTCGATCTTTACAAAAAAAATTAAAACAGATTATTTAAAAAATTAAAAAATAACGCAACCTGTGAGTACAGATGCTTCCAAAGAACAATTATTATTTAAATTTTTCGATCTGTTGCTGAAATTCTCGCTAAAACTAAATTTATAAGAAAAAAAAGCCTTAGACTATGTGTCAACTAGATACAGTTTCATTAGTTAACGTGTTGTAACCAACACAAATTTATGACGCATTTCAGGGTAAAATTCACACAAAACCTCCCCTGTACTTACCTAGAGTTCAGGCTGCAATTACTCAGCAAAATTTCAGTGGGTCTATCACCATACTTCTTTCCAATATTATTCTGAGTTTTAGAATAATGAGAATCCCCGTCTGTATCCCGATGATTCGTCTTGGGACTCAAACCACTTGGTCCCGGACCACTTCCGTCATTTGTTTTCGAGGTTAGGGTCATTTTAGAACCAAAAAGACCTCTGGTGGTGGTTTTGTAAACTGTGTTGGCGTTATTATCGGTTTCTGTACAAATTTTACCATTCGGGCGATTGTCGGGTCGTTTGAACTCTTGAAAGGTGACGTAGTTGTGGTTGACAGAGACAAAATTCGTTTCTGGTGATTTGTAGTGGGCTGTGCTTATGCCATAACTTGGACTATTGAGACTACAAAAATAAAATTATATTGATTACAAATACTTTATATTAAAAGAGTTAAAAACGTTGTCATAGAAAAAAAATGCACACGAATTTAAAAAAAGAGAAATACGAAAACGAGTAACTTACCTGACAGCTACGTAACTGGTGGTGTTAACCGCCACATTGGCAACGTAGCTTTGTCCCGCCCCAACGCCGCTGCCTCCGCCTCCAGCTGCGCCGAACGTGCTGGAACAGGAACTGAGCCTGCGCGCGCTTGCCGCTTCGTCGGTTTCCGATCGGGTGTCGTCGGAACGGGCGACGCTGTTCGTGTCGTCCGACTGCGCGACGCTGGCTGCGTCGTCGTTGTCCTCTATGAGGCGCTCGGTGTCCGAGGCGGCAACATCGGTGGACCAGGCTCCTTCACTTTGGGTTTCGGAGATGTCCAGGACGTTTTCGGCTGTAAATATTAGGAGCATTATGGACAACCCAAGTTTTTAAGTCATCTCGAAGAGGCGAAGCATATATAAAAAAAGAGCTTCTTACGTTGAGTGGTTTGAGCAGGATCGTGATTAATCAGTGAGTCACTTAAGGATTTTATATATTAGTATAGATCTTGAAATCGGCAAATTAAAAAACGAAAATAGCCAAAGAATGAAAAGAAAAACAGTAATCAGCTGACAAACAGTCTTAATAGGAAAGTTAATCACCGTTCCGAATACAGTTGACTAACGATTACAATTCCCGTTGGAACGCAAAAGTTATAATTCGCTTAACAATTCTCTCGTTGTTGGAATGCATTTTCTCTACTGCGCATAAGCGTTGTTGGAACAAACCTATTATATCCCTCAAAAAAAACAGGAAGGCCAAAAAAAAACCCTAATTTTAAAATTTAAAAAAAACCGTACTCACCCAGTGGTACTTCTCTTATAGCCTGATCCACCAGATGCAAATGATGCCTCTCAGCCCTGGATTCATTCGCATCCACCGTCTCCGTATCCGAACTCAAAACATCTGTACTCCAAGTCTCCGAAATGATCGAAATCGTCTCATCTCCCTCTATCAGCTTCTTGATCTCGAACTTGCAAAATTTATCGTCAATCTCCGATCTGATCTGCCTAGAAATATTTTGTTGATTCGGCTGATTAGTAACATTTTCCTGTCTGTTTTCTGCATTGACTCGTTCTTCGTTTTCATTTACTTGACTGCTTGGTGTGTCTCTTCCACTGATATTTGGTGTTCCACGGCCTGAAACGTTTGCTGATACCATGTCGGAGAGGTTATCGTTTTGGTCGTCTTCTTCGTTTTCCAGCTCTAGACTACTGGCGACTGAATGGTTGCTGGCTGCCTCGGAAATTGCTTCTAAATTATCGGAACTTTCATCGATAAACCCTAAAGAAATAGAGTAATGTGTATATGTATAAGTCATATGTATTGTAAGTGTAATTGTATATGTCACCGTAAAAGTTGGAAATCAGTGATTGTTAACAATTACTAGTAAAAGCTCGCAAGTAAAAGTTCAACAGCTATTTTTGAAACCAACTTTTACTAGTGAATCACAGCATTCCCTGGACGATGGCAGTGAGCAGTGAGTTTGAAAGATTCAGTTAGCGCGGTTGCCACATGTTGTAAAATATATGGATAAATAAGGATAAGTTGAATAATAGGCAATACATATAAGGATAACATTAAATTGGGCTAAACGTTGACAACGTTGACAGACATCTGGCGTAAATTCGCTTTGTTTGTTGTGGTTATGTATAATTATTGTTTTGTTATCGTTGTAAAAAGTGCTGTACGGTATTTTCCCTACGGAAGAAATTCTCTGTGAAAAATTAAGGTAAACCAGGCACTCGCAAAAATGTAACAGTGCTTGTTTTTCATTTTTGCAATATAATGAAGTCATAGCAAAAGGAACCTGGTGACTATGAACTTATTAAACGTTTTGATATGCTTGAAGTAGCAGGTTTGAAGAAACGAATAACTCCCGGTCGAAGAAAATTCGGGCATACCTTTATTTTGTCCACGATGAAGAACTTTATTAAAAAACCTTGTACCAATAAGTAATCTTATGTTTATAAATGGTTTTTTTAATTCTTTTGTACGCTCTAAAACGTTTAAAACTATTGCTTTTAATATTTAGAAGGATATGTCGTTATTTTCTATAATTTTTAATAAATATACTAAAAAAGTAAATTGTAATTTTAAGATATGTGGATCAGCTTGAATATTGAAGTGATCCAATATTCTTAAAAGTTTTATTTGTTCTAACTTTCACCAACATTCTTCCTCTCCACACTCGTCCTGTACAGTAGAATAAATTTTACTGGCGACCTTTAGTAAATGTTACTTTCACTAGTGAATGTTAGGAATTACTAGGAAAAGTCGACAAACCTCTTTAAAATACCACATTCACTGGTCCAATGCGTAATTGTTAGCATTTCCTAGTGAATGTTAACAATCACTGAAATTTCGACTTTCACTGTAACATATACACCCTATTTCGAGATCATAGGTTAGGAATCTGACCTTTTTTGGCGGTCTCTTACAATTTTTCTCAAAAATCAACATTTTTAATGTTTTCTTACATAATATGTAGACTGTTTCACTGTTACGTCATCATTATTTGTCAAATATGAGTTTTAGGATGTGTCTGAGATCAGTTCATATTGTTTAGAAAATTTTAAATACGTTCCTATATTATTGATTGAGCGAGTTCATTTGATTTGAGGTTATAATTTTATTGACGGACATCGATTAATGTTAAAATTAAAATTTGATTGTTGCTGTAAAACAAAATTCTAATTTTTATTGCAAAAATGCCTCAAAGATTTAACCAAAATGAACAACACCTCATTGCTAAGCTTATAAATGATTTTACTCGAGAAAGAGACGCTGGTAGAACACTCTTGCCAGTGGACGCCGTATATGAAGTAAGTACAATGCAAAGGTGTGAGATTTATGAAAAAAAAGTCCTTTGCCTCGGGTACAGATACCGACACGTTTTGGAAATAGCTCAAAATGAAACAAAATTGAACGAGTCAAAACGAAACGCTAAAAAAATTCCCCACGCCCTCACGAGTAGTTTTCAGGCGCTTTTAAGAATCGAAAGTAGGTCGAGGCAAACCGAAGTGGATCAAGACAACTGGATATAAATCAAAATGCGACATAGTTGGGCAACGGAACGCGACTTTGACCTGTTTCGAAGAGTTCTCCGCATAGTTGTTACCTGTTTTACGCTATAAAGCTTAAACTGAGAAAAATCAATCAATGTCTAAATAAAAACGGTAAGAAACCGCCAAAAAAATCACATTCATATAATTACCAAAATTCGCTTTCAGAGATGGATTTTCTTTGGGATTTTCCGGTCCATCAAAAACTCCACTGTCATTTTTAATTGGGACACTCAAATCTATAACTTTTTCTTCAGGTAACAAGCCGATCGGTTCAAAAATAACACCGTCGATCGGAAATATAATCACCGTAGTTGTATCGATCTTTTTATCATCCTCTGACAACCTTCTAGAATGATGATTTTTCGAAGACAACGAAAAAAACGCTTTTTTACCATCACTATTAGTCCTGTGCGTTTTCGGTGAATTATCGGTTGAAGAAAGAATGGTTAAAGAAGACAGATACTCTTCAACGGATTCACTCAAGCTGGCATTACTTTTTGATTGAACTTTTTGAAGGAAACACACCCAATTATTTAGTTCTTCCTCAGTAAATAACATGATATCCCTCGAAATTTTCGGACTGACATCTACCGGAGCTTCCAGGCAATCCATATCTGTCAAAATTATTTCGATAAAATTCGAAATTCCTTCTTTATCGACTGTGGCGAATATATCAGCGTGTTTCGGGTCGATTCCTTCGAACTTGTACAAAGCTAGAATTTGTAGAAGTTTCACCACTTGAGTAAGGTTATGTCTGGTGATTTCGGTTAGTTTCGAGTTGATCATTCCGTATTCTTCGGGTTTTACAATCACTGGGCACAGGAAAAAGGTAAAAATTAAGTCTGAAATAATCGCGTTGGCCTAGAACAAAAACATAACCTTTAAAAAGCATTCTATTATAACTTTGAATAAAAAGATTAAGGACGGAGCATATAAAAAATCTTATGATCGACCTAAATTCCGATTTATCAGTTGTAGTTCTAATTTTATTCAAAACGTGTAAAAACATGATGTAGGGTGGAGTCAATAATTTGTTGTTTTATTTTATGTTGTCAATAAGTGTTGGTAGTTATTAAAATTGTTATAAAAATATACAATTCTAATAAAAATAGATAAGTTATAATAATTATTTATTAACACAAACATCCGATAGGCTACCGAAGCAGGTAAGTCAAATTGACGTATCTAAATTCTTTGAAAAGTAGTAAATAAAAGCAAATTCCCGGGGGGAATCCCCCCTAGCACTTGGCTTGGCCTAAGAAGCATCTCACTCATCGTCTTGTCCCTGACTATAGTGTCGTGGCCAGGGAATTGCACCAAGACATATAACGATACCGGGCGGGGCTATGGACAGCCTCAACCTTGGGGCATCGGAGGGCATCCCATTGTATTTTACCCCTTACTTCTACATGCGGGGCTCTGTAGAAGTGGACCGACTGTCCCTAGCGACTCATGGGAACACTATGAGATCTGGTAATAATAGTAATAAAAACATCACCGGTGAAGCTGTGGGGAAACCCCCTAGCGACACTGGGAACAGTAACAATGAAAGTTCCAAGGGGCCAAACCCAAAGAGAACTACAGGAGAGGTGGCTGACACTTGCGTGAGACCATCCTCCGCAAGTGGCATACAAGCTACCACCTCCTCCAAGGGTCGGGAGCCTACCTCCTACCTCTAAACCCAACAGGCGACACAAGCTACCGTTTCGTCTACCCGGCCTGGGTCGTAGCTCCTCGACTGTGAAGGACACGGGTCTCCGTAGGAAGTCCTGGGACTGTATGATGAGTTATAACTCAAGAAAGGGGGACACAATAGATCTCTAAGGTCGCAGAGATTAACCCCCCTCCCACTTATTCTAAATTCTAAAATTCTAATCCCCACCCTAGGGTCCCTTGTTCGTCTACCTTGCATGGATACATGGATAGCATTATAAGCATTATACTCCTTCCTTAATCATTTTATTCAAAGTAATATAACTACAGAGCGATCAACAATAGTTGAAATATAGTTGGCAGTACAGGGTGTCCCATTTTAGTGTGTTTTGCAGGGTTTCTTGTTTAGGAGAAGAGATACAAAGATGTGGTTTTAACATCACTGCACTAATTTTTAATGAAATTAAAGATGCTAGAAATAGATTTGCTCTAGCACCCTTGGTTTCTGAAATACAGGGTGAATTTGAAAATGTTTGGTTTGGTTTGGTGTGTCCCGTAAAACTGTGTCCCGTAAAGTTTTTCACCACGTAGAATACAGTGGCGTAGCTAGTTTTTCACTGGGAGCCGATAAATATCCGAATTTCTTAAATTTTTGCTAACCAAACTATTTCAAGCACTGTTGGTGGCTCCGTATTACACTTTTACCTCTTTTGTACAGAAATTCTTTTCGATCATTTGGTATATATGACAGACTAACCATGCCAAAGCTTTGGGAAAACTATATACATTCTCTAGTAAAGACCTTACAAAAGTATTTGTGTAGTTTGCAAGCTTCAGAGCTACCTCGTTCCTGTATTGAACGGCATCTTTGTAAGATTCCATATTTACACCCTCTCTAAACCTGTATATAACGCAATCGAAAATAAAGTTTACAATAAAAATAGATTATAACAAATATAGAGAAATCAGTAAAAGTTGGGGTGCGCGTCATCAAAGACGCGGAAACTATTACCACAGATTAGGTATCCTATAAGTATACAGATAAAAATCTTGTCCCTAATTCGTGGTACGAAAATTGTTTTTTATGACGATGTGCAAACGAGTAAAATTTCCTGTGCGCAAAAATAAACTCGCGTAAAATAACAATAAATAGCGTAATAGAGAGATATCGCTAAACCTAATAGCGTGCATGGACGTTAATAAGGTCAGGTGTTATTTCCTTTACGTGAGGTGGTCTTAACTCTCTTCATTTATAGTTATCGGATCGGAAAGAATTCTGTTAGCGCGTCCGCTATATTTAAACTTAACCTAACTTTGAATTTAAAACTTTGAAATTGTTTTGTTTACTAGGTATTTTAAACTGAAGGGCTAAAGTGCTTATTTCCAGTGCTTTATTGTTCAACGTCTGCCAGTGGGTTTAGCGCAACAAGCAACAAATTCTCTTAGAAGGGCTAAGTCGTCATCTGTTGTAAACCTAAGCCTCTTTATAGGTTCCTTAATATTGGAAGAGGTGGAATCCATATTTTGGGCCATATTTATTTAATTAAAACTAATCCCAACTACTTAAATATCAAATTACCTAATAAAACTAAAGTAATAATTCAAAACAATTCAAACATAACCTAAAATAAAAGATCTCGCCGGCCGGCCCCGGTTGTCAAATACCCGCACATGCTCATTTAAGCAATTTTTAAACGTTATTTAGAAATAGCGCTTGGTGTAATTGATCCGCAAATTACGTCAGGCGGTAACGTTATTAGCGGGTGTTGCGTTAAAAATTGAGTCGCGCATATCGTAACCATGATAAGGTACGCGTAAATACTGCATGACGCTATTCGGTTTTCCGATATCTCTCTAATAACTGTGTCGGTCAGGGTGCAGCCACACTATCCTAAAAACGGCGTATCGGCGTAACGGCGTAACGACCTTGAATCGATTTCGAGTAATTCTATTGGCTGAAATTTTTGACAGATGAATTTGACAGATAAAATTTCTGACAGATGAATGTTTCAGCCAATAGAATTACTGGAAATTGATTCAAGGTCGTTACGCCGTTACGCCGATACGCCGTTTTTAGGATAGTGTGGCTGCACCCTCAGGCGCTGTGCACAATTTTAGAGGCCATAAGTGGGCGTGCCATATGCGCAAACTAGTGCCCGATTCCGAAAATTGGTACCACGAAAAACAATAAAGAAAAAACAAAATATATAATCTGTATAATCTGTGCTATTACCAAATTAAATTTCTAATAAACAAAAATTCGCTTGAAACTTTGAGAACACTTTTTTCTTTTTCTTATGATCTCATATCCTGGTTATTGGCTATTATCCTTAACCTAATATTTATCATTTTCAATTTTTATGAGAGTTTTCTTTTATAAATTTGGAATTAAATCTAAGTTTTGTTTAGTTAAAACTGAGATTTTCATTGCCATAAAATGCCAATGAAGGATTTTCACGAGATCTTTTTTCTATTAAACAGCATTAGAGAGATAAAAATTGACATTGTTGCTTAAGTTTTGGGGTTTTTATCGAAAATACATACAGGGTCGCTTTTATGTATGGAAACGGTCGATTATTAGGTAAAATATACAAGGTACCGCACAAAGTTTGATTTATAATCATATCCAAAGTAACAATGTAGATATAAAATAAAAAATATTTGTATATACGCATTGTGTCTAAAATTCAAGTGAAAAATCTGTGACAATATTACGATATTTTTTTGACACTGCTCGTCAAAAGTCAAAGTATAAAATGTAACCGTGGCAACACTGCGTCGCGCGTTCGTCAAATATTTTGATGACGTATACCGCCAACTTTTATTAATTTTTCTTATAGTAAATATACCTCCCCATTGTTTGATCATGATCAACATCTAGATAATGATCGGCAAAAGATACCAGTTCCAAAATGGGCATCTCCAGGGCCGCGTTTAAGAAAAATTTAGCCGGCTGGTAGATTTCGTGAAACATAAAATACAAACGCCTGAACGAACATGTTTTTTGTTGAATTAACCTACAAAAAAAAACATTTGTATACATGTTTATTCACGCTGTTGGACGTGAAGTATTGTTGTGGTATTGTAGCCAAACGATTAGATTTTTAAAAATTTTCAGTGATACGGTCGTTAAAGGACTACTAGAGCTACAATTTAAAAAAAATCGAAAGATACAGAGTGTCCCAAATAAAAAATATCAAAGTTGTATTTTTTTTAATGGAACACCCTGTATATTTTTACATTTTTAGTTTCTACGAGTAAAATAAAGGTAAATTTGATTAAGGTTTACCGCACTTTAATCTTACCGTTATTAATAATTTTAAAGCTTTGTTTCTCTAGGTGTTTTAAAGTTTTTAAAACCAAATACGCACAAAAGTTTTTCTATTTACCAAATATTGAGTTACAATAATAAAACTAAAATATCACGTTATACAGGGTATCTAAAAATTAATTTTAAATAATTGCCTACTAGCTTTAAGTGGCGATAACTTGTTTATCTTAAACGGAACACCTTGTATATTTTGCAATATACAGGATTGTTCACCACATACGACACGGAGTATTGTAGCTAAACGATTATATTTTTACAAATTTCAAGTTTTGGGTTCGATGTAGGACTATTAGAGGTACAATTTAAAAATAATTTTACAAGATACAGAGTATCCCAAATAAGTAAAAAATATCAAAGTTGTATTTTTTTAAATGGAACACCCTGTATATTATTACATTTTTAGTTTCTACGATTAAAATAAAGGTAAATTTGATTAAGGTTTATTATACTTAAACCTTACCGTTTTTGAAATATTTTCAATTTTGTGATATTGCAGTAAAAATTTTAAGGCTTCATTTCTCCAAGGGTATCAAAGTTTTTAATACTAAATATTTACTGAAGTTTATTTATTGATCAGTTATTGTGTTGCAATAATAAAAATAATACTACCTTATACAGAGTGTCTAAAAATTTATTTTAAATAATTTCTAGCTTTAAACGCCAATAACTTCTTTAATTTAAATGGAATGCCCTGTATATTTTAAGAGAATCAGATGCACAATTTAATTGTCTATCAAAGTGTATTATACCATTTTTTACCTATCCCTACAAGTTTTCGTAGAAAATGCATTTTCTTATAATTTAGACCTCATTTATCGATATACTCATGGAATATTGACATTTGAGATTGTTTTTAAAGCAACAAATGTACAAAATGTACAGGCTAGTAATATTATCGTTTTTAGCAAAACGATAATATTACGAGCCCATTTGTATGCAAAAAGAAAACTATTTAAATCTTTATAAAAGAGTATACCATTAATTAAATATAACACCATTATTTCAGCCCATATACTAATTAATTACATACTTAATTGTGTTCGTTAATAAATTATTCTAAATAAATGTGAATTTGAGTCAGAAATCAATATAATAATAAGTTATCACAATTAAAGTCTCTGTTGTTATAAATAAGCATTTATTAAAAAATGAAATATAATTTTTAAGGTGTTACTTTTTATCACACTATCTAATACCCATACAAAATTCAGTTTTTTTAGTATTTGGAGCAATTATTATTAATCAACGCAAACAGTCAGTTCATGTAGTTTGAATACTGGAATCATATTAATTGGTCCTCTTTAACAAATATTTAAACAGTTTTTTTTAATTTTTTTAATGAAATAAACGAATTATATCGACAATATTAGCATCTGTACTCTTTAAAAATTTGGTACATCTTTAAAAACAATCTCAAATGTCAATATTCCATGGGTATATTGATAAATGAGGTCTAAATTATAAGAAAATGCATTTTCTACGAAAACTTAAGGGATAGGTAAAAAATGGTATACCACAATTTGATAGACAATTAAATTGTGCATCTGATTCTCCTAAAATATACAGGGCGTTCCATTTAAATTAAACAAGTTATTGCCGTTTGAAGCTAATAATTATTTAAAATAAATTTTTAGACACTCTGTATGAGGTAGTATTATTTTTATTATTGCAACACAATAACTGATCAATAAATAAACTTCAGTAAATATTTAGTATTAAAAACTTTGATACCCTTGGAGAAATGAAGCCTTGAAATGTTTACTGCAATTTCACAAAATTGAAAATATTTCAAAAACGGTAAGGTTTAAGTATCATAAACCTTAATCAAATTTATCTTTATTTTAATCGTAGAAACTAAAAATGTAATAATATACAGGGTGTTCCATTTAAAAAATACAACTTAAGATATTTTTTACTTATTTGGGACACTCTGTATCATGTAAAATTATTTTTAAATTGTACCTCTAATAGTCCTTCATCGAACCCAAAACTTACAATTTGTAAAGATCTCATCGTTTAGCTACAATACTCCGTGTCGTATGTGGTGAACAACCCAGTATAGATGCAATATTTAATTATCTATAAAATTGTATTATACCATTTTTACCTATCTCTTCAAGTTTTTGTAGAAAATGTATATATTTTCTTATAATTCAGATCATATTTTTCAATATATCCATGGAATCTTGACATTTTAGTTTTTTTTAAACAAATAAACAATTTTTAAATGATATAATTTCATACACACATACAAAATTCAGTTTATTTAATATTTAGAACAATTATGAATCAAAGAAAATAATCAATCAATGAATGGTTGAGCTCTAATAATGAGATCATATTAATTGGTCCTCTTTTACAAATATTTAAAATTTCCTTTTATAAATAAAAATAAGCAAACAATATCAACAATAGAAGTATCTGTACTCTTTGAAAATAATCTAAAATTTCAACATTCCATGGGGTATATTAATAAATAATGATTAATAAAACTTGAATTATAAAAATATGCATTTTCTAGGAAAGCCTGAAGAGAAAAAATAAAATAATAAAAATAAATCTATAAATGGTGTAATACAATTTGACAGAACATTAAATTTTACATCTGTTGCACGCAAAATATACAGGGTGTTCTATTTAAATTAAACAAGTTATTGCAGTTTAAAACTAGTAATTATTTAGAGTAAATTTTTAGACACTCTGTACAAGGTAGTATTAATTTTATTATTGTAACACAATATTTAGTAAATAACAAAAAAGTCCTATGCATATCTATTCACTTTTAAAAACTATAATACGCCTAGAGAAGGATATACAGGGTGTTCCATTTAGAAAAATACAACTTTGATATTTTTTTATTTATTTGGGACAATCTGTACCTTTCAAAAATAATTTCTTCCTTACAGAAGAAGTCCTTAAACGACCACATCACTCTAAATTTCAAAATATCTAATCATTTGGCTACAATACTCTATAAAATAAATCTATTTTGTATCTCTTCTGACCTACCTTCTTGGGTTATCACTTTTAACGAGTTGCTGTTTAGCCAATTCCAACAGCAAAGAGAGCAGTAGTTTTGTGTCGTCAGCAAACAAACACCCACTATACAGTCCATTTAAAATACTTTGTAACAGTAACGAGTATTGTAAACTATCTTCAGCTAAACTTTCACCTGCAACAAGCGATTTAGCCAGCTGCTTAGGCTGAGATCTTAGCGTATGTAAGAGATTCGACATTTTTACAGCATTCTGCAAAACAAAATATGTTCAAATATGTAGAAAATAACAATTTTGAGGAACATACTGAAAATCCCAGGGTAGATTTAGCATCGACAAACTCCGAATTGTGAATAAAATCGAATTTCTGGTCACTTTCGAATAGGAAAAGCTTCTGTTTGTTGGTTAACCATGATGCTTTGATCACGGTGTGTGTTTTAGCTCTGACATCCTCGTTCAACTTCTGAATATCTAATTTCTCACATTTTATCAATAAATTCTCTTGCCTGAGCTTAACAGCAAATGCATATAGGTCGTACTCTTCTTCTTCATTCTTCATGTCTTTTTTTTACTTTAGAATAAAAAACAATACAATAGAAAATAACTGTATCATTTAAAAGTAATGACACACATGCACAAGAGACTGTATTTTATTTAACAGGACCTTTTAGGAGCTCAATTAAATGGTTCTGATGTACTAAAACAGCTATATCCGCTTTTAGAAACATGAAACAGTTGTAAACAAGGCCGTAATTGTATAATTTCCTTTAATATTTACTTACTCAGTGTCTGGTGACTCTGCAATAATTATTCGTCGACAACAGAATTATCTAAAATTTTCATCAAGTTGGCTTTATTTCTCATCCCTTTCCAACAAATTTCCTATGTACAATTCATTATCCACCTACTTTTTGATTGTTTAAAAAATTATCTGTGCAAAACACAAAAACAGAAGTTGACACATAAAATCGAATTGATTGACGTTTACATATTTTGACGTTAATGATAGTGACAAATATTTTTTTCTATTTTAATGTGATTTACTGGTTGCCTACCTTATATACAAAACAAATTAAAAATGCCATCGTAGGGGAAAAAAATACCAAAAACCATATCAAACAGAATATTTAAAAGAAGCCAGAAGAATCAGATAAATCTCCTGAGAAAGTGGTAGTGTCTAGATCTATATAAAATTTTTAAAAAATGTTTTCCAGAACCGTTGAATCGGGCGTCCAGGTATTTTCAAGAACAAAATCCCGAGGAACTACCATATCCGGTATAAATCCTCATTTCTTTGAAGATGGCGAGCCTCTGCCCGGTCAACTAATTGAACTTCTCGCTAGAGACCACGTAAACTATGTCTGCATTATGGTAGATCTCATTGTTCGAGCAATTCTACCACCGAAATACTACAACGAATTCAAGGGGGTCAAAGTGATTTTATTCGACACGAATTCGATGATTTGTGTGTTTATGGTGCGCCAGATATTAGAGAAGAAACTGGAACCGTTCAACCTACAAAGCGACGAGAAAAAAACAGTTGTAGAAGAAGCTTTGAAGAACTTGTCTGTTATAAAGTGTTATACACTGGAAGAGTTTGAAATTACGATCCGAAATTTCGAAGATACGCTGGACAAAGACGACCAAATCGGTCTAGTAATATTAGACGACGTTTTTACGCAGTATTGGTGTGCCCAGTTTTGTGGGGACGATCTGAGCTACGAAGAATATTGCTTAAAATATCTACGCTTGCTACACAACGCCATTAAAGATTCGAATGTAACAATGATCTATCACAGATCAGTTAATATGGAATTTAAGAAGTCTGGATTTAATATTTTGGCATACAGCATAGATGTAAGCCTTGAAGATGTTCCTGACTTCTATGATGGAATAACATATAATGGTATTTACTCTGCTGTGATTAAGAATCTTGAAAAAAACACTACAAAAAAAGCACAGTTTAGAATCAAGGATTGTCTTTTGTTATTTAATGTATGACTGAAAAAAAATGCTATCTATGATGCTATTTTTTTTGATTGTATGTTACAATCAGTATTGATGGTTGGTTAAAGTGGTGAATACGACTGCTTATCGAACTACAATTTCTTGGCAACATCTTTAAGATCTACGAAGCTGCAATCTCCAAAGAAACAATTCCTGGACAAACAAATTAAGAGTTTCAATATTTCCAATTGACTTTGGAAGTACTATACTTTAGTAGTTTTAACAAAAAATGAGTACTTGTTACTACTTGGATTCAAAATAAAATCTACAACAGTAAAAAGCATTTATTTATTAAGAAATAAGGTACAATATTTACATTACAAAGTTTTGCCATAAATAAAAATTCACAATCTAAATAATACTTTGCAATAGAGACTTACAACAACGAGGACCACATTTTGAAACGTCCTGTCTTTTTCTTTATTCATTTTTGGTACAACAGGACTCAAAGTTTACGTCACATTCACAACAAAAAAATTTGAGAAAATAACTATATATATTATTCTTTTTTTCTTCTAAATATAATAACGAAAATTTCAAAATTAAAACAGATTCAAAAATTGGACAGTCTTCAAGTATATTTTATTCTACAGAGCGGTCCAGTTTTCCACAGAATGTCAAAAATGACGTTATACTTAAAGCAGATTTTTCTGTCAACTGTTAAAAGTTTTCCTGGTTAAAAATGAATCGCCCTGTATATTTTTAATCTTCTCCTAAGTCGTTTTTATTTTTTATCAGGTCCAAAAGACACGTATTTATTTATTTAATAATAATTTACTATTATACAGTACTTACAGTATTATATAAGTTAGTTCTTTTCTTGGAACATCAAGATAAAATGGCTATAAACGCCATTTTGGGGACAATTGCAGTTATAACTGTATATTTATAAGGAAAAATAAAATCTCTTCGACGAGAGAATACGACGTATGACAGTGACAGTTGATATCTGTCATTTTTTGGGCGACTTCTGTCAAAGAAACATTTTACTCAGAGGTTTGTATACTATTTTTAGTTGGTATTCTGACGCGTTGTCTGAATTTAATCAATTCAAAATTATTATTTGGTCCTTCGAGCCGGATTAGATGCGATAGCAGCCTTTTTTCTTGGAAGTTTTCATTGCCAATGAAAACGTTCTATTGCCGGTCTTATGTATAGTAATTATAAAATTCAGTATCACAGGGTCCGGCGAGTTTTTCGGCAAAATGAATATTTTATAGTTTCCATTATTCCAAATAAATGTTTTCTGAAGCTCATTTTTTTAATGTAAAAATTACATAATGCTTTAGGACTATTCTTGAAAAGTGTTCGCTATTTTTTGTCGCACAGTCATTGGTTGACTCAAGATCTGCCAAATAATGTATTTAATTATATTAAAACACTGAAGGCATTTTCGTTTATAAATATACAGATTTACCTGTCTAGATTTAAGCCTCATTCAAAACATCTAAATTAGTGCAATAAATTAGTAGTAGTTTCAATTATACCGTATGATCGAATAAAAACGGCGTCAGCGATGGCTATGAAATGAAGATCGCTGTCATTTTATATGTAAATTTATAGGGGAAATGTCATCGATGTTCATTTCCAAGCCAAATGGACGCCGTTTTTATTCGAGCATACGGTACTTTATATTTAAAAATTTACGCAAAAAATACAATTAAAATTAATAGAATATCCTAGTAACAACTTGCAGTAGTCAGTTGTATCTACAGGGTGGTCCAAACTGTACTCCGGAAACTTCGGCAGCATATTATGCAGATAATAAGTAAAAAAGTTCGTATAAACTTATGTCCTAAAATGCTTCGTTTCGGAGATACAGGGTGTAGAAGTTTAATTTTTATTTTGATTTTTTTCAATTAATTTCTGAAGTAGCATCAATATTTGGATGAAAATTGGTTTCTGGGAGTTTTTTGATATGATAAATTTGATTTTGATGTCAATATGACTTCTACTTGTAGAGGGCGCCACCTACATCTTTTTAACTGTTTTGAAGAGTAATAACTTTTCGTTCGTCCCTGTATTACACTTCTGAGTGCAAAAATATACATTTACGCCTTATTTTACGTAAAAAATGTCTCTTGGTAAAAATCACTGTGCACAACCATTCTCGAGATATTTGGAATCTTAATATGTATTCAATACGTCAGTAGGTTAAGAATCACCCTGTATAGGGAAAGCCTAATAATTATTATTAGCTTATAAAACAATAAACTTTTCATTTCTAACAACAATTTCTCTTGACGGCCGAAATAACATTTCTCGCAAATTTTGAAGTATAACTAGTAGTAGCAAAAGTTAAAAGTTTGATAACCTTATTACTACTAGGAATTTTTAAGGTTATGAAGGCTTACATTAAAATTAGAGGAACAAACTTCACCACTAATTGAAACCACTAATTTCGAGGTTCTGAATGAAGCTTTAAGGATATGTTTTATAAAAGTAACTCATACCTAACCTCAATCAGACTCTTCCTCAGCACCCTGATCAAACCCCGTCAAGTCCACAGACTGCAGATGTCCTTTCGACAGCGCATACTCGATCAACGCCAAATGACAGAAAATATACTGATCAGGCATCTGGATCGAGTACGCTCTCTGCGACCTGATCCTTTCCACCGTACCTCTAACGTCCACAGTGCCGATATCTTCTAACCTCGAAATGCAGATGTCCAGCGTACAGAACGTGCCTGTTCGGCCAATACCGGCGCTGCAGTGGACTACGATGGGAGGACCTCGAGGGTGCCCCGCCCACGTGTCTTCGAGTGCGCTGACCATGCTGGCTTGCTGACGGCGCACCCTGTCGAGGAACTCGAGCATGGCCTTGGCGGACGAGGGGACGCCGTAGTCGGGCCAGGAGGTGAATTGCCAGTGGGACACCTCCCTGGTTTCGTCCGTCTGGGAAGAGACAAACTGTCAGTGTTGCCACGATAGGGAAATAATAGATTTTAGTACTGCAGAAAGATAGTGTCAAAAGGTACTGGTTAAAAAAAATGTAAATGATTTAAGTTAGTTTGTGAAAAAATCGAAAAATTCTATTATTTAATTTTATTATTAGTCACAGTAAAATACAAATAAACAAATCAAAATATGAAAAAAATATGTGATATAATATATACAAGTGCGGTGCGGTGAATATATTTATTTTGATTGAAGAAAAGGAAAATTACTCATCTTTACAATAACAATAAAACTGAGTGTTGTCAGGCTTGAATGCGCTGTTACATGAAATTAAAATTAAACATCTGGTTTTCCGTCTGGTAAAAATCCGACTTATCATGGAATATAACCGCGGAATTAATTTGAAGTACTTACAATATACAGAATGTCCTATAAAATGAACCTTTTTATGCAGTACGTAGTTATGTAGTTAATATTTTATTATATTAGTTGTGTAACTATAAATAAACAAGGCTATAACTAATAAACTCAATTAATTTAAAAAAAGAGAGAAAACAGTATTCCGGAAATTTCGGCAGCATATTCTGCAGATAAAAATAAGTAAAAAAGTTCGTATAAATGTGTGTCAATGCTTAGTTTCGGAGATACAGGGTGTAGAAGTTTCATTTTTATTTCGATTTTTTCCAAATAATTTCTGATGCAACGTCAATATTTGGATGAAAATTGGTGTCTGGGAGTTTTTTGACATGAGAATTTGATTTTCATGTCAATATGACTCCTATTTGAAGGGGGCGCCACCTACATGTGTTTTAACTGTTTTGAAAAGTAATAACTTTTCGACCGTACCTGTATAAAATTACTGAGTCAAAAAATATACATTTCCGTGACTTTTTACGTAAAAAATATCTCTTGGTGAAAATCGCTACGAGCAACCGTTCTCAAGATATTTAGAATGGAAATAGTCAATAGAAAAAAAAACACGTTGTGATAAAAATAAAATAAATTTGGAAAATTTTTATTTTTTTTTAAATTAATCATAAATTTTTCTGCGAAAAAATGATGATAAAACAGTTTCCGTTGAGCTTTTGACACAAAAACAATTCAAATATATGATTTCAGTCTAATAAATATTTAGTCAACATGTTTAATATACAGGGTGTCTCAGATTTTAATCGGGAAAATTTAATAGACGATAGAACTTGCAAAAATAAAACAAAAAGTTCATATCAACTTGTAAGATTTAAAGCTTCCTTTTCGAGATACAGGGTGTTGTTACTTAAAGAAGAAAAAAAAATTAAGATATTTGAAAAACTATTTAATCGATTTGGATATAACTTGACCCGTTTATAATACTTACTATGGGACTTAATTTGATGTAATTAGATTTAAGTTTAATGACCAGGGGCGGCGGTGGGGCATCACTGTTAAATTATTTTAAAGGAAAAAATAGGCACGTCACTGCTTTTTTAGAAGTTTAATATTATTTTTGGATTTAGTAATTAAAAATATTATTTTTTTGTCTATCTTGCTTACTTTTTGCGAAAAAAATTAAATTCTAATTGGTAATTAATATTATAATTGGTATTCGAATGGTACCCTGTATCTCGAAAAGGAAGCTTAAATCTTACAAGTTGATATGAACTTTTTGTTTTATTTTTGCAAGTTCTATCGTCTATTAAATTTTCTCGATTAAAATCTGAGACACCCTGTATTATGTATGTCAATGATGACAGGTATTGAAAATTTCGATTTCAAATATCTCGAGAACCAATACTCGTAGCAATTTTTACCAAGAGACCTTTTTTACGTAAAAAATTACGGAAATGTATATTTTTTGACTTAATAGTTTTATACAGGTACGGACTAAAAGTTATTAGCCTTCAAGCCAGTTAAAAAATATGTAGGTGGCGCCCTCTACAAGTAGGAGTCATATTGACATCAAAATCGAATTTCTCATCTCAAAAAACTCCCAGACACCAATTTTCATCCAAATTTTTACGTTACTTCATAAATTATTATTTAGAAAAAATCGAAAATAAAATTGAAACTTCTACACCCTGTATCCATTTTTATCTGCAGAATAAGTTTCCGGAATACAATTCGGATCACCCTGTATATTATTTTTATTTAACCTTTCGAGGGCAGTAACTTCTTTGGGGAACATTTTAAGTATTATTTTGGGTATTTTAGTCGGATGTTTAACTAAGACGTAATAAATAATTTACTACGTCGTAGTAATAAAAAATCACATTCATGTAGTAAATTCAAAAACGTAAAAAATTAAAAAAAACTCACCTTCATATTAGTTAGACCTATCGTCGTCACCGTATAATCCGGATCCGTTTCCACAGCCAAAGTTTTCACTCCGAAGTGACCATAAACCGTCTCTCCTCCCTCCTCGCTCTCCCAGTACTGGTGACACTTGGGCCTCCCCCTCTCCATGGCCCTGGTGGTCATCACTATCACTAGCGTGTGTTGTTCCCACACCATCCTCCAGAAATCAACCGTCGTCCTTGGGAGAGGACCCTGTGTATTGATGAAGGCGTTTCTTTGCTTGTAACCGTCCACGAAGTTGGCGTGGATGTAGTCGCTATCTCTGTCCCCGTCGAGTTCGGAGAGTATTACACGGCTGTGGTCGTAGCACAGTACGTCTGTATACCTGGAAATAAATAAGTGTCTTGATTCTGTCCAGAACGAAAGATATAATAGCTGTTAATTAAGTCTTATTAATCATGTAATTACTAACTATTAGCCTTATATTTTTAAAGCAGATCAATCTAAGACGTTTATGGACTAAAGGTCCGCGCGCACTGAAGGGGTACCGGCACGAGCGAGCGGCGCGACCGGCACGACCGGTCGGAAAGTCGATTGTAGCCGCGTACTGGAGTCGTACGATCGACGGTCGAGAGTACGTCACCAGCATAAATTTGAGCATAGACGAGAAGTTTATTCAAATTTAGTCAAATTCATTCGGCATTTCAAAAAATTATAAAGTATTATTACTATTTATATTTTTATACAACTTTTTATATTTTATGCTTTATGATGGAAATTAATATTATTTAGATTTTAACCAAACACACATTAATATGTTTAGATCTTAACAAACCACATAAAATTAGTGAAATAGAGTGGAAGATGGGGATAAAATATACTACATGACTCTTAGCTTAACCGATTTTAACAAATTTGGTATCATTCAAAAGGGTTTAATTTGTTCTTTAAAAACAAGGCTAGATATGAAAAATAGTCAAATAAAACTTCTATTTTTAGTTTTTTAATCTAAATAAGTGTCATTACAAACATTTATGTATAGCTTTTATTTTAAGTTTTTAAAATCTTTGTTTTAAGTCAGTAGTAAATAAAACGAAACTTGTGTTTACATTTTGTTTAATGATTGACGTTTCGACCAATTTTAATTCGGTCTTCTTCAGAATCTATAATATACCTATAAATAATTTTCTACGTTTGTGGTAAGAAAAAATTATATATTAAACACATTGTTAGTGATAAAATTGTATTGTATATTATAGATTCTGAAGAAGACCGAATTAAAATTGGTCGAAACGTCAATCATTAAACAAAATGTAAACACAAGTTTCGTTTTATTCACTACTGACTTAAAACCAAGATTTTAAAAACTTAAAATATAATAAAAAGTCAAAGAAAATAGAAAAAAGAAAAAATATAAATAGTTTTTATAGTACCGTATTATCGAAAAGGAACGGCATCAGCGATGGCCATGAAATGAAGGTCGGTGCCATTTTATATGTAGATTTATATAGGAAATGTCATCAATCGTCATTTCCCATCCAACTGGACGCCGTTTTTCTCTATCATACGGTAGATATATGTACAAATATTTTATTCAAACATAAATATTATTTTCTCTATTTGTACCTTGTACGGAGCGATCAACATAGTAACATAGGATGACTATTTATCAGCTGTTATTACTAACGTCAAAACAAACCAAAAATTAAATAATATGATAAGTTTTTTGACGATATTTAAATTCGATTTCCATAATAATGTGAGATAATCAAAACGAGATGAGAAATAAATGGGTTTAATCGGAAGGTTTTCTAATTCAGTTATAGAATAAGTGTAGTAAACAATATAGGTTACGTGCTTGTAAGAAATTTTTATAAAAAACCGCATATTAAGTATGATATGGTCTCGTACACTTTCGATTAATAATTCATCGGACATGTTTAATGTAAAACCGCTCCACTAAAAACAGTCGCTCGGAGTAGACTATTCGTCCCCCTCCCATGCATTCTCTGATTTCGCCTGATGGCGCGAGTACCGCCGATAGCTCGAAGCGCACCGAGCGCACCGATCTGATGCGGTGCGCGGGCTTACATTTATTTCAACGTAAACTGAAAATTACGTGCCGCTCGCTCGCGCCGATACCCCTTCAGTGCGCGCGGAGCTTAACACTACTAGATGGTAGGACCCGTTTTTTCTGTAATTTACTACAGAAAAATATTTTTTGTTACTCTGAATTTTGAAGCGACCAATAAAAACAGAGAAAATAAAAATCGATAATTTTCGGACTGTGCCAATTGGTTACTAATCGACCAGATACTTTTTGTCTATTAGATATGCTATAAAAGCTGGTAATTATACAATTCAACCATTGTAAATACCCGACAAATTCCGCAAGGCCGACCAGGCCGACTTTTCTTACTGATGAGAATAGAAAAGTTCGCTTAGATCATTTTCTAGATATTTTTTCTTTCTGAATGCACATTTTATAGTTATTTTTTTATACAAGACGATGAAATCGCGAGTGAATTAATTTCGGAAGACGATAATGCAATTTTATTGTCGTAAAACAATATTTCTTCCCATAGCGAGTTACGTTTTAAAAAATATTCAGAAATTATTATTTCAAGGAATTTATTACGAGTAGAAAACATATGGTGCTGGGTTGGCGTTGGTTTCTATAGCTTACTTCGGGTTTCTCTTATTACCCATTCTGAACCGTCCTAGAACTGTGATGCGTATGCGCAGAAGGAAATATGAAGACATTATTTCATTTACGCATGCGCTGCCGAGTTCTAGGACGGTTCAGAATCGGTAATAACAAGAACCCGAACAAAGCTTATGTAATTTGACAAATTTAAACAGTAAACAATTTTAAATCTTTAACTGTTGCTCTTTAGTTGTCAGTTTTGAGTCAATATTTTTTAATTCTCTTTCGTATCGATTGATGATTGAACTGGAGCCAGAAATGGCTCAAAACGAGATAAGTAAATTATCAACAGATATTCAGGCTGAGGCGACAAACGCCATATCCAAACTACTTCCATTTAAATCCCGAATAACTTATGAAAAGAAATACAAAATTTTTCAAAAATGGAAGCAATTAAAAAACGTGCGTCAAGAAATAAAGTTTTTAACCTATCCTTGCGGTTAAAGTACTATTTTATCTACTATTTTTGATAGATATAAGGCGATTTTAACAGTTGCTATGGAAATAAAGGATTTTATATTCATGTTATATTCTTTTCGTCCCCTTGATCTATTATACTGGACGCATATATCGAAGTTCTGTTTCTTCTAATTTCAAAACATTTTCTTATTTCTTTGTAGTTGTAGTGTAAAATTAGATTAATTTATTAAGTTTAATTATATGTTTAATGTAGAATACCAGAAGTACCGTTTGATCGAATAAAAACGGCGTCAGCGATGGCTATGAAATGAAGATCGCTGTCATTTTATATGTAAAATTATATGGGAAATGCCATCGATCGTCATTTCATAGCCATCGCTGACGCCGCTTTTATTCGATCATACGGTAGTTTAGTAGTGTTTTTATAGTTTATTTTGTAGTTGAATGTAAAAGTTTTATGTTGTAGTTGGTTACGTTGTGTCATTATGAGAAAGGGACGAATTTCAAACTCCTATCTGTTTACCTGTTTTTAGCTAGATTCGGCCTAAGTTTCGCCACGTTAAAACTCCCATCCGGCGGCCTGGATCTGATCTCCGCATACTCCTGCACCAAACCCGACCTCCCCCTCTCCCTCACATAGTCCACCAGCTGAGACATACTCAATGCCGCGCCGTCGCCGTGCAACGAATCGTCATCACTGAACCCACTCGACGCGCTGGACGGCGGGTTCAAGTTACCCTCCTCCGACGACCAGGTATCTCCTGCACCCTCGACCTCGCCGCCCTGGGCGACCTTTTTCTGGGGCGACGTCGACAGCGGCGTGCGGTGGCCATCGGTGAGCCCTCCGTTCATCGAGGCCAGCAGGCACTGGTCCAGCCAGCCATCGTGGTCCAGGACGAGGGAGCCGCCCAAACGGGCGGGCAGGGAGTCGCGAGGGATGTGAGCTAGGAGTTGGGCGGCCGAGACGGTGTAGACGCGTTCGCGCAGTTTTTCGCGCACGAACAGGCGCAGGATCTTGAAGGGGGCCTTGAACCAGAGAGGCGCGGTCACGATGAGGACTTTTTTCAGTTTGGCCGGGTAGCCGCCCTGTAAGAGAAAAGAAATAGAGGTTAGGGTCTTTTTTAATGTCTTTAAATACTGTTTGATCGAAAAAAAAACGCGTCAAAGACGGCTAGAAAAAGTTCGCCATTTCAAAATCATTTTTACTTAACACAAAAATAAATTACAATCTTCTTAAGGCCAACTGGAAGTAAGCGCCATTAAAAAATATGCTGCCAAGTAAATGACGTCTAGGGTTTAACCTCGCCAAAATTACCACCGATTTTCAATCCCCAGCCGTATTTGACGCCGTTTTTTTTTTAAACAAAGAAGCCTTATGCTGTTTTAATTTTAAGTCCATTTTACACTTAGTAATTTTACTTGCCGCAATTAAGTTGAAGTTTACTTTACAGTCAGCAATTTTTATTGGAATATACAGGGTGGTCCGAACTGTTCCGATATACATACATATGATCCATTCCCCGACACAAACGGTACATTGTGAGACAGTAAATTGTAGAGAGAAACAAGCGCTATAACATAGGATACAATATTTTAATGAACAGTGCTTTCCATAAAATGAATAAAATGAAAAATATAAGAAATAATATAGATGTACTGATTTCTTTCGAAAATCGACAACTATGAAACTATGAACCCTTCCTAGACACAAACGGTACATTGTGAGACAGGAAATTGTAGAGAGAAACAAGCCCTATAACATAGGATACAACATTTTAACGAACAGTGCTTTCCATAAAATCAATAAAATGAAAAATATACGAAATAATATAGATGTACTGATTTCTTTCGAAAATCGACAACTATGAAACTATGATCCCTTCCCGGACACAAACGGTACCTAACCTAACCTACCCAAATAAGTATAAATATTCGCGTATTATAAACAAAAACTCGAATTTACCTATTTCTACGCCTCAAAACGCAGCAAAAATATCAAAAAATCTTTGATTTCCTTCATATTTTTACTTATATACTCTGGTAATTCCAAGCACTTATTTTAGTTGCCATCTTTCTTGTTGTTTGCTCCATGTTTATATCGCTCTGATGACACTAATACGATCACTGGTCTTAAAATTATCTTTCAGTCATTGTTGCTTACTCCTTGTTTTTTTTATAGCTCTGATTATTGATTAACTTATCAATTTATCACTCTGATGCCACTAATATGATTACTATATTATTAATCTTATTTATAGACAAGTTAACACGTAATTTTAACATCCTTACTACCAAATAAGTATAAATATTCGTGTATTATAAACAAAAACTCGAATTTACCTATTTCTACGCCTCAAAACGCAGCAAAAATATCAAAAAATCTTTGATTTCCTTCATATTTTTACTTATATACTCTGGTAATTCCAAGCACTTATTTTAGTTGCCATCTTTCTTGTTGTTTGCTCCATGTTTATATCGCTCTGATGACACTAATACGATCACTGGTCTTAAAATTATCTTTCAGTCATTGTTGCGTACTCCTTGTTTTTTTTATAGCTCTGATTATTGATTAACTTATCAATTTATCACTCTGATGCCACTAATATGATTACTATATTATTAATCTTATTTATAGACAAGTTAACACGTAATTTTAACATCCTTACTACCAAATAAGTATAAATATTCGTGTATTATATAAACAAAAACTCGAATTTACCTATTTCTACGCATCAAAACACGGCAAAAATATCCAAAAAATCGACGATTTTCCTCGAACTTTTCTACGCCGAAAAATCAACGATAATTTCGCACAATTTTACGTCGAATATCAGTCACACACGGAAAACTTAAAACCGCGGCGAACCACGCAATGTCGGGCCCGCTAATTGTCATCAATAAAAAAGAATATATTCTGCTGTTGTTTACCTATGGAGGAGACGAGTTTGGGGGGAAACCAAAGCTAGAAACGGGAGCGCGGAGGGGGGAATCACAGCGCACGCGATCATCGCGGCGAAAAAAATGCCGATCGCCTCCTCGTCTGTGAGTCACCGGGCTTCGGGGCCATGGCCGTTCCGATTTTGGCGCTGGACCCCCAAATACTCATTAAATACCGCGAATTTTTGACAATGGCGGATCCCCAATAAGTGCACATGAGCACATGAACTTCCCAGTCATAAATATTTGACACTTATTAAAGTGTATAATTTTGGCTGTATTCCGTTGCAAAACCAGACGAACCAGACCGGTAAACTACGGTAAAGAGAAATTTATCTTTTATGCATTTTTAATGTACCTATTCTCTGCTTTTACGATTGCTTCTTCTTTTCAATGAAGTTTAATATTGAAAAGTGCTTTATTAATAAACTGTTAGACGGCTCAAGTGAAGATTTGAAGGTTCAATATTAAAACAGATCAATAAAAAATAAACAAATCTAAGCAATATTTATATTTTTATAGCTTATAAAACATTCACGATTACTTGTTGTCTTGTTTTTCATGTTTTCTTTAAATGTTCCTGACTTTAAGAAACAATGGCTGCATGATAAGTTTAAATGATCCTAAAAAGTAATTCTATTTAGTTAACGAAATTTATTTATCTTTACAGCCTCCCTCCATTGCTTTTGGATGTAAATACGAAATATTATTACAAATTTTAGAAATTAAATAAGAATTTCACTCAAACTTCCAGTATTTTCTTGATTTCTGTCACATAATTGACATTGATTGACAAACAAAACCAGAAAAACCAGCCTTGTCCATAGATAAATGCAACAAGTTTAGATTGGAAAGCCCGTAAAAATTTTAGGTCGCGAAATTATTTTGGGTCGCGACCGTTATACGCGATATGGCGCTACTATAGCGGTTGCTAAGAACAACGGCAAACAAAAACAGAAATAATTTTCTCTTGTCAAAGTCAGAATCTTCAAAAATCATAATAATCTTTCAAAATCCAAACCGCTCTCATTAAAGAAATTCCGAAAAGTGTTTATAGCGTCCATTTCCAAAGTAATAATTGCTATATTGTGAGTTTAATTCAAGTTTTATTTACTCCAACCGGTGATAATTGTGAAAAAGTGGCATTAAAAACTTAAAAAGCTGTGCTGTGAACTGTGAACTGCAAAATCCATCGTGGATCGTGGCATAACGTCGGTTTCCAATGTTTCATAGGTATTTCATACATGCGTCCTTATATAAAATAAAGTTTCTTGTATGCAACACACTGTCTTTTATTTATAATATTAAACAAAAATAAATAAATTTGAATAAACAATATTTGGCGATATAATTCCGGAAAAAGCCGAACCGCTCCGAAATTTTCAAAAGTTTTGGGTCGCGACCGTTGCAAGGACAGCGCCAAATAGTGTTTACATTGTCCTTATGGGCACTTTCCAATCTAAACTTGTTTCATTTATCTATGGCCTTGTCGCGCTGGTGACAGTCATGTGACAGTTATAACCGAATTTTTCAGGAACCGTGTTCCGTAATAAAAAAACTTTCAGGAAACCCACAGAAACATAAAACCATAGCCAAGGTAAGCAACGAAATACACTCTTTACTAATGTAAATAATAGTCTGGCACATCCCAAGTGGAGGAAAGCACAAAACATCCCCCTTTAGAACATTTTCTGTAATGGCAAGATCCAAGATTCCCTAGATCCGAACATGTTCATATGATGAGAAATAAAATTTAGGACAAGTCACCTTCACCAGATTTTTTTTATTGCTATAACTCCAAAACTAAGGTAGATACAAAATAAAATCAAGAGATCGATTTTGTAGAGAATTAAATTTCCTACAATAAATAACTCAAGAAAGTTTCCTACAAAAAACTTTATCGTATCTCCGATAGTTACAAAGCTATTGACGAATATTTTTTTGCTAAAACCATGTATTTTGGATTCCTGGAGTCTCAAAACGTTGAGAAAAGTGTATTTAGCCATAACCAAAAACAACTAGAGATGAACCTCTATAATTGAACATGGAGCGTTGGACGAGTCTGTCAAGGTTTTCGAGATGTTTTACATTAGCCAGACTATATTTGCAGCTGTAATTATAATACAAACTATCACCTGACAAATTTTTCAGACTGCGAAAATAAGGGCAATGGTTTCAATAATATATTCACTAAATTTTCACTTCACACTGCTATAATTGATAATAATGCATATAAAACTTTCATAGTATATCCTAGTTTTTAATTCGTCCTACCTGACCGGTAAATCGTTACGTGTAGCCAGTGCTTTAAGCGATCATTACTGCAGTACTTCTTGTTTACGTCATCCTTTGCAAAATTATACAAAAAAAAACTACAATATTGTTATTTAACATAGATTACATTCTTTAATTTAATATTTATATTTAAGACTCGTATAAAGGCACATAATGCAGTGTTTTAATATTTTACCTCTTCTATCAAACACACAAAAAATTAATAATAAGTCTAAAAACTACCGAATAATTAAATAAACAAACAAAAATAATCTACACAATATGCTTGATCAGATTTTAAGAAATTAGAGAATCAATTAAATGACACATATTGCAGTATTTTTTATTTACGTCATTTTAACCACTGTACCGAAGAGTTACATCTCTAAAAATCGCGGAATATTCTTGAAAAATACACATATAAATAAACTAGACAATATTTAGCGTGAAAATTTATCGGGAAAATTCTAAAACTGACATAAGTACGTGAGGAAAACTCGGCCAAAAATTCGTTTCAAGGACGTACTAACTCTCAACTCAATCAACCGTTTCTAGGGCTTATTTTTTCCACGCATTTTGACTTTTTACCTGTTTCTAGAGCTTCCTGTAACCTCTCTGGTGAAACTGGGTTCCAAAAAACACACAAAAACTGTATTTTTTTCGAATTATAATAGTTTTAAAATTGTAAAAAGCGTCTAGTAGGGTAAAATGACGAACGCGCGCAACAGATGCAAGCGGACTGAGATCGATGAGGACGGCGACGCCAGCCGTCGGGACGCTGGAATCGACGCAGACGCCGCGGCGGGGTGTTTAGGTGGTTGCGGGATATACGGGGGCGTTTGTTTGTAATCTATTTTCCTTTTATACCGATTTTTTTTTCTGCTGGAATCCTACGATGTTTTTGCTAAATATCATTTAATAATGTTTTTTTCGAACATACGTTTACCGTTTATTTGAGTAGTTTTATTAAAATTAAATAAAAAATTATTTCATTGAGTCTTCAATAGAGTTCAAATATTTTATGGGTGGTATATTGCAACCCCAGAAGCAGATCTATAAGTTTTTTTTCCCCTGAACAAAATTTGGGAAATTTTTGTATTTTTCGATTATTTGTTTTATATTTTTAGTTAAAAAATATAATATTTTTATTTATTTATTGTTTATAAAATATAATATGGCAACAGAGGTAGTAAATAAATTTAGAGGAACAAAAAAGGAGAAAAAATGCAGTGGTTCTCAAAATTTAGGTCAAAAATCTTTTTTTTTATTTTCAAAGGTATATTTTTCCTTTACTTTATTCGACAGAAAATGACACTGAATAGAATGACATATCATATATGTCAACTTTTGACATTTTAGCTTAAAAAAATCGTGTTTTAAATTTCAATCTAGAGTGCCATGGCTGTGTCAAAAATACTAATTTTTAAGCAAGAAGCGTTGAAAAAATAAATTTGATTGTCTCATGTGTTTCGTGTCTTGTTCTGACCGGTTAAAAGATGCCCAAATCGTATTTTTAATCATATCTCAATTTTTTTTAAACCGAACAAGGGTGGCTCATTAGTATATTTGGAAAAACATATTTTTTACGAATAATTTGGTACCACACACTTCATATTTTGAGTCAAATTATCGTTATAGATCGTATGTTACAATTTCAATTAAATCATATGTGAAAATGTCAAAAGTTGACATGTGATATGTCATTCTATTCAGAGTGTCATTTTCTATCGAATAAAGTAAAAAAATTCCGAGGTTGTCATTTAAAAATCAAAAGTTGTAGTCATTTCCGGTGAAACAGGAAGTGACCGAAAACAATTGAATACGTCAATCAATCCTAATTTATGTCGTATACTAACGTACCAAATCTCGTTTTTTTATCTGAAAAAATAAAAAAGTTACAGAGGTGAACAGGTAAGATTGACAGGTAAAATTTTATGTATAGACGGACCTTTATATTCATTAATAGTAGATATTTGTATATCTCTAAACCAGAGACAGCTTTTAACATACAAACCAAATAAATGAGTCACTGGCAAGGATCAAAACCCGTCTGTTTGTCATGATTTAATTTGTTTTAAACGTAATTCAAAACAAACACACATTACCATGCTTGTTATGCCAAGCTAAATATCACTGACAATAAATTATAACCAACAAAAACAACAACAAAACGATTCAAACGATAAATACAATAAGTAAAGTATTGGTGCAAATATTGTTGTTTTCAAATTTTCAACTTGTTGTTAATAGGTGAAAAATATCTAAACTCTATTTTTCACAGTAGTAAAAGAAATGATTTATACACTGTGTCCAATAAATATGTACCAGCAATATTTTAACTGGTAAAACTTTTTAGTGCCACGTTTTTACGTTTAGTCCTGTAATTTCTTGACGGTGCGGTGTTTCAAAGCCTTCCAGTGTTGCCACATACTACCTTACCCATATTCTGCATATTTGTGTGTTCATAAGTTTATAGTAATTTTAATTTTCTTCGCAAGTTAACCCTTTATAAAGCACTACAAATTATTTTTTAGTTTGAAAAAATTAACAAATAAGGGAGTGGGGGGTAGTGGTCGATTTTTCAACCAGAGACTGTTAAAGCAAATAGATAATATGTAATGATCTAATGGATATAATGTATAAACTGTATGTATCATCCAATGTAAGAAAAAAAGAAGTTTATTTTGATTATCTCTACCACAGATTAGGTATACTATATGTATACAGATAAAAATCTTATCCCTAATTCGAAATTGGTACGAAAATTGTTTTTTATGACGATGTGCAAACAAGTAAAATTTCCTGTGCGCAAAAATAAACTCGCGTAAAATAACAATAAACAGCGTAATAGAGAGATATCGCTAAACCGAATAGCGTGCATGGACGTTAATAAGGCCAGGTGTTATTTCCTTTACGTGAGGTGGTATTAACTCTCTTCATTTATGGTTATCGGATCGGAGAGAATTCTGTTCGCGTCGCGTCCGCTATTTAAACTTAACCTAACTTTGAATTTAAAACTTTGAAATTGTTTTGTTTACTAGGTATTTTAAAACTTCCAGTGCTTTATTGTTCAACGTCTGCCAGTGGGTTTAGGGCAACAACCAACAAATTCTCTTAGAAGGGCTAAGTCGTCATCTGCTGTAAACCTAAGCCTCTTTATAGGTTCTTTAATATTGGAAGAGGTGGAATCCATATTTTGGATCATATTTATTTAGTAGTTTAGGCTTTCGCGGCTATCGTTTGAAGAATTTTAGGTTTTCGGGTTATTAGGCCGTCGTTAGGAAGCAATTCTAATCGACGACGGCCTAATAACCCGAAAAACCAAAATTCTTCATATTTATTTAATTAAAACTAATCCTAGCTACTTAAATACCAAATTACCTAATAAAACTAAAGTAATAATTCAAAACAATTCAAACATAACCTAAAATAATAGATCTCGCCGGCCGGCCCCGGCTGTCAAATACCCGAACATGCCCATTTAAGCAATTTTTAAACGTTATTTAGAAATAGCGCTTGGTGTAATTGATCCGCAAATTACGTCAGGCGGTAACGTTATTAGGGGGTGTTGCGTTAAAAATTGACTAGCGCCTTTACTCCCGCATATCGTAACCATGATAAGGTACGCGTAAATACTGCATACATGACGCAATTCGGTTTTCCGATATCTCTCTAATAACTGTGCCGGTCAGGCGCTGTGCACAATTTTAGAGGCTATAAGTGGGCGTGCTATGTGCGCAAACTAGTAACCGAACTAGTGCCCGATTCCGAAAATTGGAACCACGAAAAACAATAAAGAAAAAACAAAGTTTATAATCTGTCTAATCTGTGTCTCTACTATCTACTCAAAAATGTGCCCAGATCAAATAAATCAAATTTTGTTTTTCGAGAAACTCGCATCCTATGAGAAATGATCGAAAATATACAGCATTTGCTAATGATTTTAGAAAATATCATCCGAGCCGTAAGTTTGGTACACTAAATAAAAAGAAATAAATGTCCCAGATACATTTGTTTCTATATTTTTAAATTTTAGTCACACGAAATTTGCATAGAAAATGCTTAGACGACAATTATTACCTATAATATGATACACAGCGAACTCAAGTGTCACCAATACTCACTGGTCGAATATTCAACCGTTTACGTTAACTTTTCGCGCCAATTCGGCCAACGTATAGATATGGTTGATTAAATGGCCAAGGCGGGCATAGAAATAAGCATAGCAAACAAACTGGGCGATAATACACCTCCGCGCGACTGATTAGTTGGTTAAATTAAAGTGGTCGATTTAGCGACCATCGACCTATAAAGGGCTAAATAATTACTTATGAAAAATAAAATAAAAATACTACAGATATAAGTAAATACAGATACCAGAGAAATGAGTAAATATATTAAAAACTCTAGATAATATTACTTACCTTTAATAATGTCAAGATCTTCTGTGACAGATCATAGTCAAAATTGGAGTATTTTGAGTTAGACATGTCGTATATAAAAACTATCCCGGATTTCTGTGTCAAAGGGTTCTGTAGGGCAACGTCCAACTGATATACAACCCCCTGAAGGGTAGTTTGGTGACTGCTAGAGGCCGGTATATGTTTGTGGGCTGTAAACACTGCTATAGCTGCGTCGTTTGCATCTCTTTTAGGCTGAAAACGAGCAGAAATTTGATAGTTAAAAAGCTACTAAATAAGTATTTTTAGTGTTTCAACGTTTAAAAACCTACCAAAACTGTGAATTTTCCAGTGAGTAGCTCGCTGTGAAGGGGTTCTTTGTGGGGGTCGAATTTGTTTAGGCCTTCGCGCTGTCTAGTGGCTTCGTGCTGTTCGTACAAGGCTACAGCCCTGTTCACGTCAAATTTTCGGGCGTACAAAAAAAGTACTGCAGTAGACCAGGAGGTTGTACAGCCGTTTCTCTTAAATTTAGCGTTCACTCTTTCGATGAATTCTTTCGTTGCCTATATACAAATAATAATAACATTAAAAAAATATGGCGACGATTTAAATAGAATTCAGTCTATAAAAACACCAGCTGATTGAACAACTTGCCCGTACTACGCGTAGTACGTGTGTGGACCACTTTAGAATCGCTTAGCTGCCAAATTGTTCAAAATTTCAAAAAAAAAATAATTTGTTTTGTATTTAAGTATACAGGATGTTAAAGGCATTATATATTTTACAATAAAAGCATAAAAAATAATGAGGAATACCTAAATATTGTAAGGTTAGATCTGTAATCAAACTGAGGTCGCATCAATTCAAAATTATAAAGGAAAAGAACCTTGCAGCAGGTTCTTTTCAAAACAGTTTTCTCATTTTATTCTGTATATAGGCAGGTTTAAAGAACAATGCTATTCACAAGGTACAGGTCAAATAGATTATTGTATTGAAAATGTTAACATAAAACTATGAAGTTTATAAACAATACACACCACTATTCACATTTTTTTTATTATTAATTTATTTATTTATTTCTCAGTATACAGAACTGACAGCATCAAGCCTCATAGTGAATATTAACGAAAATTTTATATACAGAGTGAACCAAAAAATCTCCAATCATGTTTTCTATTTTAAATTTCCACCCTAATCTTTTTTATTAAATATGTATAAGAAAAATACTACAGAATATCCCATTTTCGTATGTTTTATATGTTTCCTTGTTTATGAGTCTAAAAATATAATATAGGCTATTCATATTTTCATAAATAACATAAAAGAGGCATTATTTAAAATTTTAACAAAAATCAACCTAGTTTAAAAGACTATTATTTAATTTATATCTTATATAGAATCTTAATAAACTACACTGAAAACAAACCTGTAAAACATACGAAAATCGGACACCCTGTACAGAAGAATATTTAAAATCACCCTGTGTATGTATGAAAATGGGTTTAAAAAGTGGGCTAACTACTATTGCATTTATATTAATAGAAATCATGATTTTATGAAGACTGGGTCACCCTGTAATAATAATAGAACGACATAAGGTCGAAGAAATGCCTCTATATCCGGCCTTACACTATTTTTGGCTTCATAAAACGGAACACATCGTATTAATTCATTCATACCACCGTCCTGCATATTAATAAGTCAATTTTACTGAATATAAAAAGAGAAGAATGAATTTTTAAAATACGTATTACAAAGAATACACGTCTTCCTGATGAAATCTCAGTCAAAAAGGAAGTGATTGTCATTAGTGGAGTGCTACCTTTATTTATGTTAAACACTTTTGGTAATATTACAGGATCTACAGGCAAAAGTACATAAATAAACAAAAGAATCTTAATAAATCTCTTGATACTTGATTAAATCTAATGCATATAATCCCCCGATGTTCCTAATTAATTAAATTAAAATGTTACTGCCCACATACTAGCAAGACAACAAAACTAAACAAAAGATAAACAAATCAAGCACTCTATTTCGTTCGCCATTTTTTGATAGATGTAAATTGCCTACGTGTCTTGATTTGCAATATAAAGATGGAATATCAACAAAGCTTTGCGTAAAACTCATAAAATCACTTACATTTTCTTGTTCTTGTGTCAAAGGGGCAGCCATCATGAGATCACATACGTACACACGGCACAACACTCCATAAGAAACTGAAGTAAATCAGCGGATGGACGACAACACTGCGCGTAACTTTAACAAGCTTTAATATTTGTTAAAAACGTTGAAAATAATCGAGCTTTTCGTTAAACCGTCTATTTGCAACATAAATAATGATTTCCCAGAGATAACGTTGCAAGGAAATCGTTAATTCACGGGAAAAATATGAAAGATAAATATTGTGTACGTTCGTCTACGCCTTGTCGATAACATGCAAACGCACAGTCATCATTTTTAGGTGAAGTAATTAAAAAATATCCGTAGTTTCGTAAACGGTTTCTGCGGATGTAATTAATTTTAGAAGAGACTAATTTTAGCATGTGCAAATCAAAAAATCAACAAAGTATTATTAGATTATTTGGCAACGCGGCTATGTAATGTCAAAATAAAGAATTTCTTATGTTGTCAAATTTGTTTTATTCTTCAAACTATTTTTATTTTTAATAATTCATTCAATAATTTCTATAAGCAAACTTATTTAAATTATTAAATTAAATAAATAATACACTCAAGTAGTTTTTCCTAAAGACACTGCAGCAAAAGTGCGCTATTTTTGATTAAAAAAAAATAGAAAAATAAACTTGACAACAGTGTCAATAAAAAAAGGTATATGAAGAAGAAATATTCCAAAATGGCGATTATTTTCAAACATGAACTGGAGTGAATTAAAGTTTTTCAAATATCCGTTGTTTCAGAAAGGTCTGAAAATACTCTATTTTATGCGTACAATCTAATCAGCAGAAGGAAACGATTCAGAGGCATAGGAAGATATCTAAGAGCAACTATGGCAGAAGAATTGGAGTTAAAAACTGTGGAACATTCCATTCCTATCGATATACTCAACGATCTTTTAACGTAAGATATCTTTGCCGATCCACAAAGAACCCTTTTTATTGGAATTTTACACTCTTTTTTAAGGAGATTCATTATTTTCGTTCCACAATCAGCCAAAGAAAATCTGATTCGTATATGTTTCCAAATCGAACTGGCCCACTGGTTCTATTTGGACTTCTACGTTGGAAACGACCCGCGTCTCAAAACCTGCAGTATATATGAATTCGCTGCCCATGTTTTCCAAGTAAATATCCTTTTTTGAATAATTTAAAACAGTTAAAACTATTTTTCCCTAGCATGTCCCATTCTTGAAAAGCGAAAGCCATAAACTGAACCAAATACTAGCTGAATGGAAGGAATACAAACAAAGTGTCCCCACGTACGGTGCTATAATACTTTCTGAAGGCCTATCCCATGTTCTGCTTGTCCAGAGTTATTGGGCAAAATCTTCGTGGGGTTTTCCCAAAGGTAAAGTAAATGAAGATGAAGATCCGGCACATTGTGCTATAAGGGAAGTACAGGAAGAAACCGGCTTTGATATTAGCCCATACCTCAAACCAAACGAATATCTTGAATCTGTAATTCAGGACCAGTTAGTGAGGTTATACATAATTAAAAATATTCCAAAACATACAGAATTCAAACCGAGAACAAGATGCGAGATTAAAGCTTGCAGTTGGTTTGCTGTGGCTGATCTACCGAATAACAAAAAAGATGCCACACCTAAAACAAAGATCGGAGTCAGCCCTAATGCATTCTTTATGGTGCTCCCGTTCATTAAACGGTTGAAAGCGATTTGTAATAACAGCACAGCAGGGCGGAAAGGACGAAATAAATCGGCCAGTCTCAGTGAAGTGGATAATACCAGTTCTAAAGTTAAGGTAAAGTCTAAAACTGAGACAAAAAAGCCAGATAGTAATCGTAAACACAGTAAGAGACAGTTGTTTTCTGATGACGAACACATCCCTGTCGAGTTTTCAGCTCCTTCCTGGCTTAATTTCAAGTTTAACAAGTTGGCCATAATGGAATGCATGCCATAAAAAATGCAAGGTATGGCTGCAATGGGGACTTCTTTATAGAGTGGTCAAAAATGTTATAAAGTGATTGAAACACAGAAAGTGCTCTGGTATATTTCTTTAAAAGGAGCAACTTTCTCTGTTAGGCCCCAAATATTTCACGTTTTATCTTGTCTCGACATCTCAAAAAGCTTTAACTGAGTATTCTAATTTTTTTTCTTAAATTCTACATTAAGATGCATGTAATTTTTACAGTTTTTTTTCTTTTGGTTGCTTAATAGGGTTTTATATACTATATGATTGAAAAAAAAAACGGCGTGAGCGATGGCAATGAAATGAAGATCGCTGTCATTTTATATGTAAAATTATATGGGGAACGTCATCGATCGCCATTTCCACGCCAAGTGGACGTCGTTTTTTTTACGATCATAAGGTAAATCAAAGAATGGTGATAATAGTTTTTAAATAAAAATGCAATAATTCTCCTAGTTGATTTATTGGTTTTACAAAACTGTTGCATTTTTTTTAAGATATTACAGAAAGTCTGACGTTTTTTTTTGGTATAATTATATTCTGGATGACAAACTGTGTTTTTTTTTCTAATAAACAAATCTTTTCAAAATATATGAGTTTTATTTGAAGGCTCTAAACATAAATATTGAATGAATAATTATTTATATAAAAAATATTACTTAATGCGTTCTGATGTAATTGCTATAATTTGTTCAACAGCTTTTTTGCTTTCATCAGAATTATTATTGGATAATTGTAGATCCCAGTGCTCAAAATCATCCAAATCACATTCAGATACTACGTTGTCTATGCCTAAAAAAATACTTAAGAAATACATTAAAAATACTTTATTTCCATACCTTCAGTGTATTTGTATCCACGAGCTATTCGTACATCTGTTTCAGCATAAATTCTCAGTACACATAAATTTTTAAAATTCTCTTTAAACCAATTAATATCAGTTTTCCTTCGAATATCACTAACTATCCAAACTGGAGTAATTTTAGCTGTCAAATAATATCATTGACAATACTCAAACACTAAACAAGGAAAGAAAGCTTACCATCCTTACAAGCAGCCCTACAAAAGTACCCTGGATCTTCACTACGAACTTCATCACTCCAATTTATCATATCAATTCGGTATTTTTCTTTATACGGACCATCACCCATCAGTTCCTTGAAATCCAGTTGATGATTTTTAGCGTATAACTTCTTCAGAGGTCCCGAAATTCGTACGATTTCACATTCTTCTTTGAGTCTATTTCAAATTTGTTTTTGAACAGTCAAAATTAGTTTTGAAGCTGTACTTACATGTTTTTTATTTGTTCACATATAAAATCTTTGCCAGACTTTCTTTTACCGCTAAATAAAAGGATTATTTTGGGATTCTGCATTGTTTTGTTGAAAGGAAATCGTATGTAAATTAAAAGGTGGAGTAAAATATTTAAAAGAATACATAATTTTCATTTTGTTGATGTTTCGGTGACGTTTATATAACCTAAATTATTGCTTCTGGTCATCTATTGACGAAAGTTCAAACTTTTTCTGCGAATTTACAGGTTTCTTTTTCTTTACCTGCGAATTTACAGGTTTCTTTTTCTGCAAATTTACAGGTTTCTTTTTGTTTTACAGAGTTGAATGAACTGTAAACGTCAACAGAAAGTGACAACGTTGTCAAAATTCGGTACGCATGATTCGGAAAAGTGATTATTTTGGTACAAAACACCGGATTTTTATCAATTATAATATGAAATAAGTAAGGATAGCTGAAAATAATCGTACCAAGTTCAAATGTGGCCTGATTTTGTGGGTTTTAACGAGGACTATGGCTTCAAAAGTTCTCCGGAGTCGAGCAGCGACAATTCTTTTTGTACAGGTAAAAACATCCGCCCCCATACACGGTTTTTCTGGCGATTTTCCCGTATTTCTACCACGCTGACATTTTCTTTGTTATAGATAACATGGACGTATCCTCGGGCGAGGACTTTTTAACGCAGTTATCTACAGATTTGGATATTCCATTGCTCTTAAATGCTGGTGAAGATGAAATGGCACTACTTAACTCGTTTCTTGACAAAAGTCCTGACGAAATTCTCTCCGATGTAGCTTCCCCGCCTAGGGAGGACGTCTCAAACGATAGTCTGGATGTTAAAGATGTAGATTTTACAGCCTGGGACTTTGCTAACATACCTAAGACAGAAGAACAGGACGTAGCATCTGATGCTTCTAGTGTTTCAAGCAATTCTATCGAATCTACTACCAGAATTCCTGTTGTACAGTATCCTCCTTCAACTAGGATCAAGCTAGAGGAGATTGAACCAAAAATAAAGACAAAAGTTCCAATAAAAAGAGTTCCAATTCAGCCCAAAGGTCAAAACAACTTTGTAGTCATAAATAATAAATTCCCTACAGTTTTGCCGCAAGGAATTAGCGGTTTATCACCTAAAGTTGTGGTTTTGGATAATATTTCAACATTCCCTGTCAAACAGGTGTCTCCTATTCTTCCTAACAGACCGTGTAATATGGGAATAGATCCGAAAATTTTTAAAAGGCAACAGAGAAAAATAAAAAACAGGGAATCTGCATGTTTATCCAGGAAGAAAAAGAAAGACTATTTGAATTCTTTAGAAGAACAAGTGAAGGAATTAGTTGAGGAGAATAAATGCTTGAAAAAGGTAGGTACTTGAAAAAACACTTATCAGAAGGTTATATATTATTAATTCTTCACTAAATTAAGTAATTCTGGTACCAGGCTCTTATAATCTCTTGATAAGGAGTCTTTAAGTAAATAAAAAACACGTTTTTTATTAGGAAAACGCACTATTGAAGGACAGGCTCTCGTATTATGAAGAGGATAAATCTTTTAAAAGCATATCTTCGAAAGGAACTAAACCAGCGTTGGTTTTGTGTGCTTTTCTACTTGTAGTAGGATTAAATTTAGACTATTTAAGGTAAGTGAAATATGTATGCATGTAACATTAGATATCAGTTTATTTTCTATTTTAAAAAAAACTTAAAAGTAAAGATAAAAAAGAGAGATACATAAAGTGTTACCAGTTGACATGAAAGCTATTTATCCAGTATCATGCCAGAGAGTTAATATTAAAAATTTAGAATTTAATAAATATTGCTATTTTAATTGTTTCAGATTTTTTTTTCTTTAAATATATTGTTTTCTTTTAAAAAAAAACATTTTAAAAATTATATTTTATCATTTTTCTATTTTTTTAGAAGTCCCTTTTTATCAAAGTCAAATAAAATTGACTTGGCCCAAAGTAAACACACGCATATACCCCTTAATCACCATGGTAGAGGTCTTTTGTGGGCGGATGATCAAAACACAGACCCAAGCGTACCAAATAGTACTTATTTTTCAGCCCTAACCATGTGTCCGGCTTCGATAAATCAAAGCGAGAGTGCCAGACTTCTTTTGGAGCTGGAAAGGTATTTATTTTGTTTAAATTGTATTATTAGTTATCAAAATATTTGAAAAATGCAGTGCATTATAGTAAAAAATCCATAGAATATCCCTATTTCGTTAGGTACACATTTTTTTGAATTTTCTCTAGAACTAATGACAATTTCCTACATCTGGCATCACTGAAATGCACGTCGGAAGTCGCAATGTTGCCGTGGCTACTTTTTTTACTTTGATTTTTGACTAGTGTTAAATAAAATTTGTAATTTTGTGACCGATTTTTCATATTATCAATTTTAGACCCAATACATATACAGATATTGCTGAAGATTTTATTATTGCTAGATATGAATATGACCTGGAGAATTTTTTTTGTTTTCTCTATTTAATTTTTTCTGTTTTTTTTATTATTTTATATTTAAAATAACTTTGACTCTTGCTTTGGTTGATAGATGGATCGGAAAACCTGAAATTACACCAGAAAAAAAATCTCCTGCCACTGTTTTGACTACTAGAAAGCCTAAAACAAAAAGAAAGAAAATACGGGTTGATTCTTCGCTAGTCCAGGTTTTAGAAAATAAAAAATACGGCCCAGAGAACGAGAGTAAAAACGAAATTCAAGTTTTCACTCCTAAACCCGAACAACTTTATTCAGAATTTTTCGAGGCTATTAACAGGCAAGAAGACACGTTCTACGTGGTGTCTTTCAGCGAGCAACACCTCTTAGTACCGGCTTTGTACCATAACAAAACCCGGAGACCCAAAATGACGCTTCTTATGCCTTCGGTACTTCCCAACGGTACTTCAACCCAAACTTTTGTACCTTTGATGCAAATTGATTGTGAAGTACTCGATACAAAGCTTGTTAACGTGAAGTATGGTGCCATACCCAGGCAGTACCGTAATGTTACAAAAACCAACGGAAATGACGAGCATAGAAAATCAAATTCTACAGTACCAAGGAAAAATAGGGATAAGGGAGCTTATAAGCCCTATTTTTTGGGTAAAAAATTCTTTAAAATGGATGATATAAATTAGTTTAGTCAAAGTTTATATTAAGCTTTTTTTGTGATCTCGGTGAATGTATTTTTTTCTGGGTTTTCCAATTTGTATATACGTTTGTGCAATAGTATTTTTTCTTATCAATTTTATGCCATTGAGTTCATTGTTTTCAGTCATTTTTAGTATAATTTAGATAAAGATTTATGTAGATTTTTTACATTTATAACAAATGCAACAAGCTAATGATTTTTTTATTTTGGTAAATAGAAAGTTCATGTTAGAAGAGATTTTATATTATGTATATACCGTATGATCGAATAAAAACGGCGTCAGCGATGGCTATAAAATGAGCATCGATGACATTTCTTATATAAATTTACATATAAAATGACAGCGATCTTCATTTCATAGCCATCGGTGACGCCGTTTTTATTCGATCATACGATATTATTCTGTGATGACTTAAATTAATATATGTATATTAATAAATATGAGTATTCTGTTTTATTTCGAACTGAAACATATTTTTCTAAAAGATGTTTGAAAATGTAAATTATTGGTTAGGCAACCAGACATACACCAAAACCATTTTTATTTTTTTTAACATATATATGGCTCATTTTTAGCTACAAAAGGATTTACTTTAAAGTTTATAACAATAGTTACTATAAATTTTATTATTTCGTACTCTAAACATAAAAAACATCATTTTTAAGTGAGTACAATACCTTTTCCATTTTACTGTAATATAGAAAAATGAAATAAACTATTTAGGTACCACCTAATAATCACAATAAAATTAATTATGTTTCTTTAAATAATACTACAGGAAAATATTTGTTTTATTTACTTTAAATATACAAGAATTTTTAAAATGATTTTAATCAAAAGTCAATTTAACTTCTGTTTCACTTTTTATGCATTTAATTTCCTTCTCCAACGTCAAAATTAAATTCAGGAGCAATTCCGATCCAGTGTATACTTCGAATTTTTCTCTTCTTGTATCAGGAGCATATAATTTCAGAGGAGGTATTCTGCCAATAATTAAAACTAGGCTGTTTAACTGGTTGCCAACTTTTTCTCTCAACTTTTGCGTTCGCTTTGAATGCTCACATCTCCTCGAATATTATGTTCTCCTGATACAAATCGGGAAAAATTCGAATACTCGCGTTTCGTTCGGTATTCTTGAACGAACGTCCGGGCCATAAACTCTCGAAAGCCCAAGTTATCGAAAACCCGAACGCAAGCGAACGGTAAACCGAATGGTCCCGATTAGAAGTTATCGAATCTCGGCTCCTCCCCTCGTTATTTGTATTTTAAATTGTAAACAAAAGTCAACGCAATTTGTTTTTGGTGGAAATATACACTAAAATACTTTAAAATGTAATGTATTTTACCTTTTTTATAATTAGGAGAAAATTTTTAAAAAGATATTTCTGGTAATTTTTGGACACCGATGTAAATAATAAATTTTTTTAATGTTATTTTTTTAATAAATAAACTTTTTATTAAAAAAATAACACGATCAAAAATGCTGTGATACTCCACAGCAGTATTATAAGGTATTTTTCAAAAAATTCATTGCTTCAATGACTGCTTGAACTGAGTATAATTAATCGTGCAAGACACAATTGTGACACAATAATCATGGTAGGTGTGTAAAGACGTGTTGAAAGATAAAAATGTACCTACTAATTTTTTGTTAATCGTTAAAATTTTTTGAACATGCGGACTTTTTGACGGTAACATTGCTTTAAACTGAGGTATCCTTAATTAAACACCGTTAAAGTGAAAAAATAGATGTAGGAAAAACAATAAATACTCCTACTACATATTTTGACAATTTTTATTATGCAAAACTGCCAGAAACTTTCATATTGTCTTCTTTTTTGACAAAAATCCTTCAGCCCTTCAATCGACGAAATTTGACTGTAAAATCCTTGATTTGAAGGAAACCTTTCAATTCTGGCAACACTGGATAGAAGAGAGAAAAGAAAAGGAGGGAGTTTTAAAATATGAATTAAATTAGCATTGTTTTTTTTTAAGTTTAAGATAATTGAATTTATTTGATTTGTTGTGTTCTGTCCCCCAAACAGCAACCTAGTCTATAGTAAAATTGTGGTAAAATTGTTAACTTAATAAATAGTAAATTAAGAATTAAATTAATTATTCCAAGGCTTATTATAGGTTTTATAGAATATAGAATTATAATTTATTTAGTTAATCACGTCCCCTTTAAATAGTAAATAGATATATATTAAATAAATAAGAGGATGTTGAATTATATTTCTTTAATTGTTTGAGAGACAACCTTTTTCTGATCAATCAATCAAAAACCTGTGGACAAAAACCGCACAAAAACCGCCAGCAAACAAAGATGGACGTGATATTCCAATTTTTCTTCCTAGTTATTAGGAGTACATAATCGTCAATAGATAACGGACAAAATAAATTTAAGGAATCTAGGAATGTAAAATGGTATGGCAACCAGTTAAACTGTAAACATTTTGAATATTTTTAATAATATTTTTACATAATAAAATTGCAAAAATGCCCCAAATTATTATCTACACTACACTAATTAATTAACTTATCAATTTTTCGTATTTTAAGCTTTTTGCTGTCTCAATTTCTAATCATTTTCGTGAGTATTCGGTTTAAGAAAAATACCTCTTCTAATATTATATTCTCCTGATCATAAATTCGTATATTTCGCATCGTTTGACGAAGTCGCATACGACTGAGATCGACGACATTTGACATTGACTTTTTTATTGATTAAATAAACTACTATGATTAAACTGTACTTTTACTGTACTTTACTATATTTATTTATCTATGTATGTATTAAAGAGTATATGCTCACAGAATTAATATTAATTCACACAATTCAAATTTTGTTTATTTTAATTATTATTCTTATTTTTAAAATAAAAAAAATCTATCTATTATTTATTAATTCCATTTTTAACAAGAAAAATAAAATTGTACCTTGATGCAATATAAATAAAATATGATAATATGTATAAAAATAAATTTAAATTAATTTATTCCACGTTTCTTTTTTGATAGACAAATAAATTTTTTATAAAACATCAAAACTCAGCTACCTACAGCATTTTTGAAGCATAATTTTCCAGAGCACAATTTAAAGAAGTTATTCTTTATAATTATAATTATTATAGAAATAAATATAGAAATAAATAACACCCATAAAGGAATTAATTTTTTTAAATGTATGGATATTATATTAAAAAATGTATATTTATGTATAATATGTATTCCCTGTTTGTATATAACAATAACAAGTATATAATAAAATACGTAATATGAACATAAATTAAACGGGTAATAATTATTTAATTACCACAAAATAAACAAAATTCCTTTACTTAAAAAATTAAAGCTATTTTTTAACTATTGAAATATATCTACATTTAATAAACTTTATTACTAAGTCACTTTATTGTTAATATTAGTTGACAGATAAACAGAATATGCAGGAAGTAAATGATTAAAAAAGAATTATTTTATTTATTAAGTATTTCTTTTTTCCTATGGGTATTGTAAAATTAACGCAACATCTCCATTTTCTATCAGGAACGTATAAAATGCCGCGAGAAAATTTAAATTTTGCCATTCAAATCGTGGCGCCCTCTGAACGACTTTTTGATGTACTAAAAATAATTATTTTTAACTGGCGCCCTCTAGTAGTGACTGGCAAAAACAAGGTACATCAAAATAGAGAAATCTGTAATTTAATTACAGATTTCTTTGTTCTTTGAAACCTTTACAGATTTCTCTATTTTATATAATTAAAATAAAAATTTAATTTTAATATAAATTAGGATAAATTATTATATTTACTAATTATTTATAGATTGTTTATTTATTTAAATACAACATTAATAATCTAAATAATATATTTCTTTTTAAATGTAAAAAGAGATAAAAACATAACCTAGAAATTTTCTAGTCAAGTTTGTTTAGAAACTTTAAACGAAATAAAACGCAGTAAAATTAGAAATCCTTCCTTATTTATTGAGTAAAAATGAGTTTATAATGGATGAATCCTTAATAGAGAACTGTGACGACTTAGTCCGAGTAAAATTAGGGTTTCAAATAGGAGAACAGTTTACATCGTTCAAAGAGTTCCAAGAAAAGTTACTTACCCGAGCTAGAGCTAATTTTGTACGTTTTTCTAGAAAAGACAGCCGAACTATCGAAGCAGCCAGAAAAATCATCAACAGAACTTATCAAGCTGACTTAATATTTTATCAGTTAAAATATGCCTGTTTCTATTCAAATAAAAGTCGTACAAATAACAAACCCCTCAAAAGAAAACGACGGTAATTTTCCCTGTAAGATACTCTCGATTTTAATCGTATATTTTACTTCCTTCTAGCTCACTTAGACAAAAAATAGACACACCATGTCCAGCATTTATATCATTAAGACTATCTGAAGATGATCGTGCTCTGGAGATAATTAACATGGTGGAGTACCATAATCACCCTGTAACAGAGGAAGACTACCAAAAGCTGATTCCAAAGAAAAAGAGTTTAGAAGATGAAGAAGGAAATATTAGTTTTGAAAATATCAACACTCCTGAGGACAAATACAAAATTGTACTGAACAAATGCAGACACATTGCTAGAATTGCCTCATTATCCAGTCCTAGTAAGGTTCAAGAAATTCTAAAGAATATGGATGATTATGTATTTTATTTGAAATATAGCTTTCCCAACAGTGAAGTTGACGAACTGATAGAGGGAGAACAGCAAATTGAAACTAGTATTGTTGATCCTTTACTTCATAACGAGAATATTAAAATAATTGTGGAATCTGACCCAAATATTGAGTGAAATATACGTTCTTTATATGTTTTATTAAATAAATAACAAATATTAATTACAATTCACTTTAGATCTGGCGTACTTGATCCTAGATACACTCTCAAATCATCTATGTTGGATTTAACAAGTTTTACAGGTATCAATTCGTTTTGTAGTCTTTTGTGAGCTTCGTATCTGTGACATCCTCCAAAAGAATAGTAGTAATTACCTCCTTCTCTTCCTGTGATCCATAATACATCAACTGGAGGTACTTCATGAGCTGTTTCAGGCTTCAATAAGGTTTTCATGAGTGATGCGACCTTTTTCTCATCCAGAATAGGTGGTATGGGTCTTATTATTTCTTTTAAAGGCATTTCGTGAATTTCACTGATGTTTCCTGCATGAATACTGGTCATTTTGTGGTTTGATCTTGGGAAAATTGACCCTACAACTTGATTATAAGAGTTATATACCGAAACCCTCAAAAGAAATGTACTAAATACTTATGTAAATGTTTATCCTAAATATATATTAATTTACACATCTATAGTATGGAATTTTTTGATGTGAGATGATACACTTGTTTTTTCTGTTACTACTACCGTTCTAATGATACCATATATCATTTTATGCTCTGAAATTTTTAACAATATTGATTGAAACAAACTTTTTCTTTGAATAATTTATCTGACATGCTACACAAAAGTGCATTAGCTAAATGTAATAATTATTGATTCATTTTTCGTGTTAACTAAACTAATAATTCTAAATAAATAATGGTAGTTTAAATTTAAACTAATTAAATAAATTAATAAAGTGCCCACATGGACGTCGAAATATGGCAACGTTGATTAATAAAATATATTTTTAAATACAATAAAACTTTACAAAACTTACCAAAGGTAGTAGAAAGTATTTTAGAACTATTCGCTGATACAATCTTGCAATGATTCAACATTTTTTAATAGTACAATAAATTTTAGAGCGGATTTAAAACTAATCAAGGCAATGTTGCCATTGTATCGATTTATATTTACAAGGATATTCAATTTATTGTAGTTATTAGATACGATTCTTTTGCATTTAATCAATTTTAGTGTTATTAAACGATTGTTTTATGTATTAATCAAAAGAATTTCAATAAAAATAGATAATATTTTTATTTATATGGAATAATTTCAAATTTAAATGTACTGTTTCGTACAAACTCCAACAGAGGTCGACACATATCGAAAATTTGACAATCGAAGCAGATAAAATTGACAGATGCCGAGTTGTCTAGTGAAAATGGTAACAAATATCGTTTTTTTACCATTTTTTGTATAAAATCTGTGTGTTTTTTTCGTATATCTTTAAGAGGAATCATGGTAACGTACAACTTTTCATTTCCTGCATGTATTTTCTTTTATATTACCACGAAAACTAACACTTTATCGCGTTTAAAAATGTCTAAATACTGCTCATATAAATTTTGGTAATAACAAGCTCTTTAACAGCACGAGATGCATTTAAAACGTGCTAGATTAACTCGTTTAGTCATCTTTTAATAGTCTCGTACGTTTTAGGGGTAAAATTCTCCTTGTTTTAGAAAAAAAACGGCTATATGGCAAAAACGTCACACCCACGCATCGTAAACAAAATCAATATTTCCCTACTGTATTTTATGTGTTTTCATCTTCGTCATTCCGTTTTGTTTATTTTTCTATGCACCGGGAAGCCTTCTGTAAGGTCATTTCACCGCCGGGAAATGTTTACCCTAGAAGTAGAGCAGAATTTAACGAATACAAGTAGAAATTACTTATTTATTTGTTTATTTTCTTGTAGTTTAATTTAAAGAAAGTGTCCATGGAACGGGGCAATGTCGTTGCCAGTGTCTCAGTATGAGGAGCTGCTGGCGGAAGTCAGGGGCCTGAGACGCAAGGCCCAAAGGGTCCAGCAGCTGGCCAGGCCTCTGATTGGTGCTGCGGGTCTTCCACAACAATACCAGGTGAGTTTCACTGACATTCTCCTCTCTGTGTGACCCTGACTTGGCCTTATTTGATACCAAGTCCATATAAGGAGGGTGTTTTGCTTCAAGATTCGTTGACCTTGACCGATAAATACATTTAAATGGAGGAATTGTTATTGATATACCTTCTGTTGGACAGGAAATCTCATGTAAATTAAAAAAAAACATTAATTAAACTTTCCCATCATACCAAAGATAATACTACTATATGTATATAAATTAATAGTAAAAATAATGTGATCGTGATAGGGATAAAAAACCTGCTACCATTAAATGCAGTTTTTTGATATTGTTGCCGAAAGTCAATCAGTATCAAAAAAAGACCCCATGTCGACAACTATGAAAATATGAACCCTTCCTGGACACAAACGGTACATTGTGAGACAGGAAATTGTAGAGAGAAACAAGACCTATAAGATAGGATACAACATTTTAATGAACAGTGCTTTCCATAAAATCAATAAAATGATAAATATACGAAATAAAATAAATGTACTGATTCCTTTCGAAAATCGACATCTATGAAACTATGAACCCTTCCTGGACACAAACGGTACATTGTGAGACAGGAAATTGTAGAGAGAAACAAGCCCTATAACATAGGATACAACATTTTAACAATGCTTTCCATAAAATCAATAAAATGAAAAATATACGAAATAAAATAAATGTAAAATGTAAAAGAAATCTGATTTAAATAAAAGAAAATTGATTTAAACAAAAATCTGATTTTTTTATATTTCTCTGACTTGCTCAAAGGTCATTGGTTCAAACAATTGAGACAGATTTGGATATCAGGTTGAATTATGTTTTCTATTAAAATAAACAAATCTGATTTAAATAACAAAAATCTGATTTAAACAAAAAAAATCTGATTTAAATAAAAAAATTTGATTTTTTTTATTTTTCTGAATGACTGTTCGAAAATAATTGAGACAGGTTAGTAAATAAGAAGGTTGAATTATGTTTCCTATTAAAATCAAAAAAAATCTGATATTAGGAAACAAATCTGATTTAAATTAAAAAAAAATATTTAAAAAAAATCTGATTTAAACAAAAAAATGAAAAATTTTCTGAATGGCTGTTCAAACCAAAGGTCATTGTTTCAAACAATTCAGACAGAGAGAGATTTGTATATAAGGATGTCAAATAATGATTTCTATAAATAAAAAAAAATCTGCTTTAAATCAAAAAATCTGATTTAAAGAAAAAAAAATCTGATTTTTTTTAATTTTTCTGAATGGCTGTTCAAACTTAATTGAGACAGATTTTTATATAAAAAGGTTGTATTATGTTTTCTATTAGAATAAAAAAAAATCTGCTCTAAATTAAAAAAATCTGGTTTAAACAAAAAAAAATCTGATTTTTTAATTTTTTTTAATGGCTGTTGAAACATAATTGAGACAGATTTATGTATAGGAAGGTTGAATTATGTTTGCTATTGAAATAAAAAAAACTAAGTTAAATAAAAAAAATCTGATTCAAACAAAAAAAATCTGATTTTTATAGTTTTTCTGAACGACCGTTCAAACATAATTGAGACAGATTTTTATATAAGAAGGTTGACTTATGTTTTCTATTAAAATCATTTTCTAAAAAAAATTGGTTAAACAAAAAAAATCTGATTTAAAGAATAAATCTGATTAAATTTAAAAAAACTGATTTAAACCAAAAAAAATCTGATATTTTTTATTTTTCTGAATGCCTGTTCAAACCTTGTTGTTCAAACATAATAATGTTATCTAGTAATATAAAAAAAATCTGATGTAAATTAAAAAAATCTGATTTAAACAAAAACTGTTTTTTAATTTTTCTAAATGACTGTTCAAACAAAATTGAAACAGATTTGTATATAAAAAGGTTGAATTATGTTTTCTATTTAAAATAAAACAAAATTATTTAAATAAAGAAATCTGATTTAAATAAAAAAATGGTTTTTATTTTATTTTTCTGAATGACTGTTCGAAAATAATTGAGACAGGTTAGTAAATAAGACGGTTGAATTATGTTTTCTATTAAAATCAAAAAAAAATCTGATATTAGGAAACAAATCTGATTTAAATTAAAAAAAATATTTAAAAAAATCTGATTTAAACAAAAAAATGAGAAATTTTCTGAATGGCTGTTCAAACCAAAGGTCATTGTTTCAAACAATTCAGACAGAGAGAGATTTGTATATAAGGATGTTAAATAATGATTTCTATAAATAAAAAAAAATCTGCTTTAAATCAAAAAATCTGATTTAAAGAAAAAAAAATCTGATTTTTTTTAATTTTTCTGAATGGCTGTTCAAACTTAATTGAGACAGATTTTTATATAAAAAGGTTGTATTATGTTTTCTATTAGAATAAAAAAAAATCTGCTCTAAATTAAAAAAATCTGGTTTAAACAAAAAAAAATCTGATTTTTTATTTTTTTTTAATGGCTGTTGAAACATAATTGAGACAGATTTGTATATAGGAAGGTTGAATTATGTTTGCTATTGAAATAAAAAAACTAATTTAAATAAAAAAAATCTGATTCAAACAAAAAGAAAATCTGATTTTTTTAGTTTTTCTGAATGACTGTTCAAACATAATTGAGACAGATTTTTATATAAGAAGGTTGACTTATGTTTTCTATTAAAATCATTTTCTAAAAAAAATTGGTTAAACAAAAAAAATCTGATTTAAAGAATAAATCTGATTAAATTTAAAAAAACTGATTTAAACCAAAAAAAAATCTGATATTTTTTATTTTTCTGAATGAAACCTTGTTGTTCAAACATAATAATGTTATCTAGTAATATAAAAAAATCTGATTTAAATAAAAAAAAATCTGATTTAAATAAAAAAAAATCTGATTTAAATAAAAAAAAATCTCATTTAACAAAAACTGATTTTTAATTTTTCTAAATGACTGTTCAAACATAATTGAGACAGATTTGTATATAAGAAGGTTGAACTATGTTTTCTATTAAAATCATTTTCTAAAAAAATTTGGTTAAAAAAAATCTGATTTAAAGAATAAATCTGATTAAATTTAAAAAAACTGATTTAAACCAAAAAAAATTTGATATTTTTTATTTTTCTGAATGAAACCTTGTTGTTCAAACATAATAATGTTATCTAGTAATATAAAAAAATCTGATTTAAATAAAAAAAAAATCTGATTTAAATAAAAAAAAAATCTGATTTAACAAAAACTGATTTTTAATTTTTCTAAATGACTGTTCAAACATAATTGAGACAGATTTGTATATAAGAAGGTTGAACTATGTTTTCTATTAAAATCATTTTCTAAATGAAATTTGGTTAAACAAAAAAAATCTGATTTAAAGAATAAATCTGATTAAATTAAAAAAAACTGATTTAAACCAAAAAAAATCTGATATTTTTATTTTTCTGAATGCCTGTTCAAACCTTGTTGTTCAAACATAATAATGTTATCTAGTAATTTAAAAAAATCTGATTTAAACAAAAACTGTTTTTTAATTTTTATAATTGACTGTTCAAACAAAATTGAAACAGATTTGTATATAAAAAGGTTGAATTATGTTTTCTATTTAAAATAAAACAAAATGATTTAAATAAAGAAATCTGATTTAAATAAAAAAAATCTGACTTAAGCCAAAAAAAAATTTTTTTTTATTTTTCTGAATGGTTCTTCAAATCAAATACGATTGAGACAGATTTGTATATGGGAAGGTTGAATTTAGGGTAAGATCTTTGATTGTTTGGGTTTTTCTGAGGAAATTTCAAGGAAATCAGACGGCGCATGCTGTCGAAAATCCTGTATTTACGCCGATCCTGCAGTGCACCATACACTCTCCTGCTAGACGGTTCGCCGCTCTTTTTTGATTCCTCGGTTTTATTATCAATAAAACAATTAATTTTGGTGTTTTATATCGCAGAAATTTTTTAAAATACGTGTCATATATCTCGTAATTACTGTATTGAGTGTATATGTTCTGGATTAGTCATAGATAACAAATTTTTAAACTACTTTAAACAGTGAGTGTGTTTGTTTTTTTTTCTGAGAGGATTTTAACTAAATATGGAACAGGATCATTAGTATTGTGGTGTATAACTATATTTTTGGTTTAGAATATAATACCGGTAAGATTTTTAGTAGAAAAATAAATATTTGGACTTGTTCCAAAAAGTCGTAGGTTTACTCTAGCGTATCTTTTTCTATTTTTTGAATAGAAAGTCTTTCTTTTTTTCTTATGCAATCGTGTTTTGTTTTGGTTCTATCCAAGAACGGTTGATTAAGAAAAAACACGAAATACACAGGGTGGGTCTTAAATAAGTGCAAATATTTTAGGGGTTATTTCGGTTTTTCTTCGCGAAAAAAAAATCTGAAAATTTGTATTTTTTTTTTAGTTTTTAGATGAAAATAGTATGTATATTGTTTTATTGGGAGTAAAAATGACACTTTTTGTGGCTAGGCTGTAGTTTGACATACAGCCGAGGCACAAAAAGTAATTTTTACTCTGAATAGAACATGCTTTTTTTTCAAACGCCACAAATAATTTTTTAAACAATTTCAAACCTTCCAAATAATATAAAAAGATTTAAAAGTAATACCTTGTATGTAATTATATATCGAGAAGCTATGGTTACGCTCGTTGATTTTGACACTTCATGTGCACATAAATGTGCGTAAAAAGTATTTTATGCCTTATTAATTATTAATTAGTTATTAAATTTTTTGTTGTGCCACTTATCATAAACATTTCATTGGTATAGTTTATCCAAAAATACTTGAAAGTGCGTATACTGAACTATACAAAAATAAATCAGGTCCCAAATCTAATATAAACACTAAATCTAGTATCTCTCTCAAAAATGAACCAAAAATGAGTGGTCAAAAACTGTTTATATTTTAATGAAATGCTACAAATACGACTATTACACTTTCAACCATTTCTGAATGCACTGTATATAAAAAATATAAACTAAAATCAACAAAATTATTTGTTTGAATTATTTTAGCAATCTCTTTGAAGGTTTTTCATTAAAATGCATTTGTATATTCCGAATAGCTGTTGCTAAAGTTTCACAAAAACTTAATTTTAGATTAAAATAGCCTACAAATGACCTTTTACCTATATATGAGGGTAGGTAGGAGTCTATTTGACATAGATTTAACTTTCAAATTAGCAAGTACTATATTCACTTCACCCACACTTACTTAAATTTCCTTTTTCTATTATTTGTAAATACATACTCTGTACTTTGTAATTTAATAACTTGATAACTCATTGTTAATTGTTATTTATTATTAAAAAAACTTATCATTTTTATCTGTTTTTTGTACGAAATATCCTTAATCCAGTCAAGATAAAATTAATATGGAAACAGTTTTGGGTTAATGTAAAAAAAGAGGAAATAAAAATAAGTATAGTTGTTTGCCGTTGTCTTTAGGCCGTATTATTTTTAGATCAAAGTACCACACAGCGCGAGATATTTTTGATATTTTTTATGTATTTTTGTGTATTATGGCACTAGCGAGATTTAGTTTTGAGTGAAAGCCTATACAGGGTGAGTCAATTGTAAGAACAAGAATTAAACAACACTTCAAGGCATTTATTTGTAAATAAACAACTATGGTGTAATCAAATTCAGTTTTGAATGCTTAAAACTGATGTATGGAGTTATGTTATTTTGAGTTTTTGATACAGTAACAAATAAAGATTATGTATCAACAGATAAAAATCTAGAAATCTTTAAATAAAAAATGTGTGGTGAAAAAATCTTTATAATTTAATGAAATACTACAATTATTAAATAGTAATCATATACCTAGGATCTTTGTTAAGGGTGACAACTTAGAGAAAATATTCTCTGTAATAATAAATTTTAAATATAGTATACAGTAATTCCAAACTGTCAAATCCTGCTACTAAAAGTGGACCATCCTGTAGGTTCTGAAGTACAAACAAAACAGATGTTTTGTGTCACTCTTTTTCATAGTATTCCCAGCTATTAATTACACAGTGAGCACATACATAGCGCCATTTTAATTTAAATTGTTTTAAAGGTCTTTCGATTGCGGAAGTTGTCTGACGCTGATTCATGATTAAATTCCTTCATTGTTCTTTTGGGGCCTTTTTTTACTGTTTTCGGGCGTTGCCCCCTAGGTTAGGGCTTTTTTAAAGACCCCACGTGTCCAGAAAAATAAGTCAATCTAAATATGTTCTAAAATATTTTTTTTGATTTTTTGTTTATATTAGTACAACTACTAAGATTTGTACTAATATATGTATATTGTATAGTTGTACTATAAGACTGTTCTGTTTATTTTCTTTGTTGATATTATATTTAACTCCTATGACTTTTATTATATCTGTGGTATAAACAAACTTGTGTATGTCGAATCAAAACAAATCCACGCATATTGGTTACTCTATCGTGTATGTCTATGTACAAAGCAGTGTTATATATTAGGGCCGATCAATGTTTACTGAACTCTCTGAACTTAGCAGGTGCATACAGCCGTACTTTCCTAAATAATGGCTTATATTTTTAACGTTTCTGTAAGTTTGTTTCTTTCAATAAAATTGATTTGCGTAAATTCGCACTCGCCAACTTGATGTAACATTTAATTTTAGCGCAAAATGTATTACTTATCCTCTCTCTGAAAGATAGCCAAATCATGAGTGATTTTTTTCTTCTAAAAATACAATTTTTTTATAATATTAAAACATTAGGAAAAAATATCAAATAAAACACACACCCTGTACACATTATTAAGTAGGTCTACCGTTTCTTAACAAGACTGAGTAGATTAAAATCTGGTAAAGTATTTTTAATATGGTTCTTTGTTGCATCAAAGTCTAAACAAACAACTTTTTATAGTGGTTGTATTTGTATACCTACAATTTTCATCATTTCTTATTAAAGTGTTATCAAAGTGTACATAAGTTTGTTTATTCGTATCTCAGAGGTATATTTAGGTGTTAAAACTTGTTTATGTTTGTTCCTGAAAATTATCTCAGAATTATTTAAAAACTTATCAGATGTGGAGTAGGTTGAAAAATAATAGTGCACACATGGAACTATTTAGTGATTATTATATTGAAATTTAAACAAAAAATGCCGTATGGTCGAAAAAAAGGCGTCCAGTTGGTTTGGAAATGACGATCGATGGCATTCCCCATATACTTGTAAAATGACAGCGATCTTTATTTCATAGCCATCGCTGACGCCGAGTTTTTTTCGATCATATTGTACAATTTTCTAGTAAAAGTTCACGTTTTTTCTTTTCAACTTCACTAAACACAATGTTATAATAAAGGCAGTGCACTGGCAGGTAAAATGTTAGGACTAAACCAAGGCTTAAGAGTAAACAGAGAATGCATTTAAAAAAATATGTAGTAATATTTATCTATTAAATTCAGATTTTCAAAAAATGTAATAAAGAAAACCACTTAAAAATGTACGTAAATTTGTAAAAAAAAGAGAATTCAGAAGCCTTCAACATAATCTAATTTAAACCTATCTTGTTTACCTACTGCCCTATTTTTTTAATAACTCAATTGATTAGTTGGTATGCAGCTGTATTCTTAAATAACGTCGTTTTTATATAGGGTGTCCCATTTTAATACAGATTCTATATTTACCATGAAAGAAATAACATAAATTTTTTAATCTAACTTTGGTGGCAATTTTTAATGCTGTTTATTCATGAAATTTTGATGAAATTACTGATATTTATTAATTAAAAGGCGTAGAGAATACGAAAATGTACGTCATTTTGACCTTACGAGTTTGGTATGAATTACAGGTAACATTTTAGCTACCATTAAAAATCGTTTAAAAAAAAGGGTTTGAAAAATCCAGTGTCTTACAGAATCAAAACACTTCAGCTATTAAGTCAGTATATATTCTAAATCTACATAAAATTCCCTACAAATACTGAAATTTTCGTAATTTTACCACCATGTTTACTATTTTTCTAAGAGCCTTGAAAACTAAAAAAAATTGTTATTTTCAGAATGATAGACTAAAGGAACCACTGGACTATACCATGGAGTCCCTGTTACTGAATAGATCAAACTCTCCCAATGTAAGATTATTACTAAATTACCAAAAAAAAAACATTTTTAATTTTCTAAAATTTATTTTAGTATGATAAAGCTTCCACTTCGGGCCAAGATCGGTTGACGGGCGACACTGACTGCTTCGAAGATATAGGCAGGGGCGGCGCCTCGCGTAGTCAAATATCAGTAAGCAGCGAGCCCGTACCCAGAGCTACTGTCAAAAGTCACTTAGGTATGTATGCACATTATTATCAAACAAGTTTCATCCAAACACTGATTAAAAAGAGCAAGCTTGGGGTATATTCAAAAAACTTTAGCTTTAATTCAAATGGTCCCTTCATTTTGGTACTTTCCAGACTCAATGTACCACGGAGCTTGGCCGAACATGGAACGAACCGGAATGTGGAATTCTGAACCCGCCAGTCTAGGTACAGCAGCCCAGCAAAAACAACGAGACACAGATAGACAAATCCCAGTACCTCACGACGTGGGTTCAGTCATGTCGTTTGCCTCCAGCTCAGGCGGAGTACCACTAGACAACGTTTTATGTGGTTCAGACAGAGGCAAGTGGTCTTCGCAACAACTCGAAGCCAAAATGGACGTAGTCCACAGTCTCCTTTCGATGCTGGGCAGTCAGGAGCACGTGGACATGGGCGAGACCCTTCTAGCACTGAGTACTTGCCCGGAAAGCTGTCTTGCCATGCGTCAATCCGGTTGTATACCTCTCCTGGTGCAGCTGGTTCAGTCGGATAAAGATAACGAGACTAGGAGGAAAGCATCGCAAGCATTACATAACTTGGTTAACTCTCAACCAGATGAGAAAGTACGAAAACGGGAAGCAAGGATTTTGAAGCTATTGGAGCATGCAAGGAATTATGTGGAATATCTGAAAAACGGTGTTGAATTTGAATTGGAGGTTAGCGGAGGAAGTGTGGGGTCTTCCAGCGAAAATGGCGACAAACATCCTGTTGAAACTGTGGCGCATTTGATGAAGCTGTCGTTTGACGAAGGACACAGACAGGCCATCTGCCAATTGGGTGGGATTCATACTATAGCCGCTATGGTCGAGGTAAGTTCTTAATGTCTATAATCTATAGTATATTATAATATTTTTTATTGAGATTACTAAGAGACACTTTGTCTTTATATTATGTATTGTTACTGAGAATTTGAGCATACCAGACTGCACTGCCTAGCCCTTCCGTTAGCTACACCACTGTGTAATTCCTCAACGTTTTCTGTATATTTAGATCATTTTTTCTGGCACTGCTAGTTTGGGGTTCCTATTAGACGCCTTACAATGTGTGAAACCACTTATTTTTAAACTTAGAGATGATGTATGTTGTGTTTATTTTTATTTTCGCAAGGTTCAGAGTAATAAAAAAGATATTTTATCCTTGAACTTTATCTGAATTTAAATTTTTGAAAAGAAGTACCATTATTTAAGGAAGTACCGCCAACAATAAATAACCAATCAGTAATAGCTATAAAGTAAATCTTGTCTCACACCTTTTAGAAACCCTGAAACTGGTTTGAAACAGACATTATTTTTAATATTAATACTGCATGAAGAAGATAAATATCAATGAGACACTATATTATGGTATAAAACATAAAAATCTTTCTAAACACAGCAGCTTTACGTTCACAAAACACTTCACTTTCACTGTATTCCCTCTTTTTTCCACCCGTAGATCGAGCACTCGACTCACGGCAGCGGCTCCGCGGAGAGCCACTGCGTCCTGATGCGCCGATACGCCTGCATGGCCCTCACCAACCTAACCTTCGGCGACGGCGGCAACAAGGCCTTGCTCTGCTCGCTGCGCGACTTCATGCGCAGCCTCGTCGCGCAGCTGCAAAGCCCCGCGGACGAGCTGCGCCAAGTCACGGCCAGCGTGCTGCGCAATCTGTCCTGGCGCGCCGACTCCACTAGCAAGGAAGTTCTCAAAGACGCGGGCAGTGTCACTGCTCTAATGCGCGCCGCTATGTTACAGAACAAGGAAAACACTCTTAAGTCCATCCTGTCGGCGTTGTGGAACCTTTCAGCCCATTGTACGGAGAATAAGTCTGAAATTTGTTCGGTGGAAGGTGCATTGGGGTTCTTGGTTAATATGCTAACATATAAAACACCGACAAAAAGTTTGTCTATAGTAGAGAACGCCGGGGGGATACTAAGAAATATTTCCAGCCAGATAGCGGTTCGAGACGATTACAGAGAGATTCTACGACAACACGGATGCCTTCAAATCCTCCTAGACCAACTGAAATCGCCGAGTTTAACTATAGTTTCGAACGCGTGCGGCACTTTGTGGAACCTTTCAGCTAAAAACGCCCAAGACCAGGAAGCTCTATGGCAATTAGGAGCTCCCGCGATGTTGCGAAGTTTAAATCACTCAAAACACAAGATGATTGCGATGGGATCGAGTGCAGCTCTTAAAAATCTACTCAGTTGTAGGCCTCAGCAAGCACTGACCTCTCGAATGGACTCTACAGCTTTGTCTTTGAATTTACCTGAGTTACCAACTTTGGGGGCTAGAAAACAGAAAGCACTGTTACAAGATTTGGATCAGTCGTTGAGCGAGACTTTCGAGAACATCGACAAGGATTCTCCGGTCAAGAACAAGGTGGAAAAAAGTGTCGATATCGATAGTTTTATGAGAAATAAAAGCAGGAGTCGGAGTCCAGAGGATTTGAACGCTGCCTTTTCGAGTTTGAATTTAAACGAACCTTCTACAAGCTATACGGTGGATCTACGACAGAAGACGAGGATACCGCAGAGTTATGGTGAGTTTTTAAAACATAACCTATAAATATCCGGTTTATTTAGGAGTCTTTTCCTGTTCTGTAGGTAGTTCTAGTTTACCGTACGTACCACAACCGACCAGACGATCAAATCCAGCAACTTTTATACCAGTGAGGAACAAATTTCCTGATCAGAACTACGAGGATGATGTTTGCGAGCAACCGATTGATTATAGCAGGAAGTATACGGTCTCTGACGTCCCCGTAGGGCCCCAATCATCGCCAAAAGACGGGGGGCAACAAGAAGGGGACAGTTTTAGTATGGGATACACGGAAACTGACTTAGACCAACCTACAGATTACTCTTTGAGATATGCAGAGAACGATTCTGATTCTGATATATGTGTGGAGATAACCAAACAGGAATACATCCAGGTAATTTTAATAATATACAGGGTGGTCCGAACTGTATTCCGGAAACGTTGGAAAAAAAATAAAAATGAAACTTCTACACCCTGTATCTCCGAAACTAAGCATTTTAGGACATACATTTATACGAACTTTTTTACTTATTTTTATTTGCAGAATATGCTGCCTAAATTCCCGGAATACCGTTCGGACCACTCTGTATATTATTAATAATATGAATAACATTTTTTATATTTTGCAGGACACTGTCAAAACCTACTGCACTGAAGGAACACCCTACGAAACTCCGTACATTTTCTCCAATGCCACTTCTATCTCGGATCTACGAAATGTGGGATCCACAGAACAAAAACCAGAGCTGATCGACAATGACATCCAGAAAAACAAAGAATCCAAGGCAAAAGAAGTAAAAAACGTTGATGAAAAGGATCATTGTTCAACCGAGGATATTTCCGAGATCGAAAACGCCGATCTAAAGCCTCGGAAGTCTGAGTTTAGCTCAGGCCTGATGTCCCCGGAAAAACCAGTGAACTACTGTGAAGAAGGCACCCCGGGGTATTTCTCCAGAGGGAGCAGTTTTGGCTCCGGATTGGATTCCATTCCTGTTAACGAAACGGTTATCAAAAAAGAAGAACCTGAAGAGGTTGAAACATCTTCAACGCAAAAAACAGCGAAGGCAGTGCAAATGGATAAACAGGCTAAAGCAGGAACTGAAGCCAAAGAGGTTAAGTTTGAACAGGTCGTGAATTATGCAGAGGAGACTCCTCTGATGTATTCAAGATCGAGTTCTCTAGCGTCTTTGGACAGTATCGAGCAGCATTCCATTCATGATGACAGAAGTTCTGTAGTGTCGGATTTTAGGTGAGTAGTTTGGTTGTAAAAAGTTTTTTGATCTGTGGTCTCACAGAAAAATTAGATGAAGAAAAATTTCTGCCCAAAAAAAACGAGGAAAACGCCCATTTAAATGGGATAATAAGGAAAAAATCCCATTAAATGGGAATCAACGTAAGTAATCAACTCGATCTGTAGGGGAATACCAAAAAAAATCCTGTTTTTTCTATTAATCATGCAATGATTTTAATAATAATTAATTTATTAAGTTAATAATAATATTATCTTATTTTGTATGCTTCAAAACATTTAGGACAACTTCCAAGTAAGTCTTTTGTTATTTACCAATAGTAGTTCTTTTGTACAAAAGTTTTTTATATCAATTTCAAGACTTTGAGCAATATTTTGTATGTTTTAAGCCGTCTAACCAGCGGTATAGTCTCACCAAGCGAACTGCCAGACTCGCCAACCCAAACTGTTCCGCCTAGTCCGAGACCAACCAAGTCTAAGCTAGAGTTTCCTTCCACATCGAAACTTCCAAGAAACTCCAACGAAAACAAACCGAGACCCCTCCAAAAACCCAGCGTTTTTGAGGATAACATCACCAAGTTTAAGGAGGAGAGTACTCCCGTACAGTTCTCGACAGCCACGAGTCTCAGTAGTTTAACCATCGATGATCACGAGGAGAATACACAGAATAATACACAGGAGAAGGTAAAAGTGTTTTTGATTTGAGATTATAGTGGTCTGCATTTTTTTTTCTGTAGGAAGTTGAGGTTAAGGCTACAGTAAAAGAAGAAACCATTAAGCAGGAGCAACAAGAAAAGACAGACAGGGAAAAAGACACTGATAAGGAACTTAGCGGTTCGGACGATCTGAATGATGACGATGAAGAGATATTGGCCGCATGTATTAATGATGGGATGCAATCAAATATGTACGTTATCAAAAAAATCTTTAAGACACTTTATCTAAAAAAAATATGGCATTTTAGATCGGCACCTACAGCCAGTTCGACGCCTACCAAGCTACAGATGTCCAGCTTCAGTTACCAGCACTCCAAAGCTTCGTCTGGGATTCCCATGATGCGGCGTACTCCGCCTAGGAATGTGGCGGTTGGTAGTTCGCATTTAATGGAGGACGCGCCTAAAACTTACTGTACAGAAGATACGCCAGCTCATCTTAGTAGAACAGGTAAAAATACTGGGTTTTTGTTCATAATTTCAGATAGTTCAAGATGTTCATAGTTTCACAGCACAGGAAAATTGTTTACATTTTTCATATACATAAAATAACATTTTATAGGTTCTAATTCCAACCTGAGTGTCCTGTCTATTCCCAACGACAACAAGAGTAAGCAACATGGCGATTTTAGTGATGATTCTAGTAATTTATCCGGTGATAACGAGAATTTATTGGCAGAGTGCATACAATCTGCCATGCCTAAACCCAAGAAAGAAATAAAAGGTAAGACAGATTTTTCCACTTGGTATAATTCTTATATGAAAATTGTGGAGTTTAAAGGATTTATACTTAATTCGATGTTATTTTAAAATATTGATAGTTTACTATCGATATTTTAAAATATCGGTGTTTTTGAACATTTCTATCTCATATAAAATATGGGTAGGTTAACAAAAAAATGGTGAAACTTCATTTTAACTCTTTAAGGTGGCATTTTTACCATTAAGGTAAGATAATTTTTTTAATTCTTATGATTTAAACATGAAAATTGAGGAGTTTTAAAGGATGTTCTTAATTCGATATTAGAAAAAATATCGATATTTTTGACCATTCCTATTTTACACACAAATTAAGGAAATAAATGGAAAGCAGATAAAATTTCGTTTGACCCTTTAGCGGTTGAAGCTTTTATAGTACTTATAGCAAAATTGCACTTTAAGAGGATTTTCTTAGTTCGATATTATTAACAAAGTTCGATATTTCGGTATCGATATTTAGAAATATCGATATTTGGACCCTCCCTATTCTACACTTGAACAATGGATAAATAAATGAAAAGAAAAAACAGTTAACAAAGTTAACAATTTCGTTTTAACCATTACTATACGTTCCTCACCAGGTTTTCCGATATTTCAGTATCGATATTTTTTTAAAATATCGATATTTTGTCCTTTATATCTATACAAAAATAAGCAAATGAATGAGAAAACAGGTGAAAATTTATTTTTGACCCTATTTATGCCAGCTTTACCATATTATTTTGAATGTTCGGTATTGCAGTATCGATATTCGAAAAAAAATCGATATTTTTGACCATTGCTGTCTTACATAAAAATAAACGAAAAAAAAACAGGCAAGGAATATTTTTTAACTCTATTACAGCAACAGCTTTACCACATCCGATTCGTTCTTAACCTATTGTCGGTATTTCAGAGTCGATATTTTAAAAAATCGATATGACCTCCCTACCTTACGCTAGAATATAAGCAAATAAATGAAAACAAAAAAGAACAAAAATGCATTTTTCAAAATATCGATATTTTGGCCGTCTATCTATACAGAAATGAACAAATTAATGAGAAAACACACAGCTTTGCCATATTATTTCGAAAGTTTGATATTACAGTATCGATATCGATATTCGAAAAAATCGATATTTTTATCATCCCTATCATACATAAAAAATAGCATATAAACGAAAAAACGTCAAAAATGCATTTTTAACTGTATTACAGCAACAGCTTTACCACATCCGATACGTTCTTTGCCTGACATTATTTTAAACGTCGATATGCTTTAACCTCCCTATCTTATTCCAGAATATGAACAAATAAATGAAAACAAATGAACAGATAAAAATACATTATTTCCAAGGCCAATACAATTTTTTGGCTTAATATATTTGTTATGTAAACATTGAAGTTGTTTAAGTAATTTCCTTATTATCCTGGTATCGATATTTTTTAAAAATCGATACTTTTAACCATCCCTATCTTACATAAAAACTTCGCAAATAAATGAAAAAAAATCGGTAAAAATTCCATTTTTTAACCCAATTACAGTGACAGCTTTACCGCATCCGATACGTTCGTCGCCATACAAACAACAAGCGCAACGGAAACCCGGCGGTGAATTCGTACAAGTACCCCCTCTTAAACCTCAACCTCAACAACAGGGGGCGAACAGGAGGGAGACCTCCCTACCCCCCTACCTGGGGGTGAGGGACGAAGTGGAGAACTACGCGGTGGAGGGCAGCCCGTGTCATTTTTCGCTCAGGTCCAGTCTGAGCGACTTGACCGTGGAAGGTGGCAGCGTGGTCGGACTTAAGACGTGAGTTTGTTTATGTAAAAATATCGATAGTTGTGTAGGATAAAGTGTCGTATTTCGAAATTTTAATCCTGTTTTGTGGTCGGTTGTATTTGAGTGTATTAAATAAATTTAGTTTGAAAAGGGCATTAGATACTTCGAAAATATGAATATTTATACAGGGTGTTTCAAAAAACATGTGCTATCTCTCGTGGTGAGATTCCTCACGTAAAAATAAGATTTATCAACATAGGTCCGATTCTGCTTTGTTTCGTAGCTACAGGGTGTTAAAGTTTTAATATTTTTTCGATTTATTACAATTTTCTTCCTTTAGTACACCCTGTATTATCTTTACAAGACGAAAAACGTTTTTATTCACTTTCATAAAAATTTTTGCTTGTTCTAAAATAGTTACCCGTTTATTCTTTTTTTATATTTCCATTTCATTTTAGAGAAAATTAAAAAAAAAATCAAAATATAGCTGAATTTTTACCACTGTCGCACTTTGCAAAAAATAAACAATAAACAAATACAGAAAAGCGCAAAAAAATCGCAAAAATTTAAATTTGTCAAGAAAATGTCAAACAAATGTGACATAAAAGTTGTTTAAGAATTGCTAGCGTGATAGATGTTTATAAAACAGTATTTTACTTTTTTCTTAGTCTTTTTGTTAATTGTATCCAGACGTATTAAAAAACAACACTAGTTATTGACTATATCTAAAAATAACTAAGTTTCAGGAGTTCATAAATTACGTATTCAGTCACGAAAGAACTTACGAAAACACAAGAAAATCTACACTTATTTTTTTAATATATTCAATTGGTTTATTCTTTGAGGATATTATAAGTTCTGTAACTCTGTGAAAATACATATACTGTATGCGACATCATATAAAATAATCATAAAACAACAGTAGGTTCTAATATTGTCATATTTTATATAGGTATACACGGTATCAACGGGCAATTAGACAGTTCGCAGCTTGTTCGACGCTTGTTTTTGCCACATCTACAGGAAAATATACATCTAACTTGATTAAAAATACATCTTAATATAGTCTTAACAGATTATTTTTATTATTATTTATAGTTTATTTAAAAGTAACTGTAAAAACGTTTCAATGTGTCTTAAAAAATGTGTTTTTTAGAATGATTAATAATGCCACTGATATAATTAAAAATAATTTTTGTAATATAGTGTGTATAAAATTAAAATTACTGTGAATTTATAAACACATACATATGCAGAGTGTAATGTAAGAGGTGGCAACATTGCAAGACTTTAATACGCCGCACAGTGGTGTGAAACTGATAATATAACGAAAAAACCCTATATTTCCTAAACCGTTAACCCAATCGCATTGGGGCGAATTTTATTCGATTCAGCTTAATAAAATACATCAAATAACATGGTTTAATAAATTTATTTAAAAGTAAACTGAGCACCAATTGAAACGTAACGTGAAAATTTTTGCATCCAGTTGAACTTCTTGTATTTTCTGAACTATTGAAGGCGTTTTGAATTGCTAGCCAGATTCTGAAACGCTTTTTTATCGAATTATTGGCCAATACCCATAATACAGGGTATAACAAAAATGCGTGCATTTTTTACAAAATTTTAAGTGACCTCCATTTTGTGGGGGGGATGGAGGATTTCCATTATTTGTGGGTATTTTAAAAGTGCTGTTTTATACCTCGTGACGTTTTTGAGTTTTTTTGGGGTATCGCTCCCCATTGCGATGTTTTCCTTTTTTTATGATTTTCGGTAAGGTTTTAATTCTAATAAATTTATCTCATTATGAAATTAATATATTGTTTTTTTGAGTATTATGCGTATTAACTAATGATTATACTAAGTGATTATATCGTTAATGAAAAAGTGTTAAATGCTTCTTTTGTTATGCCAAAATACATAATAAAACCTGTTCATATAATTTAAATATACCAGCTAGATAAATTTTTAACGCCCTGTATAACTGTAACACTTTTTAGTTTTATAGCATTATTTGTTTGCTTTATTTAATTATACTTTAAAATGCATAATGCTTAAAAATACGATATCTTTATTTCACAATGAGATAAAATTATTAGTATTAAAACTCTACCGACAATCATAAGAATATCGAAAACATCGCATCGGAGAGCGATAGCCAAAAAAACTCATAAACGTCCCGAGGTATAAAACACCTCCTTCAAACTATCTACAAAAAATGGATCTCCTCCATCCCTCCACAAAATGAGGCTCACTTAACATTTTGTTAAAATGCGCGCATTTTGTTTTACCCTGTATTATGGGTCCTGACCAATAATTGAAAAAAACTGCAAAGAACGGTTCGATAGTCGATAAAACAATGTTTTAGAATCTGGCTGGCAAATTCAAAATTCCTTCAAAAGTTTAAAAAATACAAGAAGTTAAACTTAATACAAAAATTTGCACTTTACGCTTCAATTGATGTTCAGTTTAGTTACTGTGGTTCAAATTATTATAATTTATAACATTTAAATCTTATACAATATAATGATATTTATATAATTTTACGTGGCAAAAAAAGTAAATTATATTAAATTAATTCATCGGCATCCGCAAAAATGAAGAATGTAGTTTTCATTTTTTTCAACACTGTTTATCTTTTATTTTAAATTTTTAACAAACGTGGCCGAATGTGGCGATAAAATTTATAGAATCACTACTTTAACAGTTGCTTTTTTTAGTCAAATTAATCCGAGACCAAAGCTCGGTAAAGCTTTTTTTTCTAGTCTGATTAAAGTAAGAAGTAAAGTAATTTTATTAGAAATAGATTCAAACTAAACTGCATCAAAGGCACGGTATATTTTGGCAAAATGATTTTTACTTTTAATACCCATGGATAAACGAAACAGTTCCTGGGTAATACCGATTTTTAGGAATTAAAAGAAGGGCTGTAAAATATTACTTGTTTTCGCTTTATTTTTGCGCGTTTCGTATATTAAGAAAATTGTCAAAAAGGAGGTGTTGGAAATTCAAAACTAGTAATTAAATTTAAAAAGTAATATTATTATATTGTCTTTGAACTAACTCGATGTAAGATAGGATAATTTAAACCCGATTTAACACCCCCTTTTTTGTTTTTTTTTCCTATTGCCGAAACCACTGTGCGCCGTCAAGAAATTTCAGGGGAATGAATATGCGGCACTAAATAGTTTTTTTTAATTTCCCGAAAAATGTCAAGAAAATTGTAATTTTTTACGTTTTTCTGGGATTGAACTATACTATTTAAAAGCTAAAATACTTGTATAAAAGATACCCTGTATATTGTTTTGAAAACTTCTAGATTAGTGTCTGCAGAATGATTTAACTGAAAATAAGCGTATATAAATAAATAAAGACAAAAGAATTTTGACATAAATTTAGTATAATCCTTCTTTACAGATATATTTTGATAAGATATCTTCCAAAGGTGTCATATTAATTCTGATCATTCACATGATATACTCAGTCACAAGACAGTATTATTTTTCATGAAATGTTTCTTCAAATCATAATAATAGCCTTTTTAGAGTTTAAAAAATTATTGACCATTCTTAGGTCACACAACAAGCCTTCTGCAGCCGGCAGTAATGAAGCCAAAGCTCTACCTCCAGGTATTTCAATATAATATACTCTTAATAGCCTCATTCAGAACGTCGAAATTAGTGGAATAAATTAGTGGTTTCAACTAGCATAGAAATTGTTTCACTAATTTCAATGCACCGATTCAGAAGGTTAAAATTAGTGGTAGTAATTTTAAAGCTTCATTCACAGCCTTGCAATTAGTGGAATAAATGAGTGGTTTTTATTACACTTTATACTTTTTAGTTTACGATCATTCACAATGTTTAAAAAACAAAATTAAAATTAATAGAATATCCTAGCAACAGCTTGCGTAATCCTTTGAATAAGAAGACTAAGGAAGGAGCATATCAAAAATCTTAGGTCCACCGCGATGGGACTCAAATATGGCCGACTTAAATTCCGGTTTATCAGTGCCGTTCTAATTTTATTTAAAAAATGTAAAACTATGATGTAGGGTAGACGTGGGGTAGAGTCAATATTTTTTTTATTTTACGTTGTGAATAAATGTTGGTAGTTATTAAAATTGTTATAAAAACATATTATTATAATAAAAATAGATAAGTTTAATAATTATTTATTAACACAAACATCCGATACGCTACTGAAGCAGGTAAGTCAAATTGACGTATCTAAATTCTTTGACATCTAATCTTTGACAAGTAGTAAATAAAAGCAAAAATGCAAGAAAAAATATATAATTAGTTAATTTAAGTGAATTTCATAAATGATCGGTTTATTACACGTATGTATATTATATAGTCACTTACTAGCGAAAAGTTGTTCCATTATTTCACTCGATTTTTGCCGAGATCTACCGCACGCTACACAACCAACTATTTTAGAGTCTTTTTCGATAAATCGCGATAGTGTCACTGTTAAATTAAGTTCTGCCACAATTTCCATCTAGATTTACTACCTTTATACAACTATCAGTAGTAGAATAAATAATAAATAACATAAAATAAGCTCCGTAAAGAGTGGCAAATCCACAAAATTTCAAATCAAATTCAAATGTGTCAAATGAATCGTCAAACAGAACTGTCAAGGATCCCCACCCTAGAGTCCTTTTTCCGCCCACCATGCATGAATACATGGATAGCATTGTGCTCCTTCCTTAGTCTTCTTATTCAAAGCGTTAGTCAGTTGTATCCATAGAGAAAGCCTAATATTTAGCTTATAAAACAATCAACTTTTCATTTCTAACCACAATTTCTCTTGACGGATGATAATCAAAGGTCAAAATGACATTCCCCGCAAATTTTTAAATATAATTAGTGGAAAATTTAAAAGTTTGTTAACTTTTTCTACTAATTGAAAACGACTACCACTAATTTAGACGTTCTAAATGTTTACATTGAAATTAAAGGAACAATCTTCTACGCTAATTGAAACCACTAATTTTTTCCACTAATTGGGAGGTTCTCAATGAAGCTTACTTCTTGGACATTTATCAATTTTCATGTGATTTTCACAGAAAACGTTGACGTTTCCAAGGAAGCAAGGTTGTCAAATGTAGCAAGAAAGGAGTCTTTGTCTTCCCTAAGTCTGGACTCATCTGGATCGAACGATGCTGCAGATAGGGCTCTTTTAGAAGAGTGCATTTACTCTAGCATGCCAATTGATAAGCATGAAGAGGCTCTGTTGAAGGAGTGCATTAAGGCTGGTATGCCTAAGAGTACTGGCAGTACTGGTGGTGCTGATAGAAGCATGGGAGGCGTTATGAGTAAGCACAAAAATAAATAAATAAAATATATTCGATCGATTTTTTGCCCCAATTTCTTTCGTTGCTTCAGAAGTGGGATAAGTTCAAAAAAATCGAACAGAAACAACTATATTTCGTTCCACAGGTCCCAGACGACATTCTACCGCCCAACCCACCTCGCGAAGACCCTCCTCCGACCGCCACGAGCCACCGCGTCTTCTTCGCAGCCAGCACGACCAATCAAAAAACTCGAGTGCTGCGTCTGTTGCCGGGAGCGCGTCGCCGGGGGACCGATCGGGGTCCCCCCAGGGCGACGCGCGGCGTCCCGACACCTCCAACATCGCGGCGGCAGACGTAGGAAGCGACAAAAGTCGCGCAGCAGCAGGGAGCGCCGTAGGGACGACGACCGCGCAACCGGCAGCGCAGGTGCTTCGGGTAGTAGAGGGGGGCAACAGCAGCAGCAACAGGTGCTCGCGCTCAGGAGAGAATTTCTTGACAGGTAAGGTTCGATGTTTCGGTGAGTATCGATATTTTGAAAATCGATATGTTTGGCCATCCCTAAAAAATGGTTAAAAATCAATTTTTGTGTCTTTGACAGTGTGAGTTTTACCATATCCAATATGGTCTTTACTGAGAAGTTTTCTTAATTTGATATTATTAAATATTATTGATATTTCAGTATCGATATTTTAAAAATCGATATGTTTGACTATCCCTATCTTACATAAAAATGGACAAATAAACTAAAAATCTAGAGAAAAAGTTCATGTTTAAATCACGGAATTTATTCAAATAACATACGGCGCGGAAATTGTTGAAGTTTTCTCAGTTCGGTATTATTAGTATCGATATTTTATAAATCGATATGTTTGACCATCCCTTTCTTACATAAAAATCAGCACATAAATTAAAAATCTAAGAAAAAACACATTTTTAAATCACCGAACTTATCCAAACAACAAACGCCGCGGCAACCTGGTAAATTCTTACGTTTTCTCAATTCGGTATTATAGTTATTATTAAATATTATCGATATTTTAGTCTCGATATTTCAAAAATCGATATGTTTGCCCATCCCTATCTTCGATAAAAATGAGCGGATCAATTAAAAAAATGGCTAAAAATTATTTTTTGTCCCTTTTACGGTGAGTTTTACCATATCCAATATGTTCTTTACTGAGAAATTTTCTTAATTCGATACTATTAAATATTATCGATATTTCAGTATTGATATTTTATAAATCGATATGTTTGCTCATCTCTTTCTTACATAAGAATCAGCACATTATCGAATTAAAAATCCAGAAAAAAAAATATTTTTTCACCGATCTTTTTCAAACAGCAAACGCTGCGGCAACCTAGTAAATTCTAATCATTTTCTCAATTCGGTATTATAGTAATTATTAAATATTATCGATATTTTAAAAATTGATATGTTTGACTATTCCTATAAAAAATGAGCAAATAAATAAAAAATCTAGAAAAAAATCAAGTTTAAATCACGGAATCTATTCAAATAACAAACGGTTCGGAAATTGGTGAATTGGTTACAAGTTTTCTCGGTTCGGTATTATTAAATATTATCGATATTTTAAAAATCGATACGTTTGGCCCTCACTATCTTACATAAAGAAAACTCTGCAAATATTAAAAACGTGGTAAAAAAATAACTTTTAAATTACCGATTATTCAAATAACAAACAACGCAGAAATATGGTGAAATAGTACGAGTTTTCTTAATTCGGTATAATTAAATATCGATATTTTAGTATCTATATTTTAAAAATCGATATTTTAGTATCGATATTTTAAAAATCCACTTGTTTGGTATATCCACCCTATGGTGGTATATTCTTAGTTCGATATTATTAAATATTATCTATATTTCAATATGGTTATTTTATAAATCGATATGTTTGCCCATCTCTTTTTTACGTAAAAATAGCACATTATCAAATTAAAAATCTATAAAAAACACATTTTTAAATCACCGAACTTATTTAAACAATAAACACCGCGGCAACCTGATAAATTCTTTGGTTTTCTCAATTCGGTATTATAGTTATTATTAAATATTATCGATATTTTAGTATCGATATTTTAAAAATCGATATGTTTGACAATCTCTATCTTACATAAAAATGAGCAAATAAATTAAAAATATAGAAAAAAATATCATGTAAGTATCGGCTCAGAAACTGGTAAATTGGCTGGTAAGTTTTCTCAGTTAAATATTATTAAGTATTATCGATATTAAAATAATAAAAATTGATACATTTGACCCTTCCTATCTTACATAAAAAAACTCATATTAAAAACGTGGTAAAAAATAATTTTTAAATTACCGGTCTTATTCATATAACAAACAACGTGGAAATATGGTGAATTCGCTCGATTTTCTTAATTAGTTATTAAATATCGATATTTGAGAAATCGATATTTAGTATCGATATTTTTAAAATCGACATGTTTGACCATCCCTATCGTACATTCTTCATTCGATATTATTAAACATTATCGATATTTTTGTCTATCACTTTCTTACACAAAAAATGAGAAAATGAACAAAGTTAACAATTTTATTTTTACCGACTTCAGTGACAGCTGTTCCACATAAAATACCTTTGGTGTTTATTATAGGTTTTCTTGAACTATACATTTTATTCTCTATACTTAAATTCATAAACGTGCCTACTTGTTTTAACCCTTAATAATTAGAATTTTTTTAATAAAAATATTTAAATCTTTTTTAATCTTTCAGATTTTTTAAATATATTAATAATAAAACATAAATTATTATATTACAAAATGTAATTTTCTGCACGCTACTGAATAAAATCCATATCAAACAATTTTACCGCAATTACATAAAAAAGTAACCTTGGATTAAATATGTTTTCCTCTGGCTTCATACAACAATTATTTTCAAACCGCTTTAATAAACACTATTTTAATTTTTGTGTGGTATTATCAATGGAATTTAAAACAATAAACAATATTTTGTGCCTTTTCCGTGTTAAGAATAAAATTAAATATACATTTATCGACCAGTTAGTTACGGTACACTCGTATTCATATCGTGGAACCCTCATAGTTTTACTGTATTTTTTCTGATATAAACAGAAAAAAAATAGTTCGATTGCTGTGTTTCTGTAAACAAAAACGTCCAATAAATGTTTTTTAACGTTCCTCTAGATCACACGAAGAGTGGATCTAACAAATCCATCGGTCAGTTCTTGGACAGCAGCTACGAAACCGATTTCAGTTTTTCCAATTCAGATAATTGCGCAAATTTGGACAACGTATTCGCTAAAAGCTGCGAAGAGTCTGGACATTTGGTGGACAACAGGATGCTGGACCCTGACGCCATGATTGAATCGCTGGACAGGTCAGTAAAATAATCTCTGACAAATATAAATAAACAAAAACTTACTCTATAAAAAACACAGTTGTTTATTTACAAATTAATGTCTTGGGCTTTCTGCTTTGATTTGTGAAAATTTCTTTTAGGCCAGTAAGCGAGGATAAAAATAGGGTATTACTCCGAATTCTTGACACCTTGTCTTTAATTATGCAGATCAATAATAATATAGAATATTAAATTGTGATAAAAAATAATTAAGCAACTATAGGTCAACACAAAATCAAGGCCCGCTTCGATATAAAGATAAAAAACCTAATATTTCCCTCATTCTTAGAAATAGATACCCCTAACTTTATATCATTGAAAAGGGTTACACGCCAGCATTTTTTTAAGTTCATGGCCAACTATGATTTCCATTCAAAAAATTATATTTTTCATTATTTCTAAGAAAAAGAGCAAGCATAGAAAAAAAACTGACTATGCCACTGGATTGTGCTTAAAAAAGTGCCTTAAGAACGTTTTTACAGAATTTTATTATTCCGCAAAATAAAAAAGTTATGAGCAATTTTCAAAATGGTAAAACATTCAAAAATACCCCGTATCTCAGTGGGTAGTGAAAATATCAACAGGCGGTTTACGCCATTAAACGTGTCTCAGAAATCGAGCCCATGACATCTATGTCGGTTTTGCTCTATCTAGTCAGGAAATAGGTTTTCTCTGTTAAAACAGACCAATTTCGACCACCCTGTACATGTTTTATACTTAGTTTTTATTTTTATGATTTTAGTCATAGATTTTGTTGTTAATTTTTTTCGGAAAAAATGAGGTGGCCATTTTATTTTTATCATAACTCCGCGAGTTTTTAAGCTATGAACTTTTTTAAAAAAGCATTTAAAAGGTCTTTTTAAGCACTTTAAAAACGGTCATATTCATTTTCTTCGAAAAATGTGCTCTTTCGCCATTATTTACGGTAAAAATTGCAATTTAGTGTCCGAAAAATAAAAAAATTACATTTACAGAGTGATAACTCGGCTATTATTACACCTACGGCGAGACAACAAAAAATGAGTCGATTCGTTATTTCAAAGGCTTAATTCTTGCTTTATATGAGTTTTGCGATAAAACGCAAGGTTTTTGAGTTATTTATAAAAAGTGGCAGAAAAATATGCAGTTTTAGATGAAAAATCAACATTTTCGATCCTAAATAAAAATATTAATTTTCTGAAAAAATGTTATAGAAAATTTTTTGCTTAATGGGTGATTTTATTTTCACCTCCGATAAGGGGTGGCACTCACCCCCAGGGTGAAAGCACACATCGCTATACCCTACAACCCTGGCTTACTTGCATATTTATAATTTTTAGAAAATTTATCAAAAATTAAATTATCATTATTTTTTTTCTTTATATTATCCAGATTCACAGCTGAATTAGTAAGCCAAGCCAGTCACCTTACCAAAGACAAAGACAGAGACGTTCCTAGTGACAAATCCAAAACCACCGACCCCACGAACGATGACACTTGGAACGATGACACTTCACCAAACGAAGTAACCTTCCCGAGCATATCAGGCAGCGCACCGAACGTCATCACATTCGGCAGTGATCGCGACGAAAACCAGCTAGAAAATGACGTACTGGATGGTACAGATCAACCAGAAGAACAATCAAACGATTTTTCTTCCATAAACACCAGCACAATGACCGAGAGCACCTTAATAGCCATAGAAGCCACGAAAATGGCAACGGTGTTCAAAATGGAAGCGGAAATGTCACAGAGCCTCACCAGCGCCGCCTCGCTGGACCTCGATTCTATCAGACCACCTTCACAGATGAATTCCATCACTAACAGCACAGTGATCGTGGAAAAAATAGTACCAAAAAGTCCTCAACTGGTTTCAAGGAAGAACTTACTGGTGAAGAGAGCGTTAAGCAATTCTTTGAATCAGGCATCGAGTTTGGAGAGTCTTGAAAGTCACAGTTTATCTATTCTGGACACGCAAAAACCTCCTGCAGAGATGAATCAGTTGATTGATGTAGATTTTGATCTCAACGACCAAGAACACCACCCTATCTTCAACGTCAAGCGAGATTTTGCTCTCTCCGGTCCTTTAAGCTTTAACGGTGATCTAGACTTCACAAATCCACCATCGATCTTCAATGAAATCACTGACATGTGTAACTCACTCGCTGATGTACCTACAGAGGCAATTGGAACAGAGACTAGTATTTTTGAAGACTGTTTTACTCACATGGAAGCGACTTTGGTTGATCAAACGTTACAAGACGACGATACGGCTGAGTTTAGTGATGCAAACAGTGTTACACCGATTCAAACTGATCAGAGTAGTGCTGAGAACACTCCAAAGAAGAGCTGTAAGCCTGTGAATAAGAGTATGATGACTAAACAAAGAAGGAATTTGGCTAGGGAGAGGTATAAGACTTACACGGTAGCGGCCGAGATGGTGATGCAAGAGAGTATCGAAATGGAAACTAAGGTTAGGGACGAAGAAACGTCAGAAAACACATATGTTTCACCGACTTACACAGTGGAAGCTTCTAAAGAGAAACAGGAAGAATCTAAATCAAATAATGTCAGTCCTTCACCAACTAGAAGCAAGCTAAGTATACGTCGAAACTTTATGCAAAAAAGACTGGAAAACAAGGAACGATTCAGGACACAGACCTTGAGCGAGAGCAGTTTTGGTTCTCCGGAGTTAGCCTCGGCTTCACCTCCCTGTGACACTAATGACATTCATTTCCTGGTTCAAAAAGAGGCCGATTTGGTTTTGAGGACCTTGAGGGACAGCAAATTTCAGCAGGTGGGTGGTTAATAATAATAATATAAATTCTGGACTGGGTGCCAAGTTTTATTTTTGTATGCGTTAGAGATAATGACCTCGTGATAGTATTTTGCCAAGTTCCTGTATATAGGGTGGTCTAGGATTTTCTAATGATATAATTCAACTTTTTATTGTTTTTTTTTCGTAAATTTTTATAATGATAATGATAGTCTCATTTTTTGTACTTGTAAGCAATAAATTTAAAAAAAATATGTTTTTACGCGTAAAAAATTGTTTTTTAAATAGTTTTTATCGTGTAACAAATTGTTTTTTACGTGTAACAAATATATTTTTAAGTGTAACAAATAGTTTTTTACGTGTAACAAGTAGTTTTTAGGCGTAAAAAATAGTTTTTTAGGTGTAACAAATAGTTTTATAAGGGTAACAAATAGTTTTATAAGGGTAGCAAATAGTTTTTTAGGCGTAAAAAATAGTTTTTACGTGTAACAGAACGTTTTAAAAGCGTAAAAAATATTTTTATACGTGAGAAAAATAGTTTTATACGCAAAAAATTAAAAAAAATAGTTTTTTACGTGTAACAAATAGTTTTTTTAAAGTAATAATTTGATTCACTTTCCCAAAAGTTAATTAAGAAGTAGAACTAGACTACCAGAGTAAAAATAATTATATTTATTAATATACACGCTGTATGAACTTCTCTTTAAAAATATAATTCCGATGAATTGTTTGACCACTCTGTAGATATATAAATTTTCGTAAAATACACAGTATTTTTTTCTAATTTTCAGGACGAGATGCTTGACTGCGAAACGCTGAGTCTAGTCTCGAACGACGAGGACTCGGAGCACAATTCTGGAAGTTCTATGAACTATAGAACGTATCACAAGAGTTGGGGCGGGAAGAAACATAACCTTCCCACCATTCCGAGTCAACTAACCAACGGGGAAGTCTGTGAAAGCACAGAGCAACAAAGCACTACGGTTCCTGTAGTTTCACCACCTCGGATACCTGATCCGCCTGCTCTGGACAGTTCTGGTTCGGAAGAGTTGAATTCTGACGAAGAAAACAGAGATAGTATACCGGTAAAACCGAAAATAGTGAAACCAACGAGCAATGAAATTGAAGAAACGCCTCAAAACGAATCAGTACCCAAAGGAATACGGGGTCGTCGCAAGCCGCTTTACTCCAAATCAAACGTCAACAATAAAGTGTCACCTAAAACAATCAAACCGGCCAAAACAATGACTTCCAACCTAGTTACGAACGTGACGTCCAGTCTCAAATCGGGGGCTTCCCTCAAACCGACAGTTACCAGACAAATCAAGCCTCCAAGTACAGTGAAGTCTAGTGGGTATGGAGTGAGGAGTAACGGTGCTACGCCGGTGAGGAGTGCGGTGAATAGTAGGGCTAATAGTCAGAACGGTAGTCCGAAAAGTAGTCCTAAACATTCGGCGAAGGGCACGCCGCCTTTGGAGAGGCAGGGGACTTTTACTAAGGAGGATAAGTGTGAGCAGAGTTCGCCTAAGCCGCCATCAAGGTTAGTTAAACGATGTAAATAAGCTATTAGACTTGTTATAGAGTGTCTATTTTCATTTTATATTATTACTAGCGTGTACCAGCGACTTCGTTCGCGTCTAATCAATCATTTGTAATGGTGATGATAAAGCAAAGTAAAAATTTCCATTAACATACAAACTGGATAAAATTTTCTCACATTTATGTCAGCATGAGAAAAAACAGTATGGCAATATTATTATATAACTTGGTATGGCAGAATCGTGGTTAAGAAATTACCCAACTTTTTGGAACACCCTGTATGATTTTTTAAAAAAATTCAAAATATGTAAAAAAAACAAATAAATTATGCTTGTCCAATCGTTTTCCCGAAAGACTAACCGTTTTTTAAATAACAAATATTGTAATATTTGAGGGGCGTTTTCACCCTCTTGGAATTTGAGATTCGTGAAACCCCTCCTTATCGAACCTCTACACCCCACAGTCAATCCGTTTGCCAAAAATCAGCTTTAAACGTCAAGCAGTTTAAGCGGAATCGTGATTACTCACTGGTCATATTTTATGAAACACCCTGTATAAATTTATAAAAAATCTTAAAATATGTAAAACAACAAAATAAAATATACGTGTTTAAGAATTTTTCCGAAAAACTCACCGGTTTTTAAATAGAAAATATTTTAATATTTGAGGGATAGTTTCACCCCCTTAGAATTCGAGTTTCGAAAAATCCCTTCTTATCGAACCTCTACACCCTAAAGTCAATCTGTTTTCCAAAAATCAGCTTTTTACGTCAAGCGCTTTAAGCAGGATCGTGATTAATCAATGGCCAGATTTTTTGAAACACCCTGTATACATTTTTAAAAAATCTTAAAACATGTAAAAAAACAAAATAAAATATACGTGTTTAAGCGTTTTTTCGGAAACTTGACCGTTTTTTAAATAAAAAATATTGTAATATTTGAGGGGTGGTTTCACCCTCTTGGAACTGGAATTTCGAAAAGTCCCTTCTTATCGAACCTCTACACCCTAGAATCAACCTGTATGTCAAAATTGAGCTTCTTACGTCGAGGGGTATGAACAGGATCGTGATTAATCAGTATGTCAGTCACTTAAGGATTTTATATATTAGTATATAGATTATATTATTTGTGATATTTCATGGTTGTTTAGGAGGGAATTATGGCATCTTAATTCCCGTTAATAATGTCCCAAGGGTGTAACTCTATTTATGGTTAGCACAACCAAGACGAGATATAAGCTTATTATATTAATTCAGTATAACAAATAAAAATTATTTATAATTTCAGGTTACCAGCACCACCTTCAAAGATTCCCTCGTTCGCCAGCAAAATCGCCAGGGCCGTAACGAACCGAATCCCCACATCTTCCAACAACCCTTCCAGCAGACTGAACGCGCGCAACGGCGGCGTTGTCAAGTCGGCCAGTACAGACCGGGCGAACCGTAACCCGAAAATCTACAACAGATCCACCAGCGCCGACAGCAGGGAACCCCAGAAGAAGCTGCAGCCCTCGTCGTCGACGCAGAGCTTGAAAAACGAGGCCAAAGTGGGGTTAAGGCGTACGGGAATTCCCGCGCCTGCCCAGAGATCGACCAGTAATGCTAGTATAACGTCGAACGGCAGTGCCAAAAAACAGGTGACTAGTAAGATAGCTAGTTTGTGGAAAAGGGTGGAGGAGAGTAAATCTAAACAGCAGAGTGGGCCAGGTAGGGTGGATATAGATATACAGGGTGGTTTTCTGTTGGAATAAAGAAATTAAGCTTTATTTAAAACCTCGAAATTAGTGGTTTCAATTAGCGTACCAGTTTGTTCCACTAACCACGACGTTCTGAACGAGGCCTTAGAGTTGTTCTTGCTAAAAAAAAAGTTAGATGATGTTTTATCTTAAACTGGGACAAGCTGTATACATTTTTCTTACATTAAAAGAGGACAATTCGAGCATATTTTTCAAAAAATAACAAATATTTTTGATTTCCTTAATTTCTTCCAAGTTCCAGTTAGAGAATCACCCTGTAGATGTAATAGCGAAAAATAACTATGGTAATCGCAAAACAATTTCCGATGCACACTCTGAATAAGAAGACTAAGGAAGGAGCATATCAAAAATCTTAGGTACACCGCGATGGGCCTCAAATATGGCCGACTTAAATTCCGGTTTATCAGTGCCGTTCTAATTTTATTTAAAAAATGTAAAACTATGATGTAGGGTAGACGTGGGGTAGAGTCAATATTTTTTTTTATTTTACGTTGTGAATAAATGTTGGTAGTTATTAAAATTGTTATAAAAACATATTATTATAATAAAAATAGATAAGTTTTAATAATTATTTATTAACACAAACATCCGATACGCTACTGAAGCAGGTAAGTCAAATTAACGTATCTAAATTCTTTGACATCTAATCTTTGACAAGTAATAAATAAAAGCTAAAATGCAAGAAAAATATATAATTTAGTTAATTTAAGTGAATTTCATAAATGATCGGTTTACTACACGTATGTATATTATATAGTCACTTACTAGCGAAAAGTTGTTCCATTATTTCACTCAATTTTTGCCGAGATCTACCGCACGCTACACAACCAACTATTTTTCGATAAATCGCGATAGTGTCACTGTTAATTTAAGTTCTGCCACAATTTCCATCTAGATTTACTACCTTTATACAACTAGCAGTAGTAGAATAAATAATAAATAACATAAAATAAGCTTCGTAAAGAGTGACGAATCCACAAAATTTCAAATCAAATTCAAATGTGTCAAATGAATCGTCAAACAGAACTGTCAAGGATACCCACCCTAGAGTGCTTTTTCCGCCCACCATGCATGAATACGTGGATAGCATTATGCTCCTTCCTCAGTCTTCTTATTCAAAGCGTGCATCGGAAAATATTTTGCCATTACAGTACTAACTTACTAATTTAATATATAAGGTCTGTTTAAACGAGAAGGGACGATTTTGACAGACAATTGTCAGTGTTACGTGCTCTCTCGTGGAACAAACTCTAGTTTACTAGCTAGTAAATAATAGTAAAATTTTAATTTCTTGTACAGGGTGTGGTATAAAGTTCATTCGTACGAAAAAACACAGTTTTTCATTTTTTTTTTCTCGGATAACGATTGAAAAATTGATATTAACTATACAAGGTGTGCCTCTATCCAAAACATTTTTTTTTATATTTTTTTTCTACAGTCAGACTATTGTCACTGTTATGTATTTTCTTGTGGGACAGATAATGATGTAAAATTTCCAGAAATACATTTTCGGAAATATTTCCTGAAACATTGGAAATATATGGAAATATTGGAAATATATGAAATATTTTGAAAAAATAAGAAAAACTGAAATATTTATTTATAAAAATCATAACAAAACATCGCAAAACACAAAATACTTATACATAAACACAAATAAAGAGTTATTCTTCAAATTAAAAAATATAAATTAAGGTTAAATTTGTACAAAAAAAATATTTTTGACACACTAGTCGAGCAAGAGGCATATGTTTATCGCTGTCATCAGCATCACACTCAATAACATCTTCTTGCCAGTCTACTTCCTCAAAATCTTCAATAGTATCGGAAATAAAAATTGATATATTGCCGTTTCCTATTTTCTTCAGCAAGTTTTCATTGTGGGATACATAGAGTAGCTTAGCGGCTCTATCATTAGTAAGCCTGTTTCTCTTTTTTGAATGAATATGACTATAAACGCTAAAACTGCGTTCCGTGGCAGCCGAAGATGCTGGCATCATCAACATTCGTGAAGCTACTTGTGATAATGAAGATGAAGAACACAGTCCTTTCCACCAGGAGACTGGGTTATCAAAACTACTTTTCCATATGAAGTTATTTCCAAATAAATTGCCACTTCTACAACGGTAATCTGTTATTTCATCTATTATTTCTTGCTCCTTTATATTGAGTTTATTTTTTGATATATTAAGTATATGCATTCTATGGCAGAAAGAATTTGGGTTTCATCAAGTTCAGAACCTTGTGATTTTGGATTTAGTAATTCTGCAGCATAATGAATGGGTTTAATAGCAAATTTTTCTCTTTTGTCAACAAACTCCGACAATTCGGATTTTTCTTTGTCGTCAAGTGAGGACAATGCAAGATTATTCTCAATTTTATTACCCTTCTAATATCACAACATGCTTTTACAGCAAAATGAATAGTGCTATAATCCCCTTCTACAATTTTTAACCATTTGCCAATAGGTTCAAAAATGTTAATTACGTTGGAAATTTGGGCCCAAAATACTTCGTCGTCTAATATCCACTGCTTAACGTTTTTATCAATCATTTGTGTTGCTTCTTGACTAATTGCAACTCCTTGTAAACTGAGTCTAGTATTGTATACACTTTTTAAATTGGTCAAAATTGAAGACCAGCGAGATTTTACTACGCTACGACCATAGATAAAAGAAAATAATCTACTATTAAGATAGATATGAAACTTATTAGTAAAATTTTGGGTCAAAGCGCCCCTCCGTGTTTTTAGTGGAGACTACGTTTAGCTCAGCGCCTTCGCCTTTTCTGCTGTAAATGTTTTTTTTATGTTTATATTTGAATTCAAAGGATTTATTTTTAAAGTTACACTGATATATTAGTATATCAGAGTAACTTTAATAAAACATAAGAATATATATATTTTACAATTTATTTTTTTAGTTATTTTACAGAGTTTCATGTAAATGATCGTAAGTCGACTGGCTGTCTAATGAATAGACCGAGATTTATAGATTTTAAAGCGAACGAAAAAAAATCAAACAACGAATACATACCATATATTTTTCTTTTATCTAAGATACATACCTTATCGTCTTTTGGAAACACGTACAGTTTTGCAGTTTTGTTAGTTTCTTTGCAAGATGCAACATAACAAGAAAACACCATTTTTACAGTTAATAAATAATAAAACTATTTCTGACTATGATATTTATAATTTAGATATATAGAAAATTAAAAAACAAACCAGTATTTGCAAACGCAGGCCCAAATTCAATAAAAATCAAAATTTTTCTTGCGAAAATCAGGCTTTTTTCACTGAAAAGGTATTTTTTGATTTATCAGCAGTCATTGTCAAGTTGACAATATACAGGGTGTTTTCGAATTAGTCTAAAAAATTATGGTGTGATTCCTCATGTGTTCTTAAAACAATTTTTATATAACCATTAGGTCTAAAGTACTTCCTTTCTGATCTACAGGGTGTTAAAAATTTAAAAAAATCGATTTTTTTGCTTAACATAAATGGTACACCACTGCTTTTTTAAAGAAAATATATTTTTTTCTTGACTGGCCATCCTTTTTCAACAAAATTGATCTTTTGAGTTTTTCTTGTTCATCAAACGGTTGTCGAGAAAAAAATAAATATACTTATTAAGAGCCCGCCTTAATTCGTTTTCTAACGATTTTATATTTTTTAGATTAATTAGGAAACACCCTGTATATGCATATCACAGGCAACCAAATAAACTACTCTAAAAATTATTTTTCCTACCACTAGCGACATATACTCTGTTTTTTTTCTCAGGTAAGATTTCGACAGACGATGACAGAAGAAAAGCAGATGACATCCCATACCAATCTATTTATTTTACTAAAAAAAGTTTCTAATCATTTTTAAGTTATCTATGGATGGGTTTAAATATAAATCCGTCATACGTCGTGTCTTGTTGTTTTTAACCAGTTTTATTGGTTTATTTAAAAAATGACAGATCGTATTTCAATTTTATTGGTTTGACGGAACGATGAACGACAAACGGACGCTGATGCGTATGAACTCGCCTTTAGATTCTTTTAGATTTTTTTTTTTAGATTTTTGACGCTTGTCAAAGTCTTGCCAAATTATACTTTATAATTTTGTGTCAACTTTTGTTAAATACCCTGCGTTTTGGAAGATGATGCATTTTGATTCGTATTATTACGTGTGTTTTGTGTCTTTTGAAGTCAAGTGGAGGAAAAATCGATTGAAAATTAACTGTAGACCCAGAGCACAGTTTATGGTTAATACTCGCTGCCCAGGCAGAAAGTCTTATACACCAATGAAGTTGCCATCTATAAAGATTGTATACCATTTCGTCGTAGATAAGTGCATCTCGTATATGGTAGAAGGATCAAACTAAACACATACTAAAAACTGGAGTAGCTGTAAAATATCGACATCACACGATAGGTAAATAATGGATTTTAGTACTGCAGAAAAATAATGTCAAAAGGTACTGGTTTAAAAAAATTAAGATTAAAGTTAATTAAACAACCTTTAAAGTATAAAATTTGGTAGGTGTTATTATTAATAAAATAGTATGTTTTATTTACCTATGTTGTTTTATTTATTCCTGTGGAATATTACAATTTTGTATTTGTACATAAGTTATATTGATAAATATAATCATAAATGCGGGTAGTTTCATAAAGCTTGAAAGTAAATAATAGTTTTTTTTATATTTTTTTGGTATGTAGTGTCTTGTTCTTGTTTGTTTTGTATTAACACATACCGTTTTTATTAAATAAAATAACTCGATTACATTTTTTCAGTTTTATACAGTTTTTTTCAAAATATTTTGAAGTAATCACTTGCCGTCTTGTCAATCAAATTTTAAATATTTCCTGCTATGCGTTCCAGTTGTACCAACTTATTTCTTTGTAAAATAAAATAAACTAGTTTGAAATTAAAATGACAGACACATCTATCACTGTCAAGGATCTTCTCGTTGGACAGACTATACCGTGTTTTTAGTGTGTACTAAATTATTTTATCAAAATTTCACCATATAAGTTTCCAGGCAATGGCTACGACTTACGAGCTCGGGTCTTCCCCGTAGAAATGCGAGGTTGCAAATAAGTTGGTGAATCCTCAGACTCGATATATTCACCATATTATATGTTTGTAAAACTGTTCTATAGTAAGTTTAATGTTTATAGGGTTACAAAATATGAAAGATATATTAATAAACATCGGGTTTGAATCGTTAATGACAAGATTTAAGTATTTTTAAAAATATTTCCAATATTTCCGAGACACGTTTGGAAATTTCCAATATTTCCATTTACAACACTAGGGATAGACTATATACCGTCGTTTGAAACATCGGAAATCCCATGGAAACAAATTTTCAACTGTCCAAATATTCTTTCTTTATTTAATAAATTATACAGCTAAATCGTAAATAGTTTTTATAAAGGTCTGCGTATGCTGAATTTTGGACAAGCAGAATATTTGGACAGTTCAAAATTTGCATGGGATTTCCTATGTTTCCAACGGTATAGAAAAAAACACTATTTTTCATTGTTTTTTCTAAGAATAATTGAAAAATTGACACCTCTATGGCACACGCTGTACATTTGAGCTACTCTAAAACATTTTTTATTATTTTTCAGACAAACGCGTTTGGATCGAACAGGAGCAGAAGCAGCCCGATCCCCCCCGCCTGATACGCAGCGGCACCTTCGAAAACAAAGATGGCGTCGTTCTACGTCACAAAGGCGGTTCCGATGAAACTCCTCCCCCCACTTCAGACGAGAAGAGGGTCTCCAGACTGGGCTCGTTCATCGTCATGGACGAGAACGGCGATAACGCGGGTCACACGCCGACAGTCGTGCCGGCCGTCAACACGTAGACATTAAGTTTAGTTAGTTTTTTCTTTTTAAGTCCGTTCTGTCTGCAGGTACCCTAGGTTTAGTGACGCTCCCTGTACATAAACTAGGAGAAACTTGCGTTGTTGCGTTGTGGTTGGTTTTAGTTCCAGTAAAAATCACAGGTGTCTCTAATAAGTATGTTCCCAAATAAAATGCCTCTGTTTGGACTTGATATTTATATCCATTTCCAAACAAAGCCATCGTTCTAGTCTTATTTTTCTCTCTCTGTGTATCTCCGTGTTGGGGATATGACACGATGTGACGTAAAAAATCACTGCGCATGTCCCGGTTACGTCACGATCGTAGTCATTTCGCATTATTTGTAATTTTTGTATGTTTGTTTTGTTTTTTTGGTTCGTGATATAATTAGGTTTAAGTAAAGATGATGTTAGTCATTTTTAAATCAAAGTATTTTGTGTATATATCTTATATATTTAGATAAATAAACAGAAGATGTCAAAGATATAAATTAGTGATAATAATAACGATAAAAACAGTGTAGTTTTGTATTACCTTCATGTTTATATCGTCATAGAGTTATTTTATTCTGTATTTTTTCTCTTGTGTTCTGAACGTTTTCGTAGCGACCATTTTTGTCTATTTCTCTTTTAAATAGCTCAAAGAACAAATAAATTAATTTTGCTTTCATGTTAAAACTGTGTTTTATTCTTCCTCAAAATATTATAGTCGTAGATCCTAAACAAGTAATAATTCAAATATACTTTTGAAAAGTTTTGATTAAATGGCCTGCTCCTGGTAGCGAAACATACCTCCTAGCTTTTATATGCTCCTGGTATAAATTTAAGAATTCTATTCTCTATCTGACATTACTTAAATATCTTGACTACATGGCGAATGTAACTGCTTACTCCTGGTATCGAAAAATACCTCCTCGCACTCATATGTTCCTGATACAAATTCAATTTTTCTCCGTTTTTGACAAAACCGACCAAAAATAATTCCAACCCGACAAATATTGGAGCAATTGACCAACGAGTTAGAATTGCTAGATTTTTTTGAAAAAACGGCCATAACTTCCAAACTAAAAGAGACATCGAGGAACGGAAGACGGCATTCGATTGGCCTTTCAACCCTCTATAAGGGTGCATAATTAGGGCGCGATCGGAGACAAAAAAAAATTTTGGGCAAAGATGAAGGAAGGTTAACCCCTTTCCTCATTTTTCGCTAAAATTTTTTTTTGTTTCCGAACGCGTCCTCGTTTTGCGCCCTTATAGAGGGTTGAATTCCCTATCGAAAGCCGCCCCCCGTTCCTCTCTAGCCCTTACAGTTTCCGAGATATTAGGGGTTGAAGTTTGGAAACGAGGTCGAAGTGCTAGAGATAGCAGAAATATCGTTGAAAAATGCTTTATTTACGTGTGGTACTAGATTTGCTCCTTACCTCTTCAATCTTATGCGATCCTGATTAAAATCGTCGATTTTGGACGAGGTTTAAATATTTTTGTGCGATTTTGGTCAAAAGTTACATTTTCTCGGATTTGTATCAGGAGTACATAAGAGCGAGGAGGTAAATACTTCATAAAAATTTTCGTTAAGCTTTAAAAATTTCGTTCTACTTACAAGAGTCCAAAGAAATATTTTTTTTTAAATGTCTTTTATTTCTATCACCTATTTTATTTGTATAGGGTGTACCAGGGTGGTGACATTTCTGTCAAATCAAACAACTAAAATTCTTAATATATAAAAGGTTTATTTTAGACAATATTTATTTTAACAAATTTAGTTCTTTCCTAATTATTAAAATTAAATTAAGGACGAAAGTACGTAATAATTACAAAAAGTAGGGCGTGACTATTCAACTGGGGATCGATCGGCTAGATGAAAAGGCTCGATCTTCTCAGTCGTTGTATAGGGTGGGTCAGATTCGACGCTTTTAAATGGAAACACCCTTTTCTATAGGAGATAGACGAAAACTAGTATTGGTGTCTGGAGCTCAATTTTCATCAAAAACATGATGGTGAAAACCGCACATCAATATCTGTTACCGTTTCGGAGTTACGGGGTGTTTTTAAAAAATGTGCATTTTTAACAAATCGCTGTAACTTTTTTACTATGGAAAATTTTGTATTTCTAGGAAAACATTTCCAAAGCACCTTTTTACATAGAATTTAATGGTTCAAATATATATTTTGTTTAATTAATAATTGAAGAGTTATCAACAGAAAAATTGATTTTTTATTTGGGACACCCTCTATATTTTTAATTAACTGAAAAGAATTTAAAATTACCTTTCCAAAAATATAGCATACTTGATATTTTGTTCTAATCCCCTTCGAAATACAGAACTTTTAAAAGTTCGCCACTTTTAACTAGTAGGCTTTGGACCCCTTATTGATGACATGCCCTTAATGGAACTCGAAAACATTATATTTCCAGCAAGACGACGCACCGCCTCTGAACGCTGAAGTTATCAGCAAATTTTTGCAGCCAATTTCAAGAATAATTGAATAGCTAACCAAGATTCCTGCCGTTGGCCGTCGAGGCCGCCTGACTTAGTGTCCATGGATCTAATCCTATGGATATATTTGCGGAAGAATAAAGGTTCCTTATTCTTCCGTATAATCTAGACAAGAATTAGAAATACTTAGCAGTCATGAGAGGGTATCTTTCACCCCCACTGAGTTAATGAATTCCGCGAGAAATGTTCAAAAACTGTCTCTCCCCCGTCTGTCAATAACAGAAGACGGTCGATATGTCGAACACCTGTAGCAAAATCTCATGTCTTGGTTTGCTATTTATTTTTATTGTTATTAGATATAGTTTAAATGTGTTGATGTTGGTTAAATATATTTTAAATTGTTATAAAATTCTACATCTCTCATAGCAAATATATTTTCGTTTTAATTGATGCTCACAGCTAGAATTTCTTTTGCATTACAGCCGGTGCCGTTCAAAGCCTACTTATTTAAAGCGGGCGAATTTTTATATACTCTATATCTCGAAGAGGAATCGAGCAAGATATCAAGTGTGGTATATTTTTGGAAAGGTAATTTTAAATTCTTTACAATAAATTAAAAATATACAGGGTGTCCCATATAAAAAATCAAATTTTCTGTTGATAATTTTTAAATTTTTAATTTAAAAAAAATTATACTTAAACCGTTAAATTCTACGTAAAAAGGTGCTTTGGAAATGTTTTCATAAAAATACAAAATTTTCCATAGCAAAAAAGTTTCAGCGTTTTGTTAAAAATGCATATTTTTGAAAAACACCCCGTAACTCCGAAACGGTAACAGATATCGATATGCGGTTTTCACCCAAGGACTGTATATATTCTAAAGGACTGTTCGATCGCGTCAAATCGCCGCTGTCGTAGTCGCCGTGGAATGCTACGTCACGCGCTGACCAGCGCAGCGCTCCACAGTGCGCCGGATGGTTATTCTAGCGGGACAAAATATCAAGAGCAATGTTTGGGACTTAAAATCTAAGAACGTAGCAAATGGTCTAATATATAGCAACTATATGGTTAAATTTATTTATTTATTAACAACTTAATTTATTAATAAATAAATACAAGATAATAAAACTATGATATTATTCGTACATGACACACAAAAACCGTATTGTAAACTATTGCCAAATACATAAAATTATGATATCAAAAAACTCTTTAGCAGTTATTTTTAAATTAATTTGTAATCTTGTGACACCCTCTATAATTTATTTTAAAAAAATATATTTTATTTTGAAAATAATAAATAAGATAGATATTTTAATTTTAATTTTAACACTCGGTAATTGTAAATTCATATATTAAGTATCTAAGACAATTTTTTAAACTCAGTGCCTTTTGATGGAGTTGTTTTGTTTTTATACTATCCGATTGAAATGAATCTTTTTGGGCATTCACCTGTTAAGCTTGAACTCCCTGTGACTGCGACTACCTGTGTTGGTAACTATTGGTAACTCAAAAGATCTACATCATTCAATATATCGATATTTGAAAAAAAAGTGTAAGTTTGATATCTGCAGAACAAAGGCACGAAGGATTTTAACAAATAATATACATACAGTAGAAAAGTACATACCTTTGGCAATCTTCAACATAATTTGGCTTTCTAATAAAATGTATAAGCATTTGTAAATATTTTGTTTTCGTATGATCTCTGCCTTGCTGAGCAGAAAACGACCAAATTTGGTTGATAAAAATGTATCGAAATACAAAGAATATTCATGCATTTTTTATCAATTGGAATGTCTACTATTTATTCTTATCAGTACACATTTTTTGGCTTATTTCTAACCAAACGCTTTTGTCCCGCTAAATTTATCTTCCAACGCCCTGTGCGCTCGTCCGTCAAATGCAAAAATAACTGTCACTGTCTAAAATCTTTAGCGCCAACTTCAACTCGGTCAGTAGATGACGTAAAAAAACTGACAGTGCAGGAAGATAGGAATCGAACTATCCTTATCTCTATATAGTATCCTTGGTTTTCACCATCATATTTTTGACAAAAGTTGAGCTCCAGACACCGATATTAGTTTTCGTCTATCTCCTATAGAAAAGGGTGTTTCCATTTAAAAGCGTCGAATTTTACCCACCCTGTACATTGCAAAATACTGGCGGGTAGTGCTACTGCTCAGTAGTCGGGGTGGGGAGCGAACCATACAGTGACCAGCTTGTCGTCAAACATGTACTAGTATCCTGAAACAAAGCATATTGTTACAAAAGTTATATTCTAAGAGCTAGCAACGTTTTCGAGAAAGTGTTTTAAGAGAGTACTAAGTTCTCTTTAATAAATATTTTGTTATGCTCTCTGGAACAGCGTGTGAGTCGTCTGGCTGCCGATAGACGTTGTGTTCACTACTGCGCATTGAAAGAAGCTCTTTTTTTTAGTCCGTTAAATTCTAGCATTGAATATAAATCGAAAAAGTCTCCATAGCGCGGCGCGAAAACGGTCCGCCTATAAAGCGAGAAGTCCCGAGTTCGATACTGGCTCGGGGTAAACTTTTTTTTATTTTATTTTCGTTTATGTTCTGATAGTAGAGTATTAAATAATTGTTTTTTTCTAATCACCAAAATTAGTTAATACTATTTACTTAAAATATCTTAAAATATGATTTTATTTTTTTGAAGTTTTATACCCACTAGCGGACAAACGAAGCATTTTTGTATAGAGGTAAATAATTGTGTCCAATGATATTTTGATTGCAAAAACACGCAGTAGTTCTATGTCCAGGGAATATTGGTACACCCTGTATTTTTATTATTACTTCTTACCTAAGAAAAACCAGCAACTACTTCACTGACAACTGTTTCAACTGCTTCAGCACAGTCTCCAAAAGCTTTTTCTTATCTCTTTCATTCTTATTCAGCACAGTAAATATATTCTTCCTATCGCCTTCTTTTAACCTACAAAACATTTTTATTTAAACACCTCTCTAAATTTTTTTTTGAGAAAACATACTTTTCCAGTAATACTATAGCAATATCAGGCTGAACTTTTTTGTACTTGCTGGTTTCTTGAGCATAATCGTGAAAATACGTAGGCCAGTCCCAAGTAATGAACAAATCTAATAATTCTCTGAGTTTGGCAAAGTATGCAAGCAATTCGTCTTGCTGTAAACCTTTCACAGGCTCAGATGCAGCGAATTCTAGAAAATAAATAATTTTATTTAATTAAAACAACTTTAAAAATATTTTTTTTACGTTCACACTGTAGTAAATCTAAGTTCAATTGATTCAGAGCACCCATAGATATTTGTCTGATCTCTGTATTCATCAACATAGCAAACATGGACTTTGCTATATGCTCACAAGCCGATCTACAAGCAACCTGAGCTACTTCGGGCTAAAAAAAATAAAAAACTCTATTTTACTTATAATAATTTAAAAAAAGTGGGGTTAAGTTACCGGTAGGTGTGTGAAACTATGAAAGGTAGTCTGTAAAAACGCTATAATGTCTGATATAAAGCTGGAAGCGTGGCCTTTAGGTTCTACTAGGGTCCAGTCGTACGTTTCCAGTTCTAGGAATTCGTTAAGTTTTTGGCGCAGTTTTTCGCTGATTTGCCTCACTGCGTCCTCTCTGGCTACTCGGAACATGCCGTACTGGCCTTGGATGGTGCCCACTGTGGCACCTCGACTTTCCTCGCTTGGAAAATATTCAAAAATCAGGTTAAAAATATTGGTAAAATTAAGTTAAAAATGTTTAAAAATCAAGTTAAAAATATGTATTCGAAAATCAAGTTAAAAATATGTTTCGACGTAGCTTGGCCGTTGTCCCAATATGTATCAAAAATTAAGTTAAAAATATTCAATTAAATAATATATAAAATATAATAGTGCAATATAAATAATATATACAATATAAAATTAAATTAAAAGTGTTTAAAAACCAAGTTAAACATATGAATTCGAAAATCAAGTTAAAATATTCAAAAATTAAGTTAAATATATTCAAAAATCAAGTTAAAGTATTCAAAAATTAAGTTTAAAATACTCAAAAAATCAACGGAAATAGGTAGCTGGGCCGTTGTCCCAATATGTATTCAAAAACAAAGTTAAAAATTAATATTCAAAAATCAGTTTAAAAATATTGGAAAAAGTATGTTAAAAATGTTTAAAAATCATGTTAAAAATATGTATTCGAAAATCAAAATATTAAATGAATTTGAAAAATATTCAAAAAATCAAGTTAAAAAATGTGCATTAGAAAAAATCACGTTAAAATATTAAAAATTAAGTTAAAAATATTCAAAAAATCAAGTTAAATATTAAATGAAGCTGTAAAATATGCAAAAAATCAAGTTAAAAAATATGTATTCGAAAATCAAGTTAAAATATTTAAAAATTAAGTTAAAAATATTCAAAAAATCAAGTTAAATATTAAATGAAGCTGTAAAATATGCAAAAAATCAAGTTAAAAAATATGTATTCAAACATCAAGTTAAAATATTCAAAAATTAAGTTAAAAATTAATATTCAAAAATCAGTTTAAAAATATTGGAAAAAGTATGTTAAAAATGTTTAAAAATCATGTTAAAAATATGTATTCGAAAATCAAAATATTAAATGAATTTGAAAAATATTCAAAAAATCAAGTTAAAAAATATGCATTAGAAAATCACGTTAAAATATTCAAAAATTAAGTTAAAAATATTCAATAAATCAAGTTAAATATTAAATGAAGCTGTAAAATATGCAAAAAATCAAGTTAAAAAATATGTATTCGAAAATCAAGTTAAAATATTCAAAAATTAAGTTAAAAATATTCAAAAAATCAAGTTAAATATTAAATGAAGCTGCAAAATATGCAAAAAATCAAGTTAAAAAATATGTATTCGAAAAGCAAGTTAAAATATTTAAAAATTAATTTAAAAATATTCAAAAAATCAAGTTAAATATTAAATGAAGCTGTAAAATATGCAAAAAATTAAGTTAAAAAATATGTATTCGAAAATCAAGTTAAAATATTTAAAAATTAAGTTAAAAATATTCAAAAAATCAAGTTAAAAAATATGAATTCGAACATCAAGTTAAAATATTCAAAAATTAAGTTAAAAATATTCTAAAATCAAGTTAATATATTCAAAAATCAGTTTAAAAACATTGGAAAAAGTAATTTAAAAATGTTTAAAAATCAAGTTGAAAAATATTCAAAAAATCAAGTTAAAAAATATGTATTCGAAAATCAAGTTAAAAATATTCAAAAATTATGTTAAAAATATAAAAAATATCCCTTACCCAGTTATATTTGATATAAACTGATCCAAATATACGTTGGCATCTTCTAAATACCCCGTATCAACGATTATTTGTGTTATTTCCTGCAAACCGACATGAGGGCTTCTGAATATCGAAGATAGGCAACCGCTAAAGCTTCTAGTGAGCAGGAGATTCATCGATTTTCTGATCATTTCATCCACTTCCACTTGGCTACAGTTTAAAAAATATACAGAGGGCAAAATAATAATAGAACATTTTTTTTATAAAACCTGAGATTTAAATCTTCAGAAAACTTCAAACAGGCATAGATAAACTCTTTGACCTGCTGGTAGATTTTGGGTACCATTCTTGAAAATGGAAAACTATACGGAAAAGTGACATCATCAGGCAAATCTCCATCCCATGGAAATGTTAGTAAAACATGCTCAAATTCTTCTTGATTGTGTACCTAAAATACCACAAAATTCATTAAAAAACTATTTTCTTCCTATAAAAAAATTAAAACATACTTCTATTGGTTGGTAATCTTCTTTGGACAGAATTTCTCTAAAAACTTGAACCCATCTTTGCATAAGAACCTCTGTATAGTGATCTCTTAGCTCTCTTACTAATTCCCAAAGTGGTTTCACAGAATACCCATAATTCCTCAATGTCGTGCAAAACAACATAATTAGATCCTTGATACGTAAAATTAACGTAGCGTCTGTGCAATATGCCTAAAAAAATTGATTTCAAAATATGCAAACTATACCATATAATATCTCAGTTATACAGGGTGATTTTTCAAGTATTTTTAAGAGAAAAAGTTCATATAAGCATGTATTCTTGTAAAATGCTTCGTTTTCGAGATACAGGGTGTGTTTTTGTCTTCAGAGCTACTTCATAAAACGTTTTTGAAGAGTAAAAAATCATTTCACAGGCTACTGTGACGCTATTTTTTCGTCGTTAATACCGTTTTACAAAATAAAAATTACTGAATGTGTCTGTAAGGCCGTCGTTATTTTTGACAAAGCCATACTCCACATACCCTCCAAAAAAGCTTTAATATTACACGTAAAAAATAACTTCAAAGGCTACCATGACACTGTTTTTTTTTCTCTCGATGATACAGTTTTACAAAAAAAAAATGTTATTACTTACTGAATGGGTCTGTAAGGCCGTCGTTATTTTTGACAAAGCCATACTCCACATATCCTCCAAAAAAGCTTTGGTAATAAGCCCCCTGCCGGTGTTTAAAACATGATCCTCCAAAATAAAGAACCCTAGCACTGCGTAGATATAGTTTCTATAGCTCTCTTCAGATTCATGCTAAAATATAGACACATTTTTGTAATAAATTAACATTAAAAACATTGTAAATTTACCATATTTGTTGGTGGTTGAAGAACTAACCTAGCTTGTTTAGTTCTTTCCGCCCTGTAGTACGCTTCAAAGTTTGAAACTTTCCCTAAGGCATGAGCTATGTGCAACCCCCTGTATATCGGAGAGAAATCTATCAACTCTTGGGCGCTTAAATCTTCTTCAGAGAAGTTTGTGGTTGAATCTTAAGCAAAAAGATTTTTTATGCCAAAAAAATTTATAATAAAAATAGAAATACATACCTTGGTTTGTGAGATTTCGCTTTTTTTTTCGACCAATCACTGTAGGATCTGTGGCGAGTTGTTCACTAGTATGCCTCGTTGCCACTTCTCCGATTTTAGGTGAAAATTTTCTGATGTTTTCCAGAAAATCTTTCAAATCTGACATAGAAGCTGCTTCAATTTTGTCCCGATACTTTGGAATCTTCTCACGCAGCTGATTGGAGAACCTGTAGTTTGAAACATGAGGCAAATGTTGATGTTCCAGCTCTTCTAGTGTCTTTAAAGCCGGATAATACCTTTAGAAAAATCAAAAAAATGTAAAATATAATAAAAAATTCAATAAAAAGGTACCTCTTATCGGAAATTTGTTTTTGTAGCTTGGAATAAGTAAGAAACACAGGTAAACATAAGTTTAACTGTGCTATAACAACTGCAATGTTGCTCTGAACTTTCCTGGCCTTTAAAAGTTCAGCTCCGGACTTTGAAATCGCTTGAGATGTTGTTTGAAGATGTTTGTCAATGGCTACAACTTGATTCTGTAATAAAAACAATTTATTGGCCTTTAAAAAACTAAATTCTTTACTACAAACATTTAGATTCTTCGATTGTGACTTGACTTCCAGCAATTCCCGTACTGATTCAATGAATCCTTGATAATAAACGTTGCAAAGTCTTTCGATATCCCTGTCATGGTGTTTGATCCTTTCTTCTACTTTTTCTTTGAATTCTACGTGTTCATTATTATCGAAAACGGCTCTAAAACATATATCTCAGTAATATTACTCTTTTATATCTATTTTATAGTACAAATACCTGAAGGTGGGTCCCCAATAATCATCTATACCTTCTATTTCCTGCAAATACAGATCGTACTGGCTTTTTTCATTGTGGTCTTTCACTAATCTATCCATTTTAATTAATTTATTGTTATTCCATCCTTTATTAATATACCAAATAACAATTATATTTTTATTTGGATGAATATAAAAAGAAAACAATAATGACAGCTGTTAAATTATTCAATTAACCTAAAAAATACGTAGTTGTCAAAAACATATGTTCTGAAAAGTGTTGCAGGATTAAAAAATAACAATGATTGTTCATTTTTTCCATTGATTTTAATGTCTAGATCGTTCAGGACAAGCATTTAGTTATTTTCTTATTACTAATTACGAAAATCGGTAAAATCTATGAAAATCTACTAATAATAGGGCATTTTTTAAATAATTTACTTTCATATAGTTCGTACGCATTTGGCAACAGTGTATGACGTTTTCTAATTATGAGTATCCCTCCATGGGCGTATCATTTTTAAATTTATACTTTTATTATTGATATAAAAATATGTGTTTAAATTTTTTTATGCAAATATATGTATATTTTTTAATTCCTGTAACCCCATATACTTGTAATACAAAAATTTCATATTGTAAAAAAAGAATTGGGCAAAAATTGCGTAGAAACTTCTTAAACACCATTGTCAAATGTATATATATTTCACTTATACAAATAATTACTATAAAAAAATGCTTTGAATATTTTTAAAAATGGATATAAAATAGAAAAAAACCCGAGAAAGATGTTTAATTTACTGTTTTATAGTTTTTTTTAGTTTTTTTCTTACGTAAATTGCCATTTGTCCATAAATTCTTAAAATTATATACAATTATAAACAACTAAATACTAGATTTAAACAAATCATATTATTCTCTGCCATATTATCAACAAAATAATGTATTAGTGCGATTAAAACTCAAATATAACAAAACGAAATAAATATATTTTGAAAATATTATAAGGACTCATTGTATTGTTAGTTGCATACGCTGTGACGTCACCAATAATGATCCACTAGAATGTAAAGCATAAAAATATTGTTTTAAAATATTATTGTTTACATTTTTTATCATTTACTAATTGAAACACAAAGAAAGTGTAAAATTTTTTAGTCATTTACTAAAAGACTTTTAAATTAATGATATTTCCTTTCACAGACTATTTTTTCCTTATTTTATGCACTTTTTTGTTTATCCAAGGAACAAAGAGAAATATAAATTAATAATGCAACCTTCTGACGAGTCGATAATGATCAGAACCCGAAAGAACGTTGCCAGCGTTGAACCTTTTACCCGATTTAAAGAAAACGTCATTTTAACACCAAAATCTTGCTACAAAACTGTCACAAATCGTTGTTTGAGTGACGTGTACGTCATATTTTAAAATAAATTGACAATTTTAGCGTAAAATAAGTAGGAAATTCTTCGGTTTAATCTCGAAATTAGCTTGAAAAAATTGGGAGAAAGCCAGCTGTGCGAGGGTGCGGCAACGCGGCGCGAAAGCTGGTCCTGCAGCACTGCGATCGTTCGCCCTAGGCCTATTCGAGAGAGCTGCCAGACGCCATATTTGTTGTCGTCTATGGGGGAGGTCGCTGCATCTTAAAATCCGTTTTTCCCCGATATCCTAAGTGAAACAGTCGTGTGTATGTGCTTTTCTGCCCCCAGGGACACCTCGGTACGGTGATGTTAGAGTAAGGGGCTCGCCGGAGCCCTAGCATAACCCCCACGGTACGAAATTCCGTCTGGGGTACTGTGGTTCTTTGTCCCCACTGCAGGGTTGCAAGGTAAGTCATTTCCCAACTTTTACCGCATTGTTCATGTGTTATTTTACGAAAATCTAAGAGAAATATATAGAGAAAAGATTCTTTAATCAGGAAATCGAGTTCTTAGTGTGTAATATTGGGTTTCTTTCACTAATTACCTTTACCATATAAAGTGGCAGGTTGACAGGTCCTAAACAAAATTAGACACGGGTAATTTAAATATATTTCACTATAAAAAGGAGATTTTCACTTATTAACGCCCTCTTTTCCACTCGGAGGTGTATAGAAAAATAAATTAAGTTTATTTTTTCGAGTTTCTTTGTTTATGTCACATTGTAAGTGTGTTATGACAAAAAACTAACAAAAATAGATATAGAGAGCCCCTTTTTGACACAATTTATGTGTTTTTCGTCAATAATATTGAGTTTCATTCACTAATTATGCCAAATAAAGTTGCAGGGCAAAAAATTAGACATTTTCTGTAAAGTTTTTAAATCTTTTTTACGTAGGTATAGAGAGGGACATTTTCAGGGCTCGACAATATGATATATGTATAATATCACATGGTAAACAGATATAGAGGTGGCATTTTCTAGATTTGAATATGATTGAGTTTCTTTCGTAAGTACTCCATGCTAACTTAATTCTTCTGTCGATTTCTGGTAGTAGAGAGCCCGAGCTTTGTATTATTTGTCCTAAATATAAATTATATTCTTCTACTAGGTATTTCCAGCGTTGTGTTATTTATCAGAATGTCTTTTCTGTCTAGTTTTTGCTAAATTCATTTTGAAACCCACTTTATTGCTGGCCGTACCAGATATACAGGGTGTTTCAAAACAAATGCGAAAAACTTCAGGGGGTGATTCCTTGTTCAAAATAAAGGGTAGTTTGCTTCATAAACGTTGGGTCAAAAGTCAACCATTAGGGAGATACCTATCGCGGTACAAAGATGGCGGAAAAATAATGTTCTTATTTTTTATCTTGAAAACGAAAAGAGATAGACTAATGAAATTTTATGGGAGCATTACTGTTACGAAAGCACACTTTTTGGTAATTTTCTCACTTTTTTAAAATGAGTGGAAGGTGTTGAAATAAACTACCCCTATCATTCTTGTTAACGAAATTTAAAGAAAAATCTTATCAAACACATGCAAAAAAGTTAATTTGGATAGTTTAGTTTGTTTAGAAACTTTTTTTTATCTCTTGTATTTTTTATAAAACTCACCGATTTGAAATTAAAAATAAAATGTAAAGCATTACATGTCAGGACTAAAAATATTTTTAGATTAAGAATCTAGTGATAATAATGATAATAATAATAATCTAGATAATAACGTATTGCAGTAGGGTAATGTCAAATAAAACAATATTAGAAACGTCCTAAAAAGTGACAGCGGCCGACTAGATTTTTTCCTGAAAAAATTACAGCTGCCCACTAGATTCTTTATCTAAAAATGTTTTTTGTCCTGACATGTAAGGCTTTACATTTTATTTTTTAATTTCAAATCGGTGAGTTTTATCAAAAAAACACAAGAGATAAAAAAGTTTCTAAATAAACTAAACTATCAAAATTAATTTTTTTTGCATGTGTTTGATAAGATTTTTCTTTAAATTTCATTAACAAGAATGATAGGGGTAGTTTGTTTCAACCCCTTCCACTCATTTTAAAAAAGTGAAAAAATTACCATAAAGTGTATTTTCATAACAGTAATGCTTCCGTAAAATTTCAATAGTCTATATATAGACTATTGAAATTGAGATATATATATCTCTTTTTTCGTTTTCAAGATAAAAAATAAAAACATTATTTTTCCGCCATCTTTGTACCGCGATATCTCCCTAATGGTTGACTTTTGACCCAACGTTTATAAAGCAAACTACCCTTTATTTTGAACAAGGAATCACCCCCTGAAGTTTTTCGCATTTGTTTTGAAACACCCTGTATAGTAATTTTTATTTTTATTTATTTATTTTACTTATTCATGTTAGTCCAGTGGTAGTTACATACGTGAAATATAAAGAATAAACAATAACAAAACTTTCTAAATAAACATGCACAATTTTCAAAAAATATTAGGATAAAATTATTACAGTTTACATCATAAAATCGTTATACAGGGTGTCATTGAAATGGTGTAAAAAAAATCGGGGGTTCCTATAAGTTTAGGGTGGAAAATGTATATTAAGGGAGTTAGGGCCACTGAAAGGGTGAAGGGTGAATCCTCTGCCATAAATTTTGACTCCAAATCAAATGGTGCTACTGAAACATTATTTGGAAAAGCGAAAAGGGTAGTTTTTGCAACGGTAGGGGGTTGTTTCTCAACTCCTAAAAGTCATAAACATAAGATATAACAAAAATTATTTGGTAACATTTGTACTTTGTACATAAACCATGAACTATGACTATGAACTTGAAAAAAAAACAAAAAAGCACGAAATATAAACTTAAAAAACGTAAAACACAAATAACTGAATTATTCTATTCCGGAATACTTTCATGCGCCGAGCTGGTCCCATCTTCATAGGGTATTATAGTAGTAGTAGTAGTAGTAGTAGTACTGTCTTCGTCAGTTTTTATTTCCAAATCAGGTATATTTGATGCATCATCTGGTTCTGATTCTGAAGGATGGACCTCTACCTCTACAGGTTCTAGTGGTTCTGGAGGAGTTTCATGTTGTTGCATATCATGTTCCATATCCACTTTTTGTTTTTGTAGTAATAATTTATTGTTATGAGCTACGACCATTATTTTGCCGGCTCTTTGTGCAGTTAAGCGATTCCTTTTTTAGTATGGATTAAACTGTAAGTACTGAAACTTCTCTCAGTGGCTGCAGATGACGTTGGTAAAGACAGCAGAGCAACAGCTAAATATTTCAACTGAGTATTTTTACATATTGCTTGCCACCAACTTAGACAGTCTGCATTTTTAACTGACATCCAAACGTAGTCGAGAGCCCATAAACCCGATTTGGCGCAATAATTTGTTACATCTGTAAAAATGGCTTCTTTATTATTGACAAACTGAGGATGTTTGTTGGTGATATTGTCGATAAATTCCATAGCGGCTATGTGTTCTTCATTGTTAAGGTGCTCTCCCAGGAAACATTTTAAGAGCCATACGTTTTCTATTTTGTAAGGCGGAGAAGCATTCTTTTTCTTCTGATTTAAGAATAGGCATACATTATACACTTTCGTTAAATTTTTGATCAATGTCTTGGATTTTGAAAAGAAATTTCTTGCAAAATTCGGATTTTTGCGAATATTCGCGATTTTGGGACCGACTATTTCGGAAATTTCTGAAATTTCCTGCAAAATTCGAATGGAAATATTCGCTACCAACATCACTAACTACGGCAACGTATTATTGACTGTTCCATCAAATTCGGACAACACCAAGGATAAATTGTACTGAAGCTGTGGTTGGTTCCTTGTGAAACATCGTTGAAATATTAGTATTTTAATAAAGCACGCTTTTAGATGTTTCAAAAAACTTTTAATAAGAGTAACTTTAACTCTACATATATGTTTCGGCTTGTTAGGCCTTTTTCAAGAGCTTTTTAAGAAGTTCTTAGCAGACATATATAATTAAGGAATGCATTATTTTAATAAGGAATTTTGGTAATTGGATTATTTCGTTTTTTTAAAGATGTTTTGATTTTTCAATTAATTATTTGATAACTACTTGGTTCCTTTTGAACCGCCATAACTTTCATAAGTTTACGTTGATTAACAAGTTAGCAACCCATCAGAGCAAACTCTTTGCCTTCGAAAACCACAGCTCTGGACGATGTGCAACAAGAGCACCTATTTTGCAGGAAAAAGTATGTAGTTTTCAAAAAATGAACCCGCGTTGCAAAAAAAATAACCTCAAAAAAGTTATTCGCGAAACAACCCCCCACCCTTGCAAAAACTACCCTTTCCGCTTTTCCAAATCATTATTCAGTATCACCATTTGATTCAGGGTCAAAATTTATAGTAGAGGATTTTTAAGAGGACCCTTTCAGTGCCCCTAACTCACTTAATATGCATTTTCCGTCCTATACTTATAGGAACTTTTTTTTACTATTTTTAGGAGTACTATCACCTCCCGAATGCCAAAAACTCCTCTTAGGTATAAAAGGCATTTTGTAAAAGTATATTTTTGACTTTGAATTTGAACCTTGAAAGAGGAAGTTCTCTGATATTTTTAGGAAGAGCATTAAAAATATATTAGATATTATATCCTTTATCATTTCCAAAATTTTATTACTCATTTGCAAAAAAAAAACAATAACATAAAACCAAACCAAACAAAAAGAATTAAAAAAAAACACAGATTAATACATTATTTAATTAACATTCGTAATGTATTTGTATAATCGAAAAAAAAACGGCGTCAAAGATGGCTGAGAAATGATAACCAATGATAATTTTGGCGAGGTCAATCTCTATAGACTTTATTTGCTAAAAAATTGACATAAAATTCGTCAAAAATTAAAACTAATAATTATAGAAATATTAAAAAATGATAGAACTTTCTAAACACACAAATATATTTCCAAGAAATTATTTTTTCTCGAATTTTAAACTAAACCATTTTTATTCAATATTAAAATAAATTACAACCTGCTTAAGCCAACTGGCACTAAGCACCATTAAAAAATAAAGATGAGTACAGGCCAAATAATGACCTCGCCAAAATTATCATCGATTGTGATTCCCCAGCCGTCTTTGACGCCGTTTTTTTTCGATTGTATGTTATTTATGCATGTAAAACTAAATTAAGGTTATTTTTATGAGTTTCTTTTATTACTTTATGGTATTTTTGCTAGAAAATTATTCAAAATGGCTAGACAAGGGGCTCAAGGACCCCCTCAGGGCCCGGTCGACTTGGAGGACGAAATGATCGACTGGGATGACAGAGGCGGAGGTGACATCGCAGGGGACAGGTTTGTTTATCTTTAAAACATGAATTTAAGTTGTTTTGTAACGTTTTTTTTTTGTAAAAAAGGTTTAGTTTTGAAGACTCAGATAGGTTTGAGGAAGACTCTATGTGCAGCTGGAGTACTGAACCTGAGAGTGTATGTAACAATTGGAGGGGATGGAAAAAACCTAGCTCGAATGCTGGAATTTTTACCAATGGTAAAAGAGGCTCAGAAGGTAAGGAACTTAATGTTAAAGAGACTGTAAATCATCTAGATATCTAATTAAAGGGAGACACAAAATTCCATTCTTAAAACACTATTTGTTTACAATTTACAATTAGACAAAGACTGTTCAGGCATTATTCTTTGTTACTTACAGTTGAGGGTTGGAACCTTTGGTGTTACACAGCAAAATAAAAACACTAAATCACCACAATACACCAAAACACTTTTACTTTGACACTGGACGCGCGCTTCGCTAACCATGTTAGCATCATCAGCAGCTGATTATAAACTAAAGTACAATCTACAAGTTGAGCGTTTATATACTCGCCCAGTGGGCACCGAGTGGGCGTTGAAATTGAGAACAACGACAGATTACCATTTCTAAATGTATTAGTTATTAGAAATGCTAATAATTTCCTGGAATTTGATATCTATAGGAAAAATACGACCACACGCAGATATATTCCTAGTGAATCACATCATAGTGTTGAACATAAAATGGCTAGTTTAAATTTCTTAGTTCATAGATTACTTAGTTTCCCACTTTCCATCGAAAGATATGAAATAGAAAGAGATTACATTAGGAATGCAGCTGAGCGTAATGGATATTCTCCTTCACTAGTTGATAAATTAATTAGAAAACGTAGGTATAGGTTAATGATTTCTGAAAATTCGACTTTTCAAGTGGAGAAAGATACGTCTGAATATTTTTCGATACCGTTTGATAGAGAGTTATCCCGTGGTCTAAAAGGAATTTTTAAGAATGTCAATTATAAACTTGTGTATAGTGCTAATAATAAATTACAACAATTATTAGGTAATCCAAAGAATAAAACACCTCCACTGGAAAGGTCGGGTATTTATGAAATTTCTTGTAAAGATTGTAATCAGAAATATGTTGAGGAAACTAGAAGATCAATATTAACTAGATTTAAAGAACATTTAGCTCAGATAAGATATGGTAGACCGGATAAATCTTCCGTTGTCGAACATATTGTTGATAAAGAACATTGTATAGGTCTTAATAATTTAAAATTAATTAAACAAGTCTCAAATTACAGGCAATTAGATGCATATGAAACCATCAGAATTAATAAATGTAAAGATAGTATGAACAGAGACAACGGTCCAATTCCTTCAAGTTCTTTGTTCCTACTACTCTAGTAGCGGAAATCTAACTGTTACGCTCAGTGGGTTCTGACCATAGACAAACTAACAAAAGCAAGACGCGTCAACGCTGTACTGCAAAACGGTAACAAGTTTGATAAGAGTTTATTACCGCGCTTGCGTCAACTGGCCTTTTAGACGAGGACGGTTTACTTATGGATTGTGTATTTTGTAGTAGCCTTTTAGACAAGGATGTTTAATTAAAAAGCGTTTATTAAAATCAAATAAATTTATTTCCATCGGTAAAATAAACAATAATTTCTGGACATAACAGATATAAAAACAAAAGTTAAATAAACGAAAACGTATTCCTCTTATGAAAATAACAAAGATGATAAAAAAAACAACAGTTATGGTAAACGAAATAAAAGCATTATTCTTCAAAAGGTACAAAAAAATAATTATGTATATTATAATATTAATAATAGGAACAACAAGAAACATCTTAAAAATATACAACTTTTTCAAATATAAAACAAAAACATAAACTTCACATTTTCACAAGAATTTGCAAAAATATTAACATTTCGAGTCTATTATAAAATATAAAGCACGAAAATTCAAATCATAAAAAGATTAAAAAGATAAAGATTCTTATAACTTACAGTCAATTTGTAGGACCTTCGTTTTGTCTACGTATAATCACAGTAATTATTATGTTCTTCATAAATGTAAAATGTATTAAATTATTTGTTTTCGTTTTGTACGCTAATAAAATAATAATAATAACCAAACAAAACGCAAAATCAGGAATTCAACAGTTCGTTCAAGGATGATTCAAGGCAAAAACGTTTTTCGTTTTATTTAGGTTAGGTTTGACGAGTGCGACTGCGCGATGATTTCTGACTCAACTGGCCAGCGCAAAAACAATAATTCGACTTCCTGAATCCTTTGAAAAGTCTTGCTTTTGTTAGTTTGTCTATGGTTCTGACTCGGTTGGCTAGATTTTGCCACGCCCACTCGGTGCCCACTGGGCGAGTATATAAACGCTCAACTTGTAGATTGTACTTTAGTTTATAATCATCTTCTGATGATGCTAACATTGTTAGCGAAACGCGCGTCCAGTGTAAAAGTAAAAGTGTTTTGGTGTATTGTGGTGATTTAGTGTTTTTATTTTGCTTTTGTTCTTTGTTACGTCATAAAATATTAATAGTTTGGGATAAAATGTTAATAGTTTTGTCTCCTTTAAGTTAGGTGTCTTTGCTTCTTTAATAATTTATATTTTGTGGTGCAGAAGCTTTTGCGGTGCCTTCATTGACAGAACTGACAGCTAAATGTGTCGCTTCTCATATACCGTTTGAACTGGTTGAACATGTATATCCCCCTGTTCCCGAACAGTTACAATTAAGGATCGCTTTTTGGAGTTTCCCGGACAATGAAGAAGACATCCGGTATATTTTTTTATGAATTTTTTTAATCAGTAAATAACCTGGTGTCGCATCGTCGGACGGGACATAGAAAATCCCATGTAAATTTTAGTGGGGTCAATTATTGGCTTCCCTAATTATTTTAGAGAATAATTCTGTTTAGGTTTATTGAAGAGCACTAAAACCCACATTCAAAAGAATAACTTTAGATATTTTTGATTAGCTCGTTTACGAGTTATCGCCGATTTCTTTTTAAATATTTCTCCTTTCTTATGGCCCTGTATTTACTTACGAGCACCAGTCAAGGTAAAAGATAACTGTCAAATGAAGTTGTCATTTCAGAAATTTACCTCATAGATAAATGCAACAAGTTTAGATTGGAAAGCCCGTAAAATTTTAGGTCGCGAAATTATTTTGGGTCGCGACCGTTATACGCGATCTGGCGCTGCTATAGCGCGGTCGCTAAGAACAACGGCAAACAAAAACAGAAATAATTTTCTCTTGTCAAAGTCAGAATCTTCAAAAATCATAATCATCTTTCAAAATCTAAACCGCTCTCATTAAAGCAATTCCGAAAAGTGTTTATAGCGTCCATTTTCAAAGTAATTATTGCTATCTTGTGAGTTTAATTCAAGTTTCATTTACTCCAACCGGTGATAATTGTGAAAAAGTGGCATTAAAAACTTAAAAGCTGTGCTGTGAATTGCGAACTGCAAAAACCATCGTGGATCGTGGCATAACGTCGGTTTTCAATGTTTCATAGGTATTTCATACATGCGTCCTTATATAAAATAAAGTTTCTTGTATGCAACACACTGTATTTTATTTATAAAATTAAACGAAAATAATAATAAATTTGAATAAACAATATTTGGCGATATAGTTCCGGAAAAAGCCGAACCGCTCCGAAATTTTCAAAAGTTTTGGGTCGCGACCGTTGCAAGAATAGCGCCAGATAGTGTTTACATTGTCCTTATGGGCACATTCCAATCTAAACTTGTTTCATTTATCTATGATTTACCTATTTAGTGCTTTATTATTATTGAAAACTCATTCCTACATCGGAAATCTTCAATATGTATTTATAAATACAAATTAATATGAATTAAAGTAAAATAAAGTAATCAATTACAAGGTTAATTATAGTATTATTACAATATTCAATAACTTATTAATTTAGGTACTATTAAATTGTTAGAACTTTAGGATTTAAGAAGACGTTCCAATATTCCTCCATCGACACTAGACAATAACCCAGGCGATCATAAAATTCTCTTCTTACATTCGCTAGTTGGTAAACTGAAATTCTATTGCAATCGGCAGAAATAGCATTTTTTAACTCGTCTAGATTTGGGTATTTTTTATCCTTGTATATCCTGTTTTTTAAATGGCCCCAGAGAAAGAAATCATTTGGCGAAATATCAGGAGACCTTGCTGGCCAATTTCCTGTTTGATGTAGGCCAATAACGTTTCCGTTAAAACTATTGTCTAAATATTCCCGAACAGCCAGGGTACTATGTGCCGGGCAGCCATCCATTTGGTACCAAACTTCCTGATTTTCCCTAGCGGCATCATGTAAAGCAGGTAAAATATGATTTTCGAGTAGTTCCAAATAATATTCTGCATTTAAATTTCGCGTAAGAAATATTGGCCCGATAATATTGTGTCCGAATATCCCTGCCTAAACATTTACTTTTTGTGGATATTGCATCCTTGTTTCGACAAACCTGTGTTGGTTTTCTTTGTTCCAATATCGATAATTTTGAACATTGGGTTCATTATTTAAGGTAAACGTGCATTCGTCAGTGAAACATATGTTTTTTAAAAATTCCCTATCCGTGTTTGCTGTTTCCATCATATCAAAACAAAACGCCTGCCGTCGTATTTCGTCCCCATCTCGTAGCTCTTGATGCTTTTCATATTTGAAGGAATAGTATTTATTTCGTTTCAAAATTCGAAACGCTGTAGTGTGATCTATTCCTCTTTCATCCTCAAGTTTCCTTGTGCTGATCTTTCCATCGTTCTCTTCCACGCACAATAAAACTTCCAAGTCGGTATCATTTCTTGCATCTTCTCTTTGTTCCTGCCTTGCTTCACATCTGCAGTTATTTATTAGGGTACCTTTGGTTTTAAATCTCTGGATATTCCTTGCAATTGTAGATTTTCCAGGTATCGGTCTATTCGGATACAGAGCAGCAAACATGTCCGACACCTTTTGATAACTATTTCCTTGATAATACCATTTAATCATCAATACTTTTTCTTCGGTAGTGTAATTCATGGCTAATATTTTCGATGTAGGTATGAGTTTTTAATAATAATAATAAAGCACTAAATAGATAAATTTCTGAAATGACAACTTCATTTGACAGTTATCTTTTACCTTGACTGGTGCTCATAAGTAAATACAGGACCATAAGAAAGGAGAAATAATTAAAAAGAAATCGGCGATAACTCGTAAACGAGCTAATCAAAAATATCTAAAGTTATTCTTTTGAATGTGGGTTTTAGTGCTCTTCAATCAACCTCAATAGAATTATTCTCTAAAATAATTAGGGAAGCCAATAATTGACCCCATTAAAATTAACATGGGATTTCCTATGTCCCGCTCGACGATGCAACACCCGGTATATATACCGTGTGCTAAAATGATGCCCATTTTATTTTAGAGAAAACTTCTTTGAAACAAGTTCTTTAAGCAGTTTGAGATATTTTTTTTTTTGTAAAATAAAATGGCGTTCATTTATCGTTTTTGAAATTTACATGGGGTTTCCTACGTTTATACAGACGGTATATTTTATTGTACACTTATTTTAGGCTATATTCTTGCTTGGCAAACGGTTCAGCTGATGAATTTTCCAGAGGTGAAAACCTTCACAGAAATCACATGGTCAAAGATCCTTTACAAATTGGTAAGTTATTATTGTTTATTTTTTGATAATTATAATGTTTACATAAACACGACCTACTTTTGAAGGTTTTTTTTTATTATTTATGTTGTATTAATAAATATTATAGGTTTTCATTTGTCGGCAAGCGTGCAACAGGCCAGGTACAATAACAGCTCGACCCCTACGCACAATGTAGCTGTCACATTTGACAGGAGGCGGATTTCTTCATGTAATTGCACGTGCCAGTCGCAGGCTTATTGGTGCTCGCACGTGGTGGCCGTGTGTCTCACCAGAATACATTGGGTATTATTTTAATATAAAGCATGTCTTTTAAATAAGTGCCAGTATTTTAAATGGTACTATATTTCGACGACCCTAAAAGCACGCCTATGTGTTTTTTGATGAAAAATTTTTTTGAAAATTTATTATTTTTGGTAATAAATGTCATTTTAACAGAAAGTCAACGGTTTATAATAGAAACATCTGCTACAAAAACCAAATAGCTGATTTCCGACGGTTTTCAAAATGTTGAAAATTAAACATCTCTATTTTCAACTTATTTTATAAATGACAGATACAAAATATACAGGGTGGTCCGGACTGTATTCCGGAAACTTCGGCAGTATATTCTGCAGATAAAAATAAGTGAAAAAGTTCATATAAATGTATGTCCTAAAATGCTTAGTTTCGGAGATACAGGGTGTGGAAGTTTCATTTTTATTTCGATTTTTTTCAAATAATTTCTGAAGTATCGTCAATATTTTGATAAAAATTGGTGTCTGGGAGTTTTTTGACATGAGAAATTTGATTTTGATGTCAATATGACTCCTATTTGCAGGGGGCGCCACCTACATGTGTTTTAACTGTTTTGAAAAGTAATAACTTTTGCTGTCGGGTTTCTCGGAAAGAAACCTACGTCGCCGGGCGACAACTAAAATTCAGTTAATATTTTATTATAATCGATCTTGACGAATAAATGAATTTCATAAATGAATGAATTTTATAAATGAATGGTTTTTGCTGCCGAATTACTAGAATACAATATTTCAAGGCAGATGATGGATCTATTCGATAATTTTTATTCGAATAGTTTTCAACGAATGTTTTCTTACGAACTATCGAATTATTCGAATCAATTGCAACTATCGAATGTTTCGATAGCATTTATTCGATAGTTCCCACTACTAATATACAGGGTGTTTCAAAACAAATGCGAAAAACTTTAGGGGGTGATTCCTTGTTCAAAATAAAGGGTAGTTTGCTTTATAAACGTTGGGTCAAAAGTCAACCATTAGGGAGATATCGCGGTACAAAGATGGCGGAAAAATAATGTTTTTATTTTTTATCTTGAAAACGAAAAGAGATAGACTAATGAAATTTTATGGAAGCATTACTGTTATGAAAACACACTTTCAGGTAATTTTTTTACTTTTTTAAAATGAGTGGAAGGGGTTGAAATAAACTACCCCTATCATTCTTGTTAACGAAATTTAAAAAAAAAATCTTATCAAACACATGCAAATGCTTTAATTTGGATAGTTTAGTTTGTTTAGAAACTTTTTTACCTCTTGTGTTTTTTTGATAAAACTCACCGATTTGAAATTAAAAAATAAAATGTAAAGCATTACATGTCAGGACAAAAAACATTTTCTGATAAAGAATCTAGTGGGCTGCTGTAATTTTTTTAGGAAAAAATCTAGTCGGCCGCTGTTACTTTTTAGGATGTTCCTAATATTATTTTATTTGACATTACTCTACTGCAATACGTTATTATCTAGATGATTATTTATTATCGTTATTATCACTAGATTCTTAATCTAAAATGTTTTTTGTCCTGACATGTAATGCTTTACATTTTATTTTTTAATTTCAAATCGGTGAGTTTTTATCAAAAAAATACAAGAGATAAAAAGTTTCTAAACAAACTAAACTATCCAAATTAATTTTTTTGCATGTGTTTGATAAGATTTTTCTTAAAATTTCGTTAACAAGAATGATAGGGGTAGTTTATTTCAACCCCTTCCACTCATTTTAAAAAAAGTGAAAAATTACCAGAAAGTGTGTTTTTCATAACAGTAATGCTTCCATAAAATTTTATTAGTCTATCTCTCTTTTCGTTTTCAAGATAAAAAATAAAAACATTATTTTTCCGCCATCTTTGTACCGCAATATCTCCCTAATGGTTGACTTTTGACCCAACGTTTATGAAGCAAACTACCCTTTATTTTGAACAAGGAATCACCCCCTGAAGTTTTTCGCATTTGTTTTGAAACACCCTGTATACGAACTTTTTTATTTATTTTTATCTGCAGAATATGCTGCCGAAGTTTCCGGAATACAGTTCGGACCACCCTGTATTTCTTTCGTCCTGATGGTCCATCTTTTAAAATACTGGCATTTATACATGAAACATCCTGTACATTAATCGTCTTATTTCTAATCATTTTTAGCCACATTTGGTGACACTGCGAGCCCCAGTTTCCGAATCCCTATCGCGACTACACCGGGAGCAGTTACAGAAATTCGCTCAGTACTTGATCAGCGAACTGCCTCAGCAAATTTTGCCAACCGCTCAGAGATTACTAGACGAATTATTGGGATCTCAGCCTTCGGCTATTAATTCTGTATGTGGGGCTCCCGACCCCACTGCCGGGGCTTCGGCAGCCGATCAGACATCTTGGTATTTGGACGAGAAGACCCTTCATGACAATATCAAGAAAATTCTGATCAAGTTCTGCGTGCCGGCGCCTATGGTGTTCAGGTAAGGAAAAAATGAGTTTAAATTGGGATAAATTTTGTAGAAATAGTTCAATTGGACCGTATTTGCGATGGTGGAGTCAATTAAGTAAACTGTAGATATTTTAATCTATTTAACTTTAATCTTCTGTAAAGTTGTTAAAATTTTGATAGTAACATTTTTAGAATTTAAGTAAACAACATGAAAAATAATTTAAAACCGTGAAATAATCTAAATAAACGTTTTTATAGAGAGTAGTTCAAATGTAATGCGCCATAAAACATGTAATTTTGCAGGATTTTTTTTGCTAAGGGAATCAAAACTATACTTGCCGTATGCAGAATTGTTTTTTCTATCAGAATATGTCTTAGTTTGAGCTGAACTGTTGATACTTTTGAGGTAGAGCCCTGGAGAGAACAGTAGTAGTCCCGCTTATTTTGTCTTGAAGCTGAAAAGACAGGATAGTGTTTGTACTCTGTGTTTGTGGATATGGTGAAAAAAACGACGTCACACTAGCCTTTAAGTTAATAACTTATTTTAAGCTTGGATAAAATTATTGTAAAACACCGTTGTTTGTAGATATTGTGTTTATGGCAAGGTATTTTTTGACAGAACATTTTGTGTGTAAATAAACAAGACGAAAAATAATTTAAAATCATTAGTTAATACAAATAAACATTTTTATGAAGAGTAGTTCAAATGTACCGCACCATAAAATATTTAATTTTGCAGCGACGTGAACTATTTGAGTACAGTGGCGCCGATTGGTCATCTTTTTTATGGCTTTTCAGGAGTAGAGAACCTACTTTTTATATTTTTATTCGATTTATTTAAGTAGCGAACAGGATAGGAGATTTATATTCGTAAATTAGTTTAAATAAGCTGTTTTATAGGAGGTAGTTCAAATGTATCGCACTATAAAACGTTTAATTTTACCGCAATGGTGCTGTCATCGGTAACCTAGTGGTACTCTTTTTTATGCTTCCTCATGCGCAGAGAACCTAGTGTCTGCTTCGATTTTTATTCAATGCATTTAAGTAATTAACGCGAAAAATAATTTAAATTTGTAAAATAGTTCAAATTAACAGTTTTATAGGCAGTAGTTCAAATGTACCCCATCATAAATATTTTCATTTTGCAGCGACGTGAACTATTTGAGTACAGTGGCGCCGATTGGTCTTCTTTGTTATGGCTTGTCAGGAGTAGAGAACCTATTTTTTATATTTTTATTCAATTTATTTAAGTAGTGAACAGGATAGGATATTTATATTCGTAAATTAGTTTAAATACGCTTTTTGATAGGCGGTAGTTCAAATGTATCGCACTATGAAACGTTTAATTTTACCGCAATGGCGCTGTCATTGGTAACCTAATGGTACTCTTTGTTATGGTTCTTCATGAGCAGGGGACCTAGTGTTTCCTTCGATTTTTATTAAATGTATTTAAGAAATGAACACGAAAAATAATTTAAATTAGTAAATTAGTTCAAATAAACATTTTTATATAGAGTAGTTCAAATGCACCAAACCATAATACATGTAATTTTGCAGCGATGTGAACTATTTGAGCACAGTGGCGCCGCCAGCGGCGGCCGAATGGTCTTCTTTATTGCGGCCCCTCAGAGGCAGAGAACCCGAAGGCATGTGGAACCTTTTGAGCATAGTTAGAGAAATGTTTAAGCGTAATGACAGAAATGCTGTACCCCTTCTAGAAATCATCACCGAGGAATGTATGGCCTGCGAACAAATCCTTATATGGTAGTAATTTTAGTTATAGGTAATTGAAATATTAAACGTTTATTATTTTTTAATTTTTAAGGTGGTTTAATACAAAAGTAGCTCTACTGAGCGGAAATTCCGGTCATGGAGGCTCGGGAGGAGGAAAACACAACAACATAAATAGCAATACTCACGCCTCACAACACGCAGGTTCCTCATTATGCGATGAAGTTGTAATTCTTTGGAGACTCGCCGCCTTGAATCCAGGGTTGGCACCATCGGAACGAGACATGCTTCACAGCCAGTTCACTACGTGGCACATGAAAATCCTGGAGAAAGTTTCAAAGTGCCGGAATACGAATTCTTCGTCCACGTCGAATTATTACAAGAACGCGAGTTCTTTGAAGGCCGATCTGGATATTTTTACCGGATTTAAGCCGGCTATAGAAGCTTGTTATTTGGATTGGGACGATTATCCCATGCCTGGGATTACGTATACGTCGGATATCAATCCGATGTATCATTGTCCGTTTACTTGTTTCAGGCACGGGCCTGATAGTGCCAGAGGCGAAAGTCAGGTAATTATAACCAGGGTTGTGAGGTTTTAAATATTTTGATTAAAAATACCATTAATTGTTGTAAATGAGGGAGATAAAACACCATTTGTTTATAGTTATACTCGCTTTAATACTTTCATATAAGTTAAAAGATGAGTGCATAAATGTGACAACGCTGTTAAGTTATACAAATCTAAAGCAAACAGCAGAAATTTGGCATTATCGATTTTTGATGTAAACGATCTTTAATCAGTGTAAAATATAATAGTTTTTTTTATCTCCTTTATTTAGATGTCTTTGTATCTTCTTATAACTTTGGACTTAATATCATGTTTCTAAAACAACAAAAAACGTCTTTTTTTCAATCCTGCAGGTGACCCAAGTGAACTCATCCAAAGCGGTACTCAACGGCGACCAAATCACCCACACGGGCCATTCCCATCACCATTTACACCACCGGCATCACCACCACCTGTTCCGCAACCACCGCTTCGAGTATGTCAACGTTATGTCCCTCAACCCCGTGGAATACTCCCCCCATCACCCTCACATAACTCAACTCAACGAACGCGACGGTAACAGATCCAGCGTGAGCAGCGAGGGATTTTGTGAGGTCGATGACGACATCAACATACTCCAAGTCCCCAGTTACAATGACTCAGACTCGCAGGAAGGTGGTGGGAGTGACTCTTCTTCGTCTAGTAGCAGTAGGGATACTAATACTCCACCTACACGTCAGATTACCAACCCTCAGGCTTCGAACATCGATCAGAAACAACCTGGCTCGAAAACGCCAGTTAATGAACCCAATTCCGACCCGAATTGGTCAGGAAATGAACCTCCACCTTCAACAGATACCGAGGAAGAGTCGAGAAGACAGTCGAAAGATGAGTCTTCGAGTTCTCTAGACTCTCCGAACTCCGGGGATGAATATAGTGTGTATTTCTATAATTCCAAGGAGGCGAATGGTGGGGAGCCAGTAGCGGGGAGTTCTGGACAGTGTCCGGCGAGTGGTGGGATGCCTGTGGACCAGGTGGATGGGAAGACTGACGTTTTTTCGGAGATTCGGAGATGTAACGACCCGTGGGATGTGTTGTTTGCTAGGGCGGAAGGACTGCACGCGCATGGGCACAGTAAAGAAGCTTGTATTTTGGGTATGTTTTATTTTTTCTTTATTTTAAAACAATAACTAAAGAATACAAGGATCAATATCAGTATAGTCTGTCCAACGATAAAATCCTTGACAGTGATAGATGTGTCTGCCATTTTAATTTCAGAACAGTTTATTTTATTTTAATAAGAAATAAGTTGGTACAATTGGAACGCATAGCAGAAAATTAATATATTTAAAACTTTGAATAAGAAGACTAAGGAAGGAGCATATGAAAAATCTTAGGTCCACCGCGATGGGCCTCAAATATGGCCGACTTAAATTCCGGTTTATCAGTGCCGTTCAAATTTTATTTAAAAAATGTAAAACTATGATGTAGGGTAGACGTGGGGTAGACTCAATAATTTGTTGTTTTATTTTACGTTGTGAATAAATGTTGGTAGTTATTAAAATTGTTATAAAAATATATAATTCTAATAAAAATAGATAAGTTATAATAAGTATTTATTAACACAAACATCCGATACGCTACTGGAGCAGGTAAGTCAAATTAACGTATCTAAATTCTTTGACATCTAATCTTTGACAAGTAGTAAATAAAAGCAAAAATGCAAGAAAAAATATATAATTAGTTAATTTAAGTGAATTTCTCATAAATGATCGGTTTACTACACGTATGTATATTATAATATAGTCACTTACTAGCGAAAAGTTACCATTATTTCACTCGATTTTTGCCGAGATCTACCGCACGCTACACAACCAACTATTTTAGAGTCTTTTTTGATAAATCGCGATAGTGTCACTGTTAATTTAAGTTCTGCCACAATTTCCATCTAGATTTACTACCTTTATACAACTGTCAGTAGTAGAATAAATAATAAATAACATAAAATAAGCTCCGTAAAGACTGACAAATCCACAAAATTTCATATCAAATTCAAATGTGTCAAATGAATCGTCGAACAGAACTGTCAAGGATCCCCACCCTAGAGTCCTTTTTCCGCCCACCTGCATTAATACAGCATTAATACATGGATAGCATTATGCTCCTTCCTTAGTCTTCTTATTCAAAGATTTAAAATTTGAGTGACAAGTGATTACTTCAAAATATTGTAAAAAACAACTGTATAAAACTGAAAAAAAAATAATAGATTTATTATTTCAAAAAAAAATTACAGTATGTGTTAATACAAAACAAACAATGAGTGTATTTTAAACAAAACACCACAAAAAAAAATATAAAAAAGAACTATTTCTTACTTTCAAGCTTCAAGAAAATTCCTGCATTTATTATTATATTTATCAATATAACTTATGAACATATAAAAAATATTTAATATTGCACAGGAGTAAATAAAACAAAATATTTTATTAAACTGAATTTTATGCTTTAAAAGTTGATTAATTAATTTTAATCTTATTTTTTTTAAACCAGTACTTTTTAGTATTATCTTTCCGCAGTACTAAATGCATTATTTACCTATCGTGTGATATCGTTATTTTACTGGATATCACACTCCTGGATCACCGGCCAAGCTACTTCAGTTTTTAGTTCCATATTAGACATGGTATACAAACTTTATTGGTGTATAAAACTCTGTCTCGACAATTAATATTAACTATAAACTGTGCTCTGGGTTTACAGTTAATATTCCCTCGATTTTTCCTCCACTTAACTTCAAAAGACACAAAAAACACATAAAAAAACACACGTAAAAACACGAATCAAAATACGTCATCTTTCAAAACTCAGGTTATTTGACATAATTTGACAAGCCTCAAAAATCTTAAGTCGAGTTCATGCGCATCTGCGTCTCTGCATCGTTCCGTCGCTCCAATAATATTGAAGTATGATCTGTCATTTTTGAAATAGACCAATCAAACTGTTTAAAAACAAGAAGAGAAAAAAATATTAGAAACTTCTTTTAGTTAAATCGAAACTACTTGTGAAATTGCGGGGAAGAATGCGGGGAAATTTTTTGGCGTTTCCTGTTGTCTCGTTCAATTTCGTTTCATTTGCGACGTGTCGGTATCTATACCCGAGGCAAAGGATTCCCATTCGCGTCCTTGTATTCTTTAAGTCATTGCTTTTTACTGATTAATTTTAAATTACAACTAACCGTTTTTTTGCAGGAGTAAAACTAGCCGAAGAACTGTTAGCTAACCCGCCAAACCTCATGATAGAAGTACCTCAAATCCCGAAGAAAAAAGGCAAAAAACCTCAGCTCAACCCAGCTACACACCAGCTCAGCGTTCTAGCTTCGGGAACCTTAGCCAAAGGCGCTTTTCTTTGCTCAGTTTTATCGGAAAACCCCGAGCATTTCCATCTGGCTTTCAGAGTGGGAATGTTCGGTTTGGAGATGGCCAGACCTCCTGCTAGCACTAAGCCTTTGGAGGTTAAGTTAGCTAACCAGGAAGCTGATTTAGTCAACTTGTTGAAGAGGCTGCCTCTGGGGCACAAAGAGTTACAGATTTTGAGGGAAAGAGCTGAACAAATCAAAGGTTTTTAAGGGTTTGTATAGGCTTGGTTTGTATTTTATTAATGTTTTGGTACTTGCAGATGGTACTTTGAAGTCTAGAGGGGAAGCGATGTTGCCAATAATGTTGGCTAGTTTTATTTTCGACGCTTTGGTTATTCCTTCGATTGTAGGTAAGTGTTTTATCGTCATTCAGGTATAAATGTGTGGAAAAAGTTTAGTTTATAACTGAACCATTGTAGGTCGCGACAGGTCAAAAATCATCAGTCTTCGCCTGCCCACTGATGAACCTTTAGCCTTTGAAGCGGCTGTGGTGGCCTTAGGTCTAAAAGCCAACGTTTCGGAGGCAGATCATCCCTTACTGTGTGAGGGTACAAGAAGACAGAGAGGAGAACTAGCAATAACTTTACTAACTTTCTACAAAGACTACTGTTACAAGATTTGCCGGTATGTATTTATTTTTTTTTAAGATGTTTAGCTATGATATTCTGTGCTGATAAACACAATTTTTTTCCATCAATAGGATTATGGAGAAACTTTTGGACAGGGAAGTTCACCAGCTTCTAAAAACGCCTCTTCTCAGTTCGTACTACACTAACAATCCACCTATCAGAAGCCAGTACAATCACCTACGCAGAGAAGAGTGCGACAGTACCATAGCTTCAATAAATCCGTTTGTACCACCGTCAGAGATGATTCCAACTGATGCCAGTGAGTATTATAAATATTTGACGAATACACGCCGCAATGTTGCCTCCGCTACCTTTTTTACTTTGACTACTTCTGATACATAACTTAAGATAGTTTTCGAATAACCTGATGATTGATTTATCTATAATTATTATTATTTTTTCTCTAGATTGTTGTAGTAGACCTCACAGTTCGACCAGTGCCGAGGTGGAACAGGGTATGACTAACCTTTCTTTGGCTGGTCCCAGTGGTCAAATATCGCAGGGAGCTATTTCAAGGACCAAAGAGGGCCGGTACAAAAAAAGGGCGTACCCTTCCATTCCCAATCAGCCGTCGGAGGCTGGAGCTCATTTTATGTTTGAATTGGCCAAGACAGTACTGACAAAAGCTGGTAAGTTTTTTCGTTTAAAAAATTAGGAAAATTTAACTAAATGTAACGGTTTTTACTGCTTATATAACCTTAAAAAGGTTCTATTGACTTCATCGTTATCATTTTTATAAATTAATTTTATATACCGGGTGTTTTTCAAATGTGGATCACGCCTTAACTTTTTATTTCAGATAAAAAAACGAGATTTATAAAAAAATATAAATGACGATTTACTATTCAATTATTTTCGTTCACTTTCTGTTTAAAAGGTTGCTGTCAATCTCAACTTGATCGGCACAGCACACATCGAGATATCATATATTATATATAAAAGACATGTAACGAACTAAAAACGTTACAGTATTAAATATTAACATGCGAATATAACGAAACTTCTGTTCTTTACTGTGTCAATCAAAGAAAGCATTTCTCGCTAAAACACTATTTTATCTCTATTCTTCCAGGTGGTACAAGCAGTACCTCTCTCTTCACCCAACCCTCGACGAGCCAGAGCCACCACGGTCCCCATCGAGCCCTGCACATGTGCGCTTTCCAACTAGGTCTCTACGCCCTAGGCCTACACAATTGCGTCTCCCCCAACTGGCTGAGCCGCACCTACAGTTCGCACGTCTCCTGGATCACAGGCCAGGCGATGGAGATCGGTGCCGCTGCCATATCTTTTCTCATAGATACCTGGGAGGGTCACCTAACACCTCCAGAGGCCGCTAGCATAGCTGACAGGGCGTCAAGAGGGTGTGACATTAATATGGTCAGTGCTGCGGCTAATCTGGCGTTGTCTGTGCTTCCTCATTCTCATGCACTGAATCCAAATGAGATACAGAGGGCGATATTGCAGTGTAAGGAGCAGAGCGACGATATGCTTGAGCACGCATGTTTGACGGTGGAGAGCGCTGCTAAAGGGGGTGGAGTATATCCGGAGGTGTTGTTCCAGGTTGCGAAGTACTGGTACGAGTTGTATATTAGGCATACGCCGGGTGGGGAACAGTTGATTGATAACGATATACCGCCGCACGAGGCGCTGATGGATCCGCACGCGCAGCTGGTTGCCTTGATTGGTTAGTTATACTGTTTTTTTATGGGTGATAATGTAAAGGGTTTCTATTTTAATATTTCAGAACAACCAGTTACACAGGAAGGATCTCCTGCGGCTGCGCCTGTGGTTGTTACAACGGCTCCGCCACCATATCCAGTAAGTTTCATAGTATTTTCACTTTTTCTAAGCCTTTTCACAAACAGAAGGTTTTACTTGATACGTTTTGACTGGATAGGTAAGATTGACATGTAAAACGTTATGTATAGACAGGGCTTTATACAGGGTGGTCCGAACTGTATTCCGGAAACTTCGGCAGCATATTTTACTGATAAAAATAAGTAAAAAAGTTTATATAAATATATGTCCTAAAATGCTTAGTTTCGGAGATACAGGGTGTAGAAGTTTTATTTTTTATTCGAATAATTTTGAAGTAACGTCAATATTTGGATGAAAATTGGTGTCTGGGAGTTTTGACATGAGAATTTGATTTTGATGTCAAACTGACTGCTATTTGTAGGGGGCGCCACCTACATGTGTTTTAACTGTTTTGAAGAGTAATAAGACGTAAGGTAAAACGTTTTGTGTAGAGGTAGCTTTATATGACAAGACAATTTCTTCAAGAAACAAGATACACGATAACATAATTAATTAACTTAAACAACATAATTAAATCCTAATGATTTGGTTATTTTTTTATTGTTGCTTAATTTTTTTTTTATTTATTATTTCAGCACGCCACACCTCCCGTTGGCATGTACGTGAGCCACTACAATTTTGTACCAGCCCATCCCACAGGCGCCCCTATAGGCTACGCAGGTAAATCACCGAATTTCTCCATATTCCAATATATCTACAGTATGTCCCCAGATTGTCTTTACAAGAGGAAACACTTTTTTATTATTGACATTTTGAGAAAAATGCATTCTTCATAAAAATTTTTGCTTGTTCTAAAATGGTTAATCTGGCTTATACTTTTCCAAATTCCCATACCCTTTTAGAGAAAATTAGAAAAAACATGAAAATATAGTTGAATTTTTTCTTTTGAAGTCCTAAAAATAAAAGGGCGTTTCCATTGGTTTTCATTCTTTTATAGATTATTGTTGATAGAATTTTAATTAACGTCATATTTTTTGCTGTTTTAAAATATTAAAAAAGCACAAAATTTAGTAGTTATCAGAAAATGTGATCAAACAACAGCAAAAAATATGACGTTAATCAAAATTAACAATAACCATCCATCAAAGAACGAAATCGAAATTATATAACATAGAAACGTATAAATCATAGAAACGTCTTTTTATTTTTAGGACTTCAAAACTCAAACATATTTTCGTGTTTTTTCTAAAATTTTCTCTAAAACTGTATGGATATTTGGAAAAGTATAAACGGGATTAACCATTTTAGAACAAGCAAATTTTTTTATGAATTTTTCTCAATATAAAAATATATTTATTTCCAGGTCCACTTCAACCAATCCCTACAGCGACGCAACACGTACACGTGCAGTACCAGTTCCCCTATCCTCCCCTCCACCTCCCGGCGCTCAAGCCCTGCCCCCTTTTCCCCCTCCAAACGTCGGACAAGCAACCTACGCGGGGTTGCCACCTCCTCCCACGCCGCCTCAGGTAGTGCCGGTGTTGTTTTCCGTGGATTCTAGGCAGACTCATGACTTGGAGGACTCTCGATTCCAGGTGAGTATCAAATAGGACTGTAGCGATATATATATATATATATATATATATATATATATATATATATATATATATATATATATAAAGAGATGGGTAGTCTACGCGACTGACTAGTTGAGAGAAAAATATTCAAACAGGTGTCTTGGGGATGCAGTCTAATAAGAAGGCCGTTAGTTCAAGGAAAAAACCCCTTTATTGTTTAGTCCAGGAGAATTCAGTTATATATGCCCATATATATTCAGTTATATATATATATATATTCAGTATATATATATATATATATATATATATATATATATATATATATATATATATATATATATATATATATTAGGGAAGCCAATAATTGACCCCATTAAAATTTACATGGGATTTCCTTTCGTCCGACGATGCAACACCCGGTATATGATCTAGGGATTTAATCACTGATATCAGAGAAGCATGTAACGTAACTGTTACAACAGTCGTATAAAACGATAACGTCGGTAGGTTTCTCGCATAACGTAAAATCGTCGAAGACTTACCTTAAAAAATCACGGTATCAGATAACAGCGCGATTTAACAATCACGGCATATTTATAATTATATTTTTTCAGGTACCCTTTTCGACCACGCCCACGACGTCCCAGTACGTCTCTCCCCCCACGTCACAGTATGCAGCGCCTCCCCCACAATACGTGGCTCCGACGATAACCGCAACTCACCAGCAACCACCGCCCGTCGTCTACTCCAGCCCTCCCCCGGCAGGAGCTTCAGGTCCTGCCACTTCGGCGCACCAGCCTCAGTTACAGTACTTCGGCAGCGCGCCCGTGGCCTTGGCTCAAGCGCCGCCTCCCAGTTCGCGACCGGTGGCGCAGCAGCAGCAGCACATCTACGCGCAGCAGCCGGTGCCCGCGCCGCCGCAAGGTAGTACTTTGGTCCATGCTAACGCAGCCGTTTTACCGCTGACGCCGTTCCTGCGTGTAGGTATAGCGGCGCCGGCGGCGACGCAGCAGGCCATGGTGCGCCAGCACAGGCCGCACCAGCTCAACCAGGTGCAGCTGAGGTACCTGCTGACCGCGTACCGGGTGGGTATGCTGGCGCTGGACACGTTGGCGAGGAGGGTGCACGACGACAGGCCGCAAGCGAAGTACGCCCGGAATCCGCCCTACGGGGAGGACGTCAAGTGGTTGTTGAGGATATCCAAGCATCTAGGTGAGTACTGGATTATACAGGGTGCTACAAATTCGAGGTACGAGCATTGGTATCTCGGTAACCGTAACAGATACGAATATGGTTAAATTGGGGCAAAGTTGAGCTTTAGGATGTCCACCAAGATGCCGTCAAAAAAGTTCTAAAAATTTCAAAGATTGCTGAGTTTTTTTTGGAAAAAACTGATTTTTTGAAGATCAATTTTATTTCTTCCTGTCGTTACTTTTTAGAAAATCAAAAAACTAATTGCACATTCTTATAGCCACTTTATTAGAGCTATCTGATGGTATTTTTAGATTTTCAGATTAGCTCATAATTTGTGAGATACTGAGGCCAACTTAAATTTTTTAAATACGGACCTGCATCGTTTCTTTTTTTTTCAGGTTTTGAAAGAACTTGGTTTCCTGAGCACACTTGATTCTTTTTTTTTTGGTTTTGGGTACCTTAACAATAACAAAACTATTCAATTGTTATTTAAAATAATTTCAAATCCCAGCTCTGGTTTTTACATTTATTTAATCTGATTATACTCATCACAACAATATTGATCAGCGCTAATTAACATTGAATAAGGAAAATCAATAAAAATTGTTTTGGACATTTGAAATCAATACATTTCAACATTAAGAGTACAAAAACAATTAACGAGTAATATAAAACAATTAAAGAGTACAAAATGAATTCCGAAATATAAGAAGAAGATCTGTTCAAAGAGGCTATAAATAAGATTGAACGAAAAAAAAATGTATGCATTATGGAGGGTGGTAACCCTTTCGAACATGCAGAGCATTAGAAACTAGTTTGTAGAAGTTGATTTATTTATAATAACTACGATAAATATTATGCATATTATTAGATCGTACAGTGAGATTTCAAATTCACAATAAAAAATAAAAAAAAGTTAAAAAAATAGATATCTTTAAATTACTGACCTGGATATTAATTATTTGAATCTTTCAATTGGCGTGATTTTGCTTAGTCAATGTTAATTAGCGCTGATCAATATGTTTGTGCTGAATATAATCAGATTAAATAAATTAAAAACCCAGAGTCGGACTTCAAATTATTTTAAATAACAGTTAAATAGTTTTGTTACTGTTAAGGTACCCAAAACAAAACAAAGGCGCTTTTCTTTGCTCAGTTTTATCGGAAAACCCCGAGCATTTCCATCTGGCTTTCAGAGTGGGAATGTTCGGTTTGGAGATGGCCAGACCTCCTGCTAGCACTAAGCCTTTGGAGGTTAAGTTAGCTAACCAGGAAGCTGATTTAGTCAACTTGTTGAAGAGGCTGCCTCTGGGACACAAAGAGCTACAGATTTTGAGGGAAAGAGCTGAACAAATCAAAGGTTTTTAAGGGTTTGTATAGGCTTGGTTTGTATTTTATTAATGTTTTGGTACTTGCAGATGGTACTTTGAAGTCTAGAGGTGAAGCGATGTTGCCAATAATGTTGGCTAGTTTTATTTTCGACGCTTTGGTTATTCCTTCGATTGTAGGTAAGTGTTTCATCATTATCCAGGTATAAATGTGTGGAAAAAGTTTAGGGTAATTATTAGGAAAACTGGAAATCGTCCGATTTTCACCAAGATTGGTATACACCCTATTTTGAGGTCGTAGATTACGAATCTGAATTTTTTTTCTTGGTGGTCTCTTACCGTTTTTCAGAAAAACGGAAAATAATTTCAACATTGAATTTTTCTTTATTTCGGCCCTTATAAAGAAATAATTTCACTATATTTTCATTATATTATAGTTTATCTAAAAGCCACACTCCACACTTGATTGAGGATAGAAAAATGTCCAAAATTTTACTGAAAAACACTTTTCTAAACAAAATAACAAAGAAAATTGAGACCAGATGGACGTTTGACATTTCATATATACTTCTTTCTCTCTCCTATGTAATGAGAGATTGATAATTGGAAAATTTACAACGTTGCCATATCTTCTATTTTTTCGGGTGATTAGGGATTTTAAATAAATTACCTATTATGAGATCTGACAATAATATACCTACCTATATCCACAAAGTTACGCGGAAGAGTTTTGATTGCATTGGTTTCAACTTCTATCTGGAGGGGATTAATCTTTTTTTGTTATATTATATTAAAAAAAGATTAACCCCCTCCGCAAAGAAGTTATATAAAGACTATTTATAACCACGAAGTTGCACGAAAGAGTTTTGATTGCATTGGTTTCAACTTCTTTGCGGAGGGGGTTAATCTTTTTTTGATATATTATAACAACAAAAGATTAACACCCTCCGCATAGAAGTTGTAACCAATGCAATCAAAAATCTTTCGTGGTTATAAATAGTCAGATCTCGTTGGTAAAATAGCAGTTATGGGAAGGAGCCGTTTTTCTGGCGACCGCCTTTCGTGATTCCAGAATGAGCGAAAAAACACGCTAAAGCAGGTTAGGTTTAGCATTGGCAACGTTGCTTTAAATGCCAGAAACACATAACCCAGCATTTTCAGATTGTTTACAAATTTATTTTAACAAATTTTCCTCTATTATGCATAGAATTGGTTAAAAAAGTAACACAAAATAGCAAAAACATCATTGTTTATTGAATACCTAAGAAAATATGTGCTAGAAAACCTTAAAAATATGAGAAATTAAGAAAAATTCGATGTTGAATTAATTTTTCGTTTTTCTGAAAAACGGTAAGAGACCGCCAGAAAAAAAGATTCGTAATCAGTAAATTCAGATTCGTAATCTACGACCTCAAAATAGGATGTATACCAATTTTGGTGAACATCGGACGATTTTCCAATAATTACCAAGTTTAGTTTATAATAATTGAACCATTGTAGGTCGGGATAGGTCAAAAATCATCAGTCTCCGCCTACCCACTGATGAACCTTTAGCCTTTGAAGCGGCTGTGGTGGCCTTAGGTCTAAAAGCCAACGTATCCGAGGCAGATCATCCTTTACTTTGTGAGGGTACAAGAAGACAGAGAGGAGAACTAGCAATAACTCTACTAACTTTCTACAAAGACTACTGTTACAAGATTTGCCGGTATGTATTTATTTATTTTTTTAAGATGTTTTTAGCTATGATATATTCCGTGCTAATACACACAATTTTTTCCCATCAATAGGATTATGGAGAAACTTTTGGACAGGGAAATTCACCAGCTTCTAAAAACGCCTCTTCTCAGCTCGTACTACACTAACAATCCACCAATCAGAAGCCAGTACAATCACCTACGCAGAGAAGAGTGCGACAGTACCATAGCTTCGATAAATCCGTTTGTACCACCGTCAGAGATGATTCCAACTGATGCCAGTGAGTATTATAAATATTTGACGAATACACGCCGCAATGTTGCCTCCGCTACCTTTTTTACTTTGACTACTTCTGATACATAACTTAAGATAGTTTTCGAATAACCTGATGATTGATTTATCTATAATTATTATTATTTTTCTCTAGATTGTTGTAGTAGACCTCATAGTTCGACCAGTGCCGAGGTGGAACAGGGTATGACTAACCTTTCTTTGGCTGGTCCCAGTGGTCAAATATCGCAGGGAGCTATTTCAAGGACCAAAGAGGGCCGGTACAAAAAAAGGGCGTACCCTTCCATTCCCAATCAGCCCTCGGAAGCTGGAGCTCATTTTATGTTTGAATTGGCCAAGACAGTACTGACAAAAGCTGGTAAGTTTTTTTGTTTAAAAAATTACGAAAATTTAACTAAATGTAACGGTTTTTACTGCTTACATAACCTTAAAAAGGTTCTGTTGACTTCATCGTTATCATTTTTATAAATTAATTTTATATACCGGGTGTTTTTCAAATGTGGATCACGCCTTAACTTTTATTTCAGATAAAAAACGAGATTTATAAAAAAATATAAATGACGATTTACTATTCAATTATTTTCGTTCACTTTCTGTTTAAAAGGTTGCTGTCAATCTCAACTTGATCGGCACAGCACACATCGAGACATCATATATTATATATAAAAGACATGTAACGAACTAAAAACGTTACAGTATTAAATATTAACATGCGAATATAACGAAACTTCTGTTCTTTACTGTGTCAATCAAAGAAAGCATTTCTCGCTGAAACACTATCTTTTCTCTATTCTTCCAGGTGGTACAAGCAGTACCTCTCTCTTCACCCAACCCTCGACGAGCCAGAGCCACCACGGTCCCCATCGAGCCCTGCACATGTGCGCTTTCCAACTAGGTCTCTACGCCCTAGGCCTACACAATTGCGTCTCCCCCAACTGGCTGAGCCGCACCTACAGTTCGCACGTCTCCTGGATCACCGGCCAGGCGATGGAGATCGGTGCCGCTGCCATATCTTTTCTCATAGATACCTGGGAGGGTCACCTAACACCTCCAGAGGCCGCCAGCATAGCTGACAGGGCGTCAAGAGGGTGTGACATTAATATGGTCAGTGCTGCGGCTAATCTAGCGTTGTCTGTGCTTCCTCATTCTCATGCACTGAATCCAAATGAGATACAGAGGGCGATATTGCAGTGTAAGGAGCAGAGCGACGATATGTTGGAGCATGCTTGTTTGACGGTGGAGAGCGCTGCTAAAGGGGGTGGAGTATATCCGGAGGTGTTGTTCCAGGTTGCGAAGTACTGGTACGAGTTGTATATTAGGCATACGCCGGGTGGGGAACAGTTGATTGATAACGATATACCGCCGCACGAGGCGCTGATGGATCCGCACGCGCAGCTGGTTGCCTTGATTGGTTAGTTATACTGTTTTTTTATGGGTGATAATGTAAAGGGTTTCTTTTTTAATATTTCAGAACAACCAGTTACACAGGAAGGATCTCCTGCGGCTGCGCCTGTGGTTGTTACAACGGCTCCGCCACCATATCCAGTAAGTTTCATAGTATTTTCAGTTTTTCTAAGCCTTTTCACAAACAGAAGGTTTTACTTGATACGTTTTGACTGAATAGGTAAGATTGACATATAAAACGTTATGTATAGACAGGGCTTTATACAGGGTGGTCCGAACTGTATTCCGGAAACTTCGGCAGCATATTTTACTGATAAAAATAAGTAAAAAAGTTTATATAAATATATGTCCTAAAATGCTTAGTTTCGGAGATAGAGGGTGTAGAAGTTTTATTTTTATTCTGATTTTTTCCGAATAATTTTTGAAGTAACGTCAATATTTGGATGAAAATTGGTGTCTGGGAGTTTTTTGACATGAGAAATTTGATTTTGATGTCAAACTGACTGCTATTTGTAGGGGGCGCCACCTACATGTGTTTTAACTGTTTTGAAGAGTAATAAGACGTAAGGTAAAAGGTTTTGTGTAGAGGTAGCTTTATATGACAAGACAATTTCTTCAAGAAACAAGATACACGATAACATAATTAATTAACTTAAACAACATAATTAAATCCTAGTGATTTGGTTATTTTTTTACTGTTGCTTAATTTTTTTTTTATTTATTATTTCAGCACGCCACACCTCCCGTTGGCATGTACGTGAGCCACTACAATTTTGTACCAGCCCATCCCACAGGCGCCCCTATAGGCTACGCAGGTAAATCACCGAATTTCTCCATATTCCAATATATCTACAGTATGTCCCCAGATTGTCTTTACAAGAGGAAACACTTTTTTATTATTGACATTTTGAGAAAAATGCATTCTTCATAAAAATTTTTGCTTGTTCTAAAATGGTTAATCTGGCTTATACTTTTCCAAATTCCCATACCCTTTTAGAGAAAATTAGAAAAAACATGAAAATATAGTTGAATTTTTTCTAAGTCCTAAAAATAAAAAGGCGTTTCCATTCGTTTTCATTCTTTTATAGATTATTGTTGATAGAATTTTAATTAACGTCATATTTTTTGCTGTTTTAAAATATTAAAAAAGCACAAAATTTAGTAGTTATCAGAAAATGTGATCAAACAACAGCAAAAAATATGACGTTAATCAAAATTAACAATAACCATCCATCAAAGAACGAAATCGAAATTATAGTACCATAGAAACGTCTTTTTATTTTTAGGACTTCAAAACTCAAACATATTTTCGTGTTTTTTCTAAAATTTTCTCTAAAACGGTATGGATATTTGGAAAAGTATAAACGGGATTAACCATTTTAGAACAAGCAAATTTTTTTATGAATTTTTCTCAATATAAACATTATATTTATTTCAGGTCCACTTCAACCAATCCCTACAGCGACGCAACACGTACACGTGCAGTACCAGTTCCCCTATCCTCCCCCTCCACCTCCCGGCGCTCAAGCCCTGCCCCCTTTTCCCCCTCCAAACGTCGGACAAGCGACCTACGCGGGGTTGCCACCTCCTCCCACGCCGCCTCAGGTAGTGCCGGTGTTGTTTTCCGTGGATTCTAGGCAGACTCATGACTTGGAGGACTCTCGATTCCAGGTGAGTATCAAATAGGACTGTAGCGATGAGTGATATATCAGAAACAGTGATTTAATCCTAGATCATAAATATATATATATATATATATATATATATATATATATATATATATATATATATATATATATATATATATATATATATATGTGGGTTTTAGTGCTCTTCAATAAACCTAAAATAGAATTATTCTCTAAAATAATTAGGGAAGCCAATAATTGACCCCATTAAAATTTACATGGGATTTCCTATTTCGTCCGACGATGCAACACCCGGTATATGATCTAGGGATTTAATCACTGATATCAGAGAAGCATGTAACGTAACTGTTACAACAGTCGTATAAAACGATAACGTCGGTAGGTTTCTCGCATAACGTAAAATCGTCGAAGACTTACCTTAAAAAATCACGGTCTCAGATAACAGCGCGATTTAAAAATCACGGCATATTTATAATTATATTTTTTCAGGTACCCTTTTCGACCACGCCCACGACGTCCCAGTACGTCTCTCCCCCCACGTCACAGTACGCGGCGCCTCCCCCACAATACGTGGCACCGACGATAACCGCAACTCACCAGCAACCACCGCCCGTCGTCTACTCCAGCCCTCCCCCGGCAGGAGCTTCAGGTCCTGCCACTTCGGCGCACCAGCCTCAGTTACAGTACTTCGGCAGCGCGCCCGTGGCCTTGGCTCAAGCGCCGCCTCCCAGCTCGCGACCGGTGGCGCAGCAGCAGCAGCACATCTACGCGCAGCAGCCGGTGCCCGCGCCGCCGCAAGGTAGTACTTTGGTCCATGCTAACGCAGCCGTTTTACCGCTGACGCCGTTCCTGCGTGTAGGTATAGCGGCGCCGGCGGCGACGCAGCAGGCCATGGTGCGCCAGCACAGGCCGCACCAGCTCAACCAGGTGCAGCTGAGGTACCTGCTGACCGCGTACCGGGTGGGTATGCTGGCGCTGGACACATTGGCGAGGAGGGTGCACGACGACAGGCCGCAAGCGAAGTACGCCCGGAATCCGCCCTACGGGGAGGACGTCAAGTGGTTGTTGAGGATATCCAAGCATCTAGGTGAGTACTGGATTATACAGGGTGCTACAAATTCGAGGTACGAGCATTGGTATCTCGGTAACCGTAACAGATACGAATATGGTTAAATTGGGGCAAAGTTGCGCTTTAGGATGTCCACCAAGATGCCATCAAAAAAGTTCTAAAAATTTCAAAGATTGCTGAGTTTTTTGGAAAAAACTGATTTTTTGAAGATCAATTTTATTTCTTCCTGTCGTTACATTTTAGAAAATCAAAAAACTAATTGCACATTCTCATAGCCACTTTATTAGAGCTATCTGATGGTATTTTTAGATTTTCAAATTAGCTCATAATTTGTGAGATACTGAGGCCAACTTAAATTTTTTAAATACGGACCTGCATCGTTTATTTCAGGTTTTGAAAGAACTTGGTTTCCTGAGTACACTTGATTCTTTTTTTTTTGTTTTGGGTACCTTAACAATAACAAAACTATTCAATTGTTATTTAAAATAATTTCAAATCCCAGCTCTGGTTTTTAAATTTATTTAATCTGATTATATTCATCACAACAATATTGATCAGCGCTAATTAACATTGAATAAGGAAAATCAGGACATTTGAAATCAATACATTTCAACATTAAGAGTACAAAAACAATTAACGAGTAATATAAAACAATTAAAGAGTACAAAATGAATTCCGAAGTATAAGAAGAAGATCTGTTCAAAGAGGCTATAAATAAGATTGAACGAAAAACAAATGTATGCATTATGGAGGGTGGTAACCCTTTCGAACATGCAGGGCATTAGAAACTAGTTTGTAGAAGTTGATTTATTTATAATAACTACGATTAATATTATGCATATTATTAGATTGTACACTGAGATTTCAAATTCACAATAAAAAAAAGTTAAAAAAATAGATATATTTAAATTACTCACCTGGATATTAATTATTTGAATCTTTCAATTGGCGTGATTTTGCTTAGTCAATGTTAATTAGCGCTGATCAATATGTTTGTGCTGAATATAATCAGATTAAATAAATTAAAAACCCAGAGTCGGACTTCAAATTATTTTAAATAACAGTTAAATAGTTTTGTTACTGTTAAGGTACCCAAAACAAAAAAAAGTATCAAGTGTGGTATATCATTGTACCCAGGAGACCGAGTTCTTTCAAAACCTCAAATAAAAAATTCAGGTCCGGATTTAAAAAAATTAAGTTGGCCTCTGTATCTCACAAATTATCAGCTAATTTGAAAATATAAAATTACTATCAGATAGCCCTAATAAAGTGCCTATGAGAATATACAATTAGTTTTTTGATTTTCTAAAAAGTAACGACAGGAAAAAATAAAATTCATTTTCCAAAAAACTCATCAATCCTTGAAATTTTTAAAACTTTTTTGATGGCATCTTAGTGAACATGCCAAGGAGCAACTTTACCCCCAACTTAACCATCTTCATACCTACTACGGTTTCTGAGATACCAATGCTCGAATTTGTAGCACCCTGTATAGATTGATAGATGTTTATTATATTGATAGATGTGTCTGTCATTTTAAATTTAAACTAGTTTATTTTATTTTACAAAGAAATAAGTTGGTACAATTGGAACGCATAGCAGAAAATCAATATATTTAAAATTTCATTGACAAAAAAACTGTATAAAACTGTATTTTGACAGTTTTCAAATGTTTTTTTTTGAAGGTTTTTAGAAGTTAAACAATTGACTTTATTTTATTTAAGGCTCACACTATCTGCACCACTTTTGTGTCTGCGCTGTCAACTCAATTGTCAGCCCGTTCGTGTTACACGACGTGGCCATAGAAGCAGCTCAATACCTCGCCAGGAACAACCCAGGCCTGGTTATGCAACATCTCCGCACAGCTCTAATGCCGTTGGTTACCAAGTGTCAGCAAATGTATATTCAGGTACTTATATACTCTCTGCTGTTGTTGTCTGTTTTAAACCGTTTTATTTTCATTTTTTTGCGCAGTGTATGCACCAGAAACTCTACCATTTGACCTCAGCAGATTATGAAGATTTCGTAAGCATTGTCTGCGCAGCTAGGGCTGCTTTTCAAATTACTCCCGAAGGAACGACTCAGTTCAAGGAATGGTTATCGTCCATCAGAAGGTATAATCACAGATTAGGTATCCTATAAGTATACAGATAAAAATCTTGTCCTTAATTCGTGGTACGAACATTGTTTTTTATGACGATGTGCAAACGAGTCAAATTTCCTGTGCGCAAAAATAAACTCGCGTAAAATAACAATAAATAGCGTAATAGAGAGATATCGCTAAACCGAATAGCGTGCATGGACGTTAATAAGACCAGGTGTTATTTCCTTTAGGTGAGGTGGTATTAACTCTCTTCATTTATAGTTATCGAATCGGAAAGAATTCTGATCGCGTCGCGTCCGCTATTTAAACTTAACCTAACTTTGAATTTAAAACTTTGAAATTATTTTGTTTACTAGGTATTTTAAAACTAAAGGGCTAAAGTGCTTATTTCCAGTGCTTTATTGTTCAACGTCTGCCAGTGAGTTTAGGGCAACAAGCAACAAATTCTCTTAGAAGGGTTAAGTCGTCATCTGCTGTAAACCTAAGACTCTTTATAGGTTCTTTAGTATTGGAAGAGATGGAATCCATATTTTGGGCCATATTTATTTAATTAAAACTAATCCCAGCTACTTAAATATCAAATTACCTGATAAAACTAAAGCAATAGTTCAAAACAATTCAAACATAACCTTAAATAAAAGATCTCGCCGGCCGGCTCCGGTTGTCAAATACCCGCACATGCCCATTTAAGCAATTTTTAAACGTTATCAGAGGTTATTTAGAAAGAGCGCTTGGTGTAATTGATCCGCAAATTACGTCAGGCGGTAACGTTATTAGCGAGTGTTGCGTTAAAAATTGACTCGCGCATATCGTAACCATGATAAGGTACGCGTAAATACTGGATGACGCTATTCGGTTTTCCAATATCTCTCTAATAACTGTGCCGGTCAGGCGCTGTGCACAATTTTAGAGGTCATAAGCTATGTGCGCAAACTAGTCACCTAACTAGTGCCCGATTCCGAAAATTGGAACCACGAAAAACAATAAAGAAAAAACAAAGATTATAATCTGTATAATCTGTGATCGAAATAACTAATTCACGGCAATATACCAGAACATTTTATTTTTAAACACTGGACGCGTGCTTCGCTAACCATGTTAGGCGTCATCAGCAGATGATTAAAACTAAACTAGTATCTACAGTCGCGCGTAACGATTAATTGTCATTTCCCAGCCGTCTTCGACGCCGTTTTTATCGATCGTACGGTATTTTTAAACCTTTCTATTTTATATTCCAGGTCGAAATCCTGCAAAAAGGACTTATGGACGCAAATCAACACGGCTCTTCAGGCCAATTCCAAATGACAAAGGCCTGACCTGGTCCCCTCCGCCGGCTGCGGCTTCCGTAGACTCTCCCTGACCGACGGCGAGGTCATCGAGTCTACCCTAGCTCCAGCCTTCCGACCCTTGTTCATAGCCGGTCCCTTCGAGCACGACAACACCTCCACCGATCCCACATCGCCTGAAACGACCCAGCAATTGGTCCCAGTGGCACTGAGGATCCCTCCCCCAGGGACATTGGCCCCTCCCAGGTTTTTAGCGGATATTAAACCGCCTGGGGGGTACGCATTGCCTTACTTGCTCGCGCCTCAAGGCCATCCCTTGGCCGCTTTGGCCATATCGCCTCTGGAAGGAGGTCAATCGACGGAAGATGGCGTTTTTGCCAGAGGGGGTAGACCGATTGCAGTGAGACTTCCCGGTCCTTTCGAGCAGCGCGTCTTGCGGTTGGAGGGAGGAGGTCCTTTTGAGGTTAGAGCTAGGTGCCCTGCGCCACCGCAACCAGAGTCAAAGGACTGGGGGTCGGCCGATAGTTGATCTTAATTAGGAATCAAACAAAGCTGGATGGAGGTTCTTTTGAACTACTAGAAGACATATCCCGTCCAGGTTTCAGTTTTTTTCTTCGTTTTTGTACAGGAATCTATTATATCGTAGAGTCGCACGTTTAAAGACATTTTTGACGAGTTATAGGTTAGGTTTATTGTAATTTTATTTTAGGAAATTTCGGCGATTGTTTTTGTCCGCGGGTTTTTGTGTCTTTAAAGAACGTGAATAGGTTCTTATTTTTTTGTATACAGGGTGGTCAATATTGTATTCGGGAACCTTCGGCATCGTATTCTGCATGTAAAAATAAGTAAAAAAGTTCGTAGAAATTTATGTTCTAAAATGCTTCGTTTCGAAGATACAGGGTGTAGAAGTTTCATTTTTATTTCGGTTTTTCCCAATAATTTCTGTACTAAGGTCATATTTAGATGAATTTTAATGACATGTATTGACTATTTCCATTCTAAATATCTTGAGAACGGTTGCTCGTGGCGATTTTTACCAAGAGAACTTTTTTACGTTAAAAACGGCGGAAATGTATATTTTTTCACTCAGTAGTTTTATACAGGTACAGATGAAAAGTTATTAGCCTTCAAAAAAGTTAAAAAATATGTCCAAACATCAATTTTCATCCAAATACTCACGTTGCTTCAGAAATTATTCGGAAAAAAAATTGAAATAAAAATGAAACTTTCACACCCTGTATCTCCGAAAATAAGCGTTTTAGGACATAAATTTATACAAACTTTTTTACTTATTTTCATGTACAGAATATGCTACCGAAGTTTCCAGAATACAATTCGGATCATCCTCTATACAGGGTGCAATGTAATTACAGGTCCCAGTGAAGAGTACTTTAAAGACACAAAAACCCGGTTAAAAATCGTGTTTCGTCCTATAAGACTTTGTATAATTATTCTAGGTTAGGTTTTAGATTTTATTTTCGCGGAACTTTCCCCAAAGTTCCTTTAGTTCAATTTTTTCGTTCAAAAAACAACGCTCAGGTTTCTTACCACCTATGCCTTGGAGTGAGTGAAACGTCACCATCATATCGATGACGTTGAATCTACGTTTTTTAGATTGTTTCACCCATATATTTTTTCACCGTTTAATGGCGCATGTAAAAGACGAACAAAAGATACGGTTGCGACGAAATTGTAAAAAAAATCGACGTCACGGTAGGCGGAGAAAAGTTGGTTTCGCTGCCTACCGTGAAGTCGATTTTTTTTTCGTCGCGAGAGGTATTTCGTAGACGATTTTTTCTAGGTCTCTATATATATATATATATATATATATACTCGAATGGCGTATTGACTTGAGTGAATGACCTATATATAAATATTCGTTTTTTCCGTTATGTTGTATGTTACATTTTTTAATAGTTAGGTGTATTAATGTATCTTCTAACGGTTGTGTTCAATCAGAGGAGGCTTGTCGCGCATGTTTTTGATGTGTAAAAATTTTTTGGCAGGCGGTAGTTCAAATGTTTCGCTAGATTTTACCGTACGATTGAAAAAAAGAATTAAAATTAAGTTAAATCAATGAAATAAAATAATAAACATTATAACGTCTGATTTTTTTGGCGAAATTAAATGCTCAAAATTTTTTTCTATATTTTATTAAAACTTTAAAGCTGCAGGTTGATTCCCAACGTTGCCACTTTGTGCATATCCTACAATTTTGATTATTGTCTTAGCCATGTTGAGACAATTGGGCTGTTTTTGATCATACGGTATATATCTGAGCGATATAAAGACATGCGCGATACTCCTTATTTAAATTATTTTTTAAAAAGACTAAAGCTAGGATTCCACTCCACAAAAACCTTATAAAAAACGACGTCATCATAGGCAAAGACACTTTATATGTAGGAAGGAATCCTACGCTCCCCAAAGCTGATCTCAAAGGTGTATAAAATCGCGAAAAGCAGCAGCGGCGTAGTTAATTTATTTTTTCGATTATTTCCGATAAAAAAACGGTTCAGTGGCGTTCCCCGGCCTTCCAGACCTTAGAAAATATCAGTAAATAAAACTCGTGCCTTTCGTCTCTCTAGATTACAGCAGTTAAGCAAAATTTCCAGAGGCGTAGGACCGGGGAGGGTCACTCTAGTTTGTTTTTAATAATTATAATTCTCTCTTATCTCCCTCTCCACACCCAAGTACTGGGTGATACCGGAATTGTTGTACAAATGAGAGTTATCTTTGTACAACGGTTTTTTTGTCACCTAAAATATATACACACTGTGAATAACTTATGTAGGATCGTATATACACGTGTTTAGGTTTAGTTGGTTGTTCCGATATATTTTTTATACACTGATGCGCGTGGCAACTTAAAAATGTGGATCGCTTCGTCTGAAATGAGAGAAAAAAAACGTAAAATAAGACTTATTGTAGTTGTTACAATATTACATTTTCATTGAGTAACTATCCACACTGTATATGTATAATCTTACAGACATAAATACATTTTTTCGTATCACGTTACTGTAGTTTTATTTAAATGTCTATTATTATTTGAATAAAAAAGAGACTAAAAAGACGGCGCGCTCTGATTGCCCGTCAACGGAGAAAGATCGTACGATAATGAACGTTTTGACAACTTTAATCTAACCTTAATAAAAATACAATAGTACAAGAGCTAGTACCGTCGGGGAAACGATAATTTTAAGAAAGCTGGTTCTTTAATATGTTTTTTGCTATGCTCTCCTGAAAGTGCGGGCCGTCTGGCTGCCGGTAGACTACTGCGCATCACATCTGTGCAGGGTATCCCATTTTTGTTTGTTTTATGGGATTTCTCGTTTATGAGTAGCGATACAATGACGCGATTTTCACATTACTTTGTTACTTTTTTATGAAACTAAATACACACACCGGAAAAATTTAGGGATATCATTTTATTAAAGTTAAAAATAATAGTTTTGAATAAACAACCACATATTTGTAGGCCGATTCTTTCTACTTCGATTGAAACGAAGTAGTCACACTAGTTATTTCTAAATTTGGGATATTTGCAGAAGTGTTTGTGCATTTTGTGTCAAATGTATAAAAAGCACCTAGCATCAATTGTTCGAATTTAACCTGTACTGGCTATGTTTTTATGATAACTGGCCAGAATTCATTCAAATAACTTTGTTTAGTATTAAACATTATGGAGCGTAGACATCTTAAGTGTGCGAACACAGTGCAAGCAGGTTTGTCGCTTTCTGGTAGCCAGCGCCAATCTGGGTACCTATTCTTGACATCGTTCGCAACTTTGCGTATATGCATCACGTGTATTGTTATATGGCTTTTTCGGAGATGCGAGATGTGAGCCATATTTGAAGATGCGAGTGATCAAGAATAGGTGCCCAGAGACGGCGCTGGCTGCCGGAAAGCAGAAACCTGCCTCCACTATGTTCGTACCCTAACAGAGACGAAATGCTAAGGGCCATAAGTATGCTCGAAGCTGGAATGCGCCAAATCGACGTAGCTAGAGCATTAAATACAACGTAAAGTGTAATATTGCGATTAAGTGCACGCTACCGTGAAAGTGGTGATGTTGAAAGGCACACAGGGCGACATCGCATTACTACCCCTCAGTAAGATCAGTTTTTACAATTAAATGCTCGACGCCGACCGACTCTTACAGCACCAGAGCTTAGTTTAATTCTCCAGGAAACACATAATGTAACCGTTAGTCCTGACCTGTTCGCAATAGATTAAGAGAGGTCAACTTAAGAAGCAGTCGCCCCTGGAGAGCTCAACTCTTAACGAGAGGTACGATATTTGTGGGCTCAAGATCATGTTAAGTGGTCGAATGAACAATGAGCCAATGTTCTCTTCACGGATGAGTCACGCTTTGGAATTCATCCGGATTCGAGAAGGCTTAGGGTATGGAGAGAACCGGGAAATCTTATTCGGTTGGATCATGTTCAGGAAGTGCACCCTTATCAAGGTGGAACAGTTATGGTCTGGGGAGGAGTCCGGTTAGGCCGAAAAACCGATCTCGTTTTTCTTGAAAGGTTTCTAACAGTTATCACATATCGTGATTTAATTCTTGAGCCTGTCGTGTTACCATATGACAATGATTTTGGGAGAAACTTCATTCTCATGCATGACAATGCACGGCCTCATACAGCCAGAGTGGTAAGTGAGTTTAGCAATGCTCATCAATTAAACATCTTACCCTGGCCGGCACAATCTCCTGAACTCAACCCCATCGAGCACGTATGGGACGCGGTCCAAAGAAGAATTTTGAGAATGGGTATGCCTCGGAAACTCGTAGGGATCTGGTTCGGGCCGTGAATGTAGCGTGGCAGGCTGTACCTCAAGAAGAGATCGACAACCTGATCAGGAGCATGGAGAAACGATGTAGGGCCGTAATGAACAGTAGAGGAGGCCATACCCTTTATTAAGGAAAAATAGTTTTACCTTTTTTAGAATAAAAAAAACAGTTTAGAATAAAAAAAAATGTGTGTAATTTTTTGAGTTCAATAAAAATCAAGGCAAATTTAAAAAATTCGGTAATTTCGCATTTTTATTTCCAGTACGTCCTGTAAACTATTTGTTTATTTTAATTTTATTATATCAGAAATACAAAAAACAAAATTACTGACGATGGCTGGATAAAATTGTAATATCCCTAGACCTTTCAGGTGTGTTTATGTTACACATATGTTTGTCCTAGCCTCCTTAGTTCCTGAAATACAAGGCGAATTTGTGATGCGCAGTAGTGCACAGATGTTGAATACAGATATATGATGCGCAGTAGTGAACGCAACGTCTAGCTGCAGCCAGATGATCCGCACTCTGTTCAGGAGAGCATAGCAAAAGATATATTAAAAGAACCAGCTTTCTTAAAATTCTCTGTCGAAAACGTTGCTAGCTCTTATACTATAAGTAAAACAGCGAAATCGTTTATGGAAATGAAAATATAAAATGATACCAATCACAAACAAATCAAAATGCAATAAATTTAAAAACTGCGTAATTTTCTAACCAATGTCTAACCAAATTCTTTAAATTCAACCAATAAAATTAATATCGTATCATATGAAAATCAGGCTTAAAGACATGACCTCCATTCTCGACAGTTTTTTTACATTTACATGGGGGATTTAGATTGATTTTGGTTGATCTAGAGGCCACGACAAAAAAAAACGCAGAACTAAATCATAATTATTTATTGATCTTATAAACTAAAAGCACATACTCACAAAATGTTTTTTCTCTTAATAGGATTACAGTGTAAAGAATACATGGTACGGTTCCAATATGTACAAATTTGCCCGACATAAAAAAAATAAAAAAAAACAGCGAAAAACATGACCACAAAATTCGATTTTTTTCTATGAAAATCAGGCCCATGCAGTTCGCAGTTTTCATAACAACGATTGGAAAATATACCGGAAAATTTACAGCGGGAAAAAATGAATTTTCGAGACAAAACAACTTTCTTTGATAAAATCCATCATTTTTTTTTCGAAAACTCAATTTTTTGGGTTCAATTTGACTCTCTTGTGGTTACTTACACATCGAACTAAAAAGATCAAAAATTCTTAACCGTTAAAAATATTATCTTACATAGTAACGAATGGACAGTAGTTGTATTGATTAGTACAGTGGCGTAGACTTTTATTTTGTCCCACTTTTAACGTGCTTTAACTTTTTTAATTTTTCAAGTTAGAACATTCATTAAAGAAAATAATTTATCTGACTGCTTATATCACTTTTTGTAATGCCTAATAAATTTGACTGAAAACCCTAGACCATAAAGCTAGGTTATTCTATGCTAAAAACTCTATTATACGTTTTTTTTAAATTAATGTTCTAGGCAAAAAAATTAAAAAAGTGAAAGCAGTCAAAGTGGGACAAAATAAAACGGCAACTCTGTATATTCCTCACATAAAAATTCAATAAAGTTTGGTCAAATGACTTAAAAAACAGATGGCGTTTTAACAGATATAGTTTTACCAAAAAATATATACGGGGTGTTGCATTTTGTGACGGTAATTCTCACGTAGTTTTTTAACGACAAATTAATCACATGCTTGATTTTATTTATTTTGAAGAAAACGTAGGTATATTTAAACGGAATAACATAAAATATTTTCAGTAAAGAAAACGAAATAATAAAAATACTTCAAATAGTGTCATCTATTTTTTACCTAACAAAACCAAACATTCATTGAAAAATTATTTTAAAGTCTCAAATGGTTATGAATAAATTCAAGTAGACCATGAAATCTTATTTTTATTTTATGATTGTATTCTTCAACATATAGATATATTAAAAACGGTTGATTTAAATAGACTGACTAAAACTTCTGTACATTCCAAGATCAAAGATATTTGACTTGTTTTAACGGTTTTTTACAGTGTGATCAAGAAATTTGGATATACATACAGAAATTTTGTTTTTTGAGCCACCCTGTACAAACAAAACAGCTTATACCATTCCATGGCCATCTCAGTTACTATTTATTCATAACCATATATTATTACGATACAATAAAGTATAAAAAAATGACGTTTAATACACTACGATTCATATACACTCTCTTCATTTTTTTTAATGTGTTTAGATCTAAACTAAATAACAAATTACACTGAGAGCAAATGGAAGTGTTCAAAACAATGGTTCCCGAAGATTCCGGAAACCGTAACAACGATACACTTACTACCGGTCTGTATGATCCAAGGAAAAAAAAAACGGCGTCGAGTCGCCTTTGAAATTTGAGAAACGATCTTTATGTCAAAGCATACTCAGACGCCGTTTTTTTTCCTCGATCGTATTTGTATGTTTTAGAGCGGGTTATAATGTCATGTGGGGTATATAATATACTACGGGTTTTATAAAAGTATTTTTATAAGAACTTTGGTAACATATTTTGTAAATAAAAATTAGTAAAAAAAAGCTTGTATAAATTTATGTACTAAAATGCTTCGTTTCGGAGATACAGGATGTATAAATTTTATTTTTATTTCGTCTCTTTTCCAATTCGGATCACCCTGTATATTATTTTCTATCTAATTAGGGCTAAATTATCATCTTATTGACGTAAATACCACAAAACAACAAGTAATTGTGAATGTTTTGTAAGCTATAAAAATATAAATATTGATTAGATTTTTTTATTTATTATTGATCTATTTTAATATTGGAGCTGCAAATCTTCACTTGAGCTGTCTAACGAGTTTAACAGTTCATTAATAAAGTACTTTTCAATATTAAACTCCCTAAATATTAAAACGTAAAAGCAGAGAATAGGTACGTTAAAAATGCATAAAAGAGAAATTTTATAAATTTAGAAAACGTCAACATTTGACATTCCAGTATTTTACCAAACCGTTCCGTACCAAACCTTTACCGTAGTTTACCGGTCTGGTTCTCTTGGTTTTGCAACGGAATACATCCTAAAATCGCTCCTAAAAAATCGTCCGTTGGTTTTTGACCAAAATACTTCAATAAAACCCTGTATAACAAGAAATACCGCATCGAATATACTACCCCAGCTAGACGCACGCGCAGTAAGCGTATCGCGCTTAACAAACGAAATTCTAACCTCAAAACCCGTTCGATTGCACATGCTCGATCGAAAACAACATCCCTTTCAGCAGCTGTTCGGTGAATCACTGGCCGACGATACAGGGGGTTAAAAAAACACGATTTTTTCACCCCGGATCGCATAGAAATCAAAGAAAAACTGTTCTAAACGGTAAAGGGCGGTAGTACTTTATTTCGGACAGGGGCGTGGGGGTTAATTTTACGTTCGGGACAGAAGAGATAAATAAAACGTTCTTTAGGCACTAAATACAACAATTTAGATGTAAATTACTTTTTGTTTTGTCTGTTTTTGTGTTTTTTTTTTCGATAAACTGACGACAACGACGACGATTGACGAGACTGAGGGGTGGATTGGCGTCCTCTGGTGGTGGTTTTTTGTATTAGTTTTTTTTTGAGATAAAGATGGCGGAAAACGCTGGCTTAACCGTCTTCTTTGGGAGGTGTGAACCAGCCTGTAATAAAAATAACAAGAAAAAAATCATATTACACAATAAATCTGACGTAATTTATGTATATTTAATAGAAACACAGTTCTCAAAGATATAAGTTTAGATAACATAGATTTTTTAACCTTAATCTATACCTTACATATACAGGGTGTCCCTGTAATAAGTGTAAGTATATTTCATATCAATTTAAACTTTTAGTTATGTAATCGAGGGCGGGATTTTTAAAATCGTTGTTGCCAATTCATCGCAACTTTATTAGAATATTTTGAACGGGAAAGCGGTAGTAATAGCCCTTTATGTCCCTTAAGTGCTGTTAAAAAGGTGACTTTGTTGATGTAAATAATAACTGTTTATATATTTATAATTAATTTATTTTTGTTCGCTAAAATATTTTGATTCAAAGAAAATATATAATAGTAGGCAACGCTGCGCCGGTCAAGCTTAATCACGTGACTAAAAGTTTATTTGGGACGAACTGTAGGTGGTTTTCTATTTAACATTTTTAAAATGAATTAAAAATAACCGACATATATTTTTTTCAGTTATTAAAGAAATAAAAACAGTGCGTTTTTCTAGAATTATTAGTTATGTCACTGCTACATAGACTTAAAATAAAATATAGACTACACTATTTACATCTCAACGCGGACAAACAACCTTTTTTGTACACATGTTTACTTCTGGGTACAGTCGACCGAGCCTTCCTCATCCAGCCTATGTTGTCACGTCTTTAATATTATCAATATTTTTTTTCTTGTTATACACATATATTGAGATATTAATACTACAGTTTAATAAAGTAGGTTTTAATATTCCATAGATGTATTAAATAGTCCTTATACTACTAAATTATAAGTCGGATACTGTTTAATAAGGATAAGTTCTTTACAATATGACAACACCGATTAGAGGCGAGGAGCCTATTCATTCATTTATTACCTTGTAGTACGTGTCGCACGTGTGCGGTAAAGCTTTGTTGCCGCTATCTCCCCGGCTGTATTAACGCATTTTCTTAGCTTGTAGTCCTTATGTGTTTATTTTATTGACTTTTTCTGTTCAAAAACTATAAAATATGGTTCGCCAGTGCAAATTTGTAAAGAAATTTGACTTAAATAATCCATTTAAGTCTTGAAACGACTTTTGACCGGTAGGCAACTCTCAATTTACCCATTGGCAGTCAGTGGCGTTGTTGTAAAAAGGCGCTTATTTAGATAATATTTTAGTAAAATGTAAAATCTGAATTTTTTCTTTTACATTACATTATTTACTTACTTACATTGTAACAAAATCATAATTATAACCCTGTTAATAATTAATAATGTTTTTATATGATATTACATTATGAAACAATATTTTTTAATATACCGGGTCGTCTCAAAAGTGGCTCAACCCTATAACTTTTTTTATTTTTTCAGATAAAAAAACAGATTTGTATGTTAGTAGGTATATGACATAAATTAGGATTTATTGACGTATTCAATTGTTTTTGGTCTCTTCCTGTTTCACCGAAATGATTACATCTTTTGATTTTTAAAGGCACCCTCGGTATATTGCTACTTTATTCGATAAAAAATGACACTCTGAATAGAATGACATATCATATGTCAACTTTTGACATTGTCGCTTAAAAACATATCCTATTTTAAATTTCAATCCAGTTTTTTTAAGTTTTAATCAAGGAGCCTTGGAAAAATAGTTTTGATCGTCTAATAGGTTTCGTGTCTTGTCTAGGCCGGTTAAAAGATGTACAAATCGTATTTTTAATCATACATATGTCAATTTTTTCAAATGGAACAAGGGTGACTCATTAGCATATTTGGAAAAAGCATTTTTTTATGAATATATTGATACCACACACTTGGTATTTCGAGTCAAATTGTCGTTATGAACCGCGTGTTACAATTACAATTAAACCATATGCGAAAATGTCAAAAGTTGACATATGATATTTCATTCTATTCAGAGTGTCATTTTCTATCGAATAAAGTAGAAATATACCGAGGGTGCCGTTTAAAAATTAAAAGTTATAGTCATTTCCGGTGACACAGGAAGTGACCAAAAACAATTGAATGCGTCAATCAATCCTAATTTATTTCATATACTAACATACTAAATCTTGTTTTTTTATTTGAAAATATAAAAAAATTATGGGGATGAGCCACTTTTGAGCCGCACCCGGTATAATAAAGACAGTACCGAGTTAAATAAATGTAGTTTTTATTTTATCCACTTCCTATCACCTTCCTTGCTTTAATGGAACAGATTTATGTTTTCTCTAATTTACATAATAAGACATCACTTAACTAGAAAAAAAATTACAACAATCATTTTTTTTTCTCTCCCTGTCGCCGATTCTATTATATCTGTGGAATAGATCCGGTTTTGATTAATATTAGGGGTTGTAAATGTTTGACTAAAATTAATAATTTATTATTAATTTCAAAAATTACGTAATTTCGATTATAAAATTTCTTCTATAACGTGTATTTTATTATGTTTATCCTTTTCGGACTCTAAGACGTTTTTTCTAAACTTTTATGTAAAAAACCTGTCCTAAATCTTAATAAAATATAAAAACGTTTAAATACGATATATTTTTAATTTACTTATAGCTTCATTAAAATAAAAAAATTACCCGGCTATGATACGGAGAGTTCAGGTGTACTTGAGAAACGAAAGACAGTGTTGTGTTTCTCGGCAGAGTCGTCAGGGAACGACCGTTACGACAGAGACAACCTATCTATCGCTCGTGTCGCACTCGTTATAACCTAAAACAATAACACAACAATAACAAGACAGTGTCTGACCGCATGTTCCAGCTATTTATGAATGAGATGCTCAGTCTATATTTTATTTTAAGTCTATGCACTGCTATAATTAACGTTAATTTTCGAAATTTGTTGTGTAGATAACGTAGGAAGTGGCAACATTGCAAGGTTTTCATAACACTGCCAAGAATAAACCAGCGGCACTAAAAAGTTTTTTGATATTTCCCCAAAAATGTTAAATGAATGTAGAATTTTCAGAAGTTTTTTTTTGTAAAAAAATCATGGGCGTGCAAAATTACTTGCACTTGTTTACGACACCCTGTATACAATTTTCCAGTTTTAACTGTTATTTAATCCTATAGTAAATTACTCTTTTATGATTATTTTATATTATTCTTTGAAAACCGATTATTCTATGAAACTTATTTCTTAATTCTAAAATAGATATCTTATAATTCATCAAAAAAAAAATCCAAAAAAATCATGCATTTATTAAAACATAATATTTTTATACTTATCCCATGATATGTCGAAAATAAATAATTTTAAAAAACATCTAAAACTCTTTTTATCTAGTTTTTTTATCAGAAATTTCACCAAATAGTTTTTTAAAAATAATAAACTTTCCAATACGCCTATTATATTTATACTGAAAATAAAAATATAAAAATCGCAGTATTCAAAAAATACAATTTTATCTCCTAAGTTTTTTTTATTTCTTTATCTCTTGCATACGCAAATATAATTAATTTTGTACCCATGGAAAATACATAATAATTTAGAAGATAAAAAAACACACTTTTCCAAGCACGTTCTGTTAAATAAACAAATTCTTTACAGGGTCATAAAGTTTTTTTAATTATAAGGGATTTTTATTAACAATTTTAGAAGAAATTACACACTAACATCTTCAAATTTTGTAATTTTTTAATACTAATATGACATAAGCAGAGGTCGACCCACCAGAAACGATCATCGATTATAATTTCAAAGACTACTATGACAACGTTTTTTTCTCGATAATATAGTATGTTCGCTACTACTGAAGAAATTTCTTTGGTGTAGCCAGGGATAGGCAAGTAAAAAACTTTAATGCAAAAAACCATATTTTACGTCTAAAAATAGCTTTTACAAGGTAGGTTTTCTAAAAAACAACTGCGTCCAAAAATTGTAAGTCTCCTTAAGACTCAGAGCAATAGAAAACGAATGGCGGCAATAAAAAGGACTGCCAAATCTTCTTAATATCACGTTTTTTTACGCGTAAAAAACTCAAATGATCGTAGTTTTCTATAGGAAGGATTAATAATAACCAGGGTTGGGTAGGTAGACAGTTTTATATTTTCTACACGTAGAAAATTAATTTTCTACATTTTTTACATGTCCAAACGTAGAAAATTAAGTTTTGTATATTGTAAGCCTTTTTTGAGTTTATATTTTTATCTATACTAATATATTTTAAGATCTTTAAGTGACTGACTCACTGATTAATCACGATCCTGCTCAAACCACTTAACGTAAGAAGCTCAATTTTGGTATACAGGTTGATTCTAGGGTGTAGAGGTTCGATAAGAAGGGATTTTTCGAAATTCCAGTTCCAAGGAGGTGAAACCACCCCTCAAATATTTCAATATTTTTTATTTAAAAAACGGTCAAGTTTCCGAAAAAACGCTTAAACACATATATTTTATTTTGTTTTTTACATATTTTAAGATTTTTAGAAAATGTATACTAATGTATAGGGTGTTTCGAAAAATCTGGTCATTGATTAATCACAATCCTGCTTAAAGCGCTTGACGTAAAAAGCTGATTTTTGGAAAACAGATTGACTTCAGGGTGTAGAGGTTAGATAAGAAGGGATTTTTCGAAACTCGAATTCTAAGGGCGTGAAACCACCCCTCAAATATTAGAATATTTTTTATTTAAAAACGATGAGTTTTTCGAAAAAACTCTTAAACACGTATATTTTATTTTGTTGTTTTACATATTTTAAGATTTTTTAAAAATTTATACAGGGTGTTTCATAAAATATGACCATTGAGTAATCACGATTCTGCTTAAACTGCTTGACGTTTAAAGCTGATTTTTGGCAAACGGATGTTTCGTAAGTCAAATTCCAACGAGATAAAACTACCCCTCAAATATTACCAAGTTTTCCCAAATTTTTAAATTTTCTACTTAATATTCTATATTTTTCTACACATACACGTAGAAAATTAATTTACCCAACCCTGATAATAACAAATCTAACCTAAAAAAGACCAAACCAACACTTACCGTTTTTCTCGTGTATCTGAACCAGACTTTTGAAACTCTGCTGGGCCCTGGCCAAACTATACTGTCCCTGTGAGCATACTTTAGGTGGCCCGAACTGAATCCTCGCCTTGCCCTTGACCAGCGTCGCCGATATCTGCATTATGACAGCTTCAACCGTGTACGCGCTGCTCCAACCCTGTTTCGTCAGCAATTCCATACATATAGCTCCTCCTACCAGCACATATCCACCCGAAATAATCGGATACACAACCCTGACAAAAGGTGGCTCAAAAGGGTATGTGTCCTTGAAGAGCATGTTCAGCAAGATGGCGTCCTTGCCCTCTTTCTCCTTGAGCATTTGGAGGTCGTGGGAGAGGGGACTGTCCGGGTCGACGGACATGAGTCGTACGTTCCACTCGTATAGGGAGTCGTTCACTAGTTCGATCTGGTACATTTTGTTTTTGAAGGATTCGGAACGGTAGATGTCGCGCAGTTCCTTCATCAGTCGGTCGGTGGCTTGAACGGAACCCGATACCGAGCCCTGAAAATAACGACAAAAAAGGATATAAAAATATACAAAAAACATTTTTTTACGTGTAAAAATAGTTTTTTACATGTAGAAAATTGTTCTCTATAAGGTTGTTTTGTCCTTTTTTCTAAATTTAGAAAAAACTACGTCTACAGATTAGTAAAAATTCTTTAAAAATGGTGTTAACAGGGTTAGGTATATAAAAAATATAGTTTTTTATTTACCCAACCCTGTTAACATCGCGTTAGAAAATTGTTTTCGTTTATATCAAAACCTCTGTTACAGTTTTTTACGTGTAGAAAACTGTCTTTTTTTACGTAAAAAACTACGTTTAGAGACTAGTAAAGATTCTTTAAAAATGGTGTTAACAGGGATGAGTAAATAAACAACTGATTTTATGTATAAAAACTGTTTTTTAGGTAAAAAAGTAGTGTAGAAAACTGTTCTTTTTACATTAAAAACTTCGTTTACAGATTAGAAAAGATCCTTTAAAAATGGTGTTAACAGGGATGGGTAAGTAAAAAATATGTTTTTTACAACTAACTTAAGTAAAAAATGTAGTGTTTTACATGTAGAAAATTGTTTTCGTTTAGAACTTTGTTTTTTTACCTCTAAATGCAGTATTTTAGGTAAAATAGTTTTTTACATGTAGAAAACTGTTCTCTTTTTTTTAAATTTAGAAAAAACGACGTCTACACATTAGTAGATTCTTTAAAAATGCTGTTAACAGGGATGGGTAAGTAAAAAAAAATATTTTTTTCACGCGGAGAAAATTGTTTTCGTTAATTTTAAAACCTCTGTTTTTTACCTTTAAATATAGTTTTTTTAACGTAAAGAAGATTTTTACGCGTAGAAAACTTCTTCTTGTCTTTTTTTACATAAAAAAACTACGTCTGCAGATTAGCAAAGATTCTTTAAAAATGGTGTTAACAGGGATGGGTAAGTAAAAATATGTTTTTACAACTAACTTGAGTAAAAGATATAGTTTTTACGCGCAGAAAATTGTTTTAGTTTATTTTAGAACCTCTGTTTTTTACCTCTAAATACAGTTAAAAATAAAAAAGCTTTTACGGTTTGTTTTCTTTTACGTAAAAAACTACATTTATGGATTAGTAAAGATTCTTTAAAAATGGTGTTAACAGGGATGAGTAAATAAACAACTGATTTTACGCCTAAAAAACTGGTTTTAGATAAAAAAGTAGTGTAGAAAACTGTTTTTATTTACATAAAAAACTACGTCTACAGAATAGTAAAGATTCTTTTAAAATGCTGTTAACAGGGATGGGTAAGTAAAAAATATGTTTTTTACATCTAACTTAAGTAAAAAATGTAGTTTTTTACGCGCAGAAGATTGTTTCCGTTTATTTTAGAACTTCTGTTTTTTACCTTTAAATACATTTTTTTAGCAATGAGTAAATAAAGAACTGAATTTCTACTTAAAAACCTGTTTTTAGGCAAAATAGTAGTGTAGAAAACTGTTTTTGACATAAAAAACTACGTCTGCAGAATAGTAAACAATCTTTAAAAATGCTGTTAACAGGGATGGGTAAGTAAAAAATATGTTTTTTTACATCTATGTATCTTTTTTGACATATAAAAATACGTCTGCAGAATAGTAAACATTCCTTAAAAATGCTGTTAACAGGGATGGGTAAGTAAAAAATATGTTTTTTACATCTATGTATCTTAAGTAAAAAATGTAATTTTTTACGTGTAAAAAATTGTTTTCGTTTTTTTTGGAACTTCTGTTTTTTACCTTTAAATACAATTTTTTAGGGAAAAGTTTTTTTACGTTTAAATAATAGGAAAGGGTTTTTTACTTTTTTTTAATTTAAAAATATTATGTCTTCGGATAAGTAAAGATTCTTACAATGGGTAAGTAAAAATATTTCACGCCAAAACTAAATAAAAATAGCCAGATGTGTAGAAAACCATAACGTAAAAAAAGTTTTTTACGTTTAATAAACGTGTTGTTTTTTTAAAAAAAATTTCAGAAATATAAAGAAAAAAGTAAAAAACGCATAAACAATAAAAACTGCTTATTTTTAATTTGTCTAGAAATTGAACACGAAACAGAAAATATACAGGGTGAGGAGTGGTATATTTCAACCGCAGGAATACATCTATGAGGGTTTTTTCGCAAAAAATTAGACGTTGAAAACCTTGGATTTTCTTTTAAATTCTCCTGTATATTTTAGAAAACCAGGGATGGGTGTGTAGAAATTCTTAACGTGTAAAAATAATTTTTTACGTGTAAAAAACATAGTTTTTCTTTAACTGTTAAAAAACTATACAAGTACCTTTAGGTAGTCTTGTCGCTGATTTTGCCTGAGCCTCTCCAACGTTGCCAGGTGTTCTACGCCCATTTCGTCGGCCTTAGGTCGCCCGGTGGGGCCCTCCTCCATGTCCATACCCAGGTCTTCGTCGTCACCGTCATCGCTGTCCTCGTCAGCTGGTAAGCCATCGGAATCCTGGGCGTCGGCGTCGCTGTCCAGTCCTTCATCTTCCATGGGTTCCAAACCGCTATTACTTATCCTAGCGTAAAAAATAAGACGTGAATACAATTCGGACCACCCTGTATATTGTCTTATGATTCTTATATTATTTTCTTCTTTGTTATTAATATCTAAACTAGCTATAAAAACATAAAAAAATTATCTATTGCTCTTTATATCATTGAAAACATATTTATATTTACACAATAAAAACAGATCATAATATTATTGATTTAAAGAAACCATTTCAAGTGGCTTCTTTAGTAAGCAATTTAAAATTCCAGGTAAGTTTTAATCAGTTCAATGCCTTTGTTTCCTTTGTGACTAATTAGCAAAGGAACAACACAATAACTTGTCCATAAAGGTATCACTTTAAAACAATAAAATACAACAAAAAGAAATTAAGTCAATAGTACAGGGTGATACCTCTTATACAACGCGGATGTTCCAAGGAGAACGACACTTTGTATTGAAATGAAATTTTGTGGGCATATGTAGGTTAACATTAAAGCATTTATTTTTAATATATTGAGTTCTACAGAATATCCCCAAAAAAAGTTGCACATAAATGTTATGTATTTTGTAATGGAACACCCTATATATAGTTAACTAGCGTGTACCAGCGACTTCGTTCGCGTCGAATTAATCATTTGTAATGGCGATGATAAAGCAAAGCAAGAATTTCCATTAACATACAAACTGGATAAATTTTTCTCACATTTATGTCAGCATGAGAAAAAACAATATGGCGATATTATTATATAACTTGGTAATATTTGAGGGGTAGTTTCATCTCGTTCGAATTTGACTTTCGAAAAATCCGTTTGCCAAAAATAAGCTTTTTACGTCAAGCAGTTTAAGCAGAATCGCGGTTAAGAAATTACCCAACTTTTCGGAACACCCTGTATGATTTTTTAAAAAATTTCAAAGTATGTAAAAAAAACAAATAAATTATGCTTGTCCAAGCGTTTTCCCGAAATACTAACCGTTTTTTAAACAACAAATATTGTAATATTTGAGGGGCGTTTTCACCCTCTTGGAATTTGAGATTCGAGAAACCCCTCCTTATCGAACCTCTACACCCCACAGTCAATCCGTTTACCAAAAATCAGCTTTAAACGTCAAGCAGTTTAAGCAGAATCGTGATTACTCAATGGTCATATTTTATGAAACACCCTGTATGAATTTATAAAAAATCTTAAAATATGTAAAACAACAAAATAAAATATACGTGTTTAAGAGTTTTTCCGAAAAACTCACCGGGTTTTAAATAAAAAATATTTTAATATTTGAGGGATAGTTTCACCCCTTAGAATTCGAGTTTCGAAAAATCCCTTCTTATCGAACCTCTACACCCTAAAGTCAATCTGTTTTCCAAAAATCAGCTTTTTACGTCAAGCGCTTTAAGCAGGATCGTGATTAATCAATGACCAGATTTTTCGAAACATCCTGTATACACTTTTAAAAAATCTTAAAATATGTAAAAAAACAAAATAAAATATACGTGTTTAAGCCTTTTTTCGGAAACTTGGCCGTTTTTTAGATAAAAAATATTGTAATATTTGAGGGGTGGTTTCACCCTCTTGGAACTGGAATTTCGAAAAATCCCTTCTTATCGAACCTCTACACCCTAGAATCAACCTGTATGCCAAAATTGAGCTTTTTACGTTGAGTGGTTTGAGCAGGATCGTGATTAATCAGTATGTCAGTCACATGATTAAGCCTGACCGGCACAGCGTTGCCCACTTTTGCATATTTTCTTTCAATCAAAATATTTTAGAAAACAATTTTTTTTGTTTTTCGGATTCTAGGAACAAAATAAAGGTAAGTTTCAGGAAAAGGAAGAAGTAATAAATCATCTAAAATTATGCAAATTACCCTTGCCTAGTAGTACGAGTCTCGGTATCGCACAGTACAATTTAGGAAAAAAAGGGACAGGTAGTACCAGCGCACAAGCTCACATTAAAATATAGTAGAATTTTGAAACATTTTTTGCCTTGAAAAGCTCGAAAATGGCGGAACAGTGGCGTATCGATTGGTTGGTTATTTATTATAATAGTTATCCCTATAAAAAAGTTTTGGATATATTTAAAAATTATATTACAAAAACGTTTAAGGGTCAAATTACCGTATGATCGAAGAAAAACGTCGTGCAGTTGGCTTGGAAATGACGATCTATGACGTTCCCCATATAATTTTACATATAAAATGACAGCGATCTTCATTTCATAGCCATCGCTGACGCCGTTTTTTTCGATCATATTGTATTTTTTATTAATAATTTTTGAAAGTTGCCTTAAAACTTAAAATTTAAGTAATTTTCAAAATTATTTGTGATTTAAATCTTATTTCGAAATAAAAAAAAACCAAATCAAAAACTTTAAAAAAAAATCCTCAAACATATTTACTATATATAGTAAATAAAAGACTCACTTAAGTCAGATTTTTATATGTACAGTATTGGCCATAAGTGGATGAACTTTGTTAAAATAATGGGTTTTTCCTAATATGTTTAAAATTAAAATTTGAGCTATATTTACTTGAAGTCTAGTGTCAGTGCTATAAAAATAAATAGCATTGTTTTTTTAAAATGTGCTTTAATAAGGTAGCAAAAAATTTAAATTGAAAAAACTATTGGACAAAAGTAGATGAACAAAATATATATTCAATAAAAAAAATCTTATGTTAACAAAAACTGAAAAATTAACTTATAATTTACTAGTACTTAGTGTAATAACCCTTATTCTTAATTACTTTCACTTAGGCATGGATCCCAGAAGATTTTCAATTATAGAAAAATCGATATTTTTCCAAGACTCTTCCAAAGCTGCAAATAATTCTTGCTTATTTTTGTAGAATTTGGTCCTAATGTGTTGATCCAAAATTTCCCATAAATTTTCTATTGGATTCAGGTCTGGGATTGCGATGGCCATTTGAGAACAGTCACCATTTCATCTTCCAAAACCTTTTAACCGATTGTGAGGCATGTTTAGGGTCGTTATCATGTTGGAAGTAGTGTACAACTGGCATTTTTTCCTCCAAATAAGGCACTAAAAGGTTTTGTAAAATGTCTTTGTAGCCAAACCGATCCATTATGCCCTCAATTTTATGGAGAGGCCCCATCCCATACCCAGAAAAACACCCCCATACCATGATTGAGCCCCCACCATGTTTTACAGTGGGTCGCGTGTACTTTGGTAGCAATCGTGTGTTGGGAGGTCTTCTTACATGTTGAATTCCATCTGATGACACCAAATTAAACTTTGATTCATCACTAAAACAAACTTTTTTCCATTGTGCCACAGTCCAGTTTTGATATTCCTTGGCAAATGCTAATCGGGCCTTCAAATTTTTTTTTCGATAGCAGTGGTTTCTTGGCGGGTCTTCGGGAAAACAACTTCTGGTCAACTAATTTACGTCGGATCGTCCTAGTACTCACTGGTGGATAGCCCATTTCTTCAAGTTTTGTTTTTATCTTCGTTGACGGCAAAAATGGATCTTGTGAAGGAATTCGTTTTATGGCTTTTATCATATTGGGACCAACTTTTTTAGGTCGTCCTGGTTTTCTTTTTATAGAGACATCTCCTCTCTCATTATATCTCTTTAAAATATAATGTACCGCTGATTTTCCAAGGCGTAATTGCTTAGCGATTTTCGATTGCTTCAAACCATCCTTAAAAGCATTCACTACTCGCAACTTAAGATCTGCAGACAAGTTAATTCCACGTGGCATGATATATCACAAGAGCTCAAATGTTTTTAAATCGCAATTGTTCATAAAAGCAGAACAAATGAAACTAACGATTTTTAAAAATATTTGGTTCATCTATTTTTGTCCAAGACAAAAAAGCAATATTTGCCAATTCTTATCTATAAATGATAAGACTAACAGAAGAATTTATATTTGTTTGTAGTATTTTGGTTAGAATGTATTAAACTTTTAACATACAAAGGTACATAAAATAATTTTGATATTTAACACCTCAAATCTGATTTTCTTCGCAATTATTGGTATTGGTTCATCCACTTTTGGCCAATACTGTATACTAGTTGAAGCCTGGCGCATCCGCCCCGACATCAGGAAAAAAAAACTTTTTTTTTTAAATTAAATAAAAAACAAAAAATCCGGCGACGACAGTTTTTAGAAGAGCCAATTAGCTATCTTTTAGTAAAAAAAGCAACTTTCTAGAGCAAGTCGTTACTGGAGTAGAGACGACACAGATAAACATTAGCATTTTATATACCGGGTGCGTCTCAAAAGTGGCTCACCTCCTATAACTTTTTTATAATTTCAGATAAAAAACGAGATTTGGTATGTTAGTATATGAGATAGATTAGGATTGATTGAGGTACTCAATTGTTTCTGGCCATTTCCTGTTTCACCGGAAATGACTACAGCTTTTGATTTTTAAATGGTACCTTCGTTATTTTTTTACTTTATTCAATAGAAAATGACATTCTGAATAGAATGACATATCATATGTCAACTTTTGAAATTCTCGCTTAATAAAAAATTCTATTTTAAAATTTAATCTAGAGTGCCATGGCTATGTTAAAAACACCAATTTTTAATCAAGGAGCCTTGGAAAAATAGATTTGGTAGTTTAATGTTTTTAGTGTCTTGTCTTGGCCGGTTAAAAGATGCCCAAATCGTATTTTTAATCATATCTCAATTTTTTCAAATGGAACGATGGTGGCTCATTAGCATATTTGGAAAAAGCATTTTTTCAAATAATTTGCTATCACACATTGGGTATTTCAAGTTAAATTTTCGTTATGTACCGCATGATATAGTTCAAATAAACAATATGCGAAAATGTCAAAAGTTGACATATAACATGTCATTCTATTCAGAGTGTCATTTTCTATCGAACAAAGTAAGAAAATATTGAGAGTGCCAGTTAAAAATCAAAAGTTGTAGTCACTTCCGGTGAAACAGGAAGTGGCAACAACATTGAAGACGTCAATCTATCCTAATTTATGTCATAAACTAACATACCAAATCTCGTTTTTTTAACTGAAAAAATAAAAAAGTTATAGGGGTGAGCCACTTTTGAGACGCACCCGGTATGTAGTCTATAATCTATATATTATGTATTATAAAAACCCATCAGGTAAAAGAAACAGAACGCCACTGGTTTACGACCTACTGGGTGGCCATAAAACGTTTTACTACTTCACCTTTCCAAGGAATAGAGTACCTATAAATGAGAATCTGGGGGGTATAGCCTAATATGTAGTTAAAATAACTATTGTACTTTATATCAAATTAAAAATTGACTCGAAAAGTTATACAGGGCGAGACAAAATTAATATTGAACATTTGCCAGTTTTCACAGCAAGTTTCTCTTTTATTTCAAATGAAACACCCAGTATATTATTGCGATATTCAATGGAGAACGCATGTCTCTTCAAAATATTATTAAGTTTGCCTACCCCTCAAACACCCTGTACATATATATACACACCTACATATGCTCACAAAATTTCATTTCAACAGAAACTATATAAATTTATACTAAACTTAACAAAAAAAACCTTATTGACTCACCTATCTGACGTGAGTAAATCTGATATTCGAAGTCGGTCCAAGTCAGGGGGCTCTGAAACGGCATGGAGTCTACACAATTCTTTTAAGAGGATTATTACTTGGTGCAGGACATGGTTGTCCAGACCCTCTGTGTTACTTAAAATTTGTACTGCATTGGTGATACTCGTTTCTTCTGAGTCTGCGAACCATACTGGGGGCACCGACGGATAAGTCTCCTACAAACACGCGTTTTTGTTTAGTAGAAATGTTATTCTATAATTATTAAGGAATATTTAGCATTGAAGCGACCGTGTGGCGTCTTAGTTCTAAAAATAAATCCTCTTATCAAACAAGAAACGTGAAATCAAACAGTAATTTACCTAAGAACAAAATGGCTGGTATTTTGATTACGGATTTAATAAAATAAAGGAAGATATTAAAAGACTTATTCAAAAGCCTTATTTTGTGTTAAATACATAAATATTTACCCTACTTTCTAGAATTTTATCAATAATAAACAAGATTTTGACAAGCTCGCTCAGCTGTTCACTGCTGGCTCGTTTCCTACATATGTTAAATGTCAAAACGAGACGTTTCTGAATCCTTTGTTAGGTCCAAGAAGCACGAGCAGGTGCGGGGGCGAAGCCCGAGCCTTTCCAGCAAACGTACCCTAGCCACTTACCGTTATGTTCGCGTGGATGGGGTATTTCTTGCCGTTCTTCCCTATAAACCTGCAGCTCAGCTCGTCCACACTCGCGGAGACAATCTGAAATCGTTCATGGTTTTTGCCGAATATCTGCTCTAAAGTCCGAATCTCTTGTTTCAGAGTGTTTAGACAAGCCATAAGGTTCGAAGACGGGCAATTTTGACAGCTTTTCGCCACAGCAAACGCACTAAACACTCAATTTTTCCACCCTACACACTCCCAGCTCGAGCAAAATGGCTACCCCTTAATTACAACTGCGAACGAGAATAAGCGGCGTTGCCGATGTTCGCGTCGAAATCTTGGTCGGAGTGAAATCGGGAGAAATGTGTCGGATTTCTCTTACAACGGTTTTATGAAATTCTGGTAATTAATTCTGAAATAATTATGCTGTAATATGTTAGAAAATAAGATATAAACCCTGTTAATAAACAGTTTATAGAAAATAAAAGTAATTTAACTAATAATAGAATTTCTATAATAAGCAGAACTTGTTTTACTGTTATTTGTTATTTAAATTAATCTATACAATAATTGAACTGAAAAATTTTATAAGCATTTTGTAGCTGTTTTTACGTATCCATTTTGTCGAGTCAATTCAGTTCAAATTATAGATAAACCTATATCAACGATTTTATTAAATTTTTAGTAGGCTCTCTTTTTACTATACATTACGCTGGGCGCTTTCCGTGAGTGTATGCACGTAAAAATGATTTAAAAAAATACTTCCTAGAACCTCATATGATCTGCACAATCTGGCAAAAAGAGCTGTATCGAAAAAGAAAAGATCGATAAACTTCGGTGAAATTCGTAAAGCAAGGTTATTCAAATCAAAGTACTGCTTGAGAGAAAAGGTACTTTGTAGGTTCCCGTTCTACTTTTTTTATAAATTTCCAGAAAATATTTTTGTACCGCTTTGTTACACAATTTATTGTAATGTTATTCATATTATTACAACAAAATATAACAGTAAACCTGTAGTATTTTAGGGTTTATAAAAAATATATTAAAAGATTTATTTTTATTAATATGTATAGGGTGTTTTGTAATAAAAATGCAGTTGTTTTTTTCGGTGTGTATTTTTTAATTACGATTTTTTAAATTTTTGTTGCTGCTGCCATCTGTTGAATAATAGTCGAAGCTCTAGTTTCTAATATTGCCACCAGGGTATTAATATTAATAAAAATTATTTAAAAATGTTTTTTTGCCCAAAATTTAAATTAAATATTGTACAAAAACAAATATACTTTTTTATATGCCTGAGTAACATAGAAATGAAAAAAAAAAACTTTACTGTTAGATTGCGATGGTGTACGTTTACTATTAACAAAAATAAAAAAAATACAAAAAGGAGTCCTGTTAGGCAGAGAATACGCAATTCTGTGGGTGGATCTTTTGCTAAAGTTGTTCTATAAAAGCGGGATGAGGTTAAACTTAGAGTTATTTGTAAATTTCGCATTTAGTTATTAAGAAATATGTTTTACCAAAAAGGCGCGTTATTTTTATACCCACTTTTTGTGGTAATTTTTTGCGATATTGTTCAGTCAAGAATAAGTAAGTAATAGTGCTATTAAATTTAATATTATTAACACATAAATACTTAGATTAGTAATTTATATTAAAGTTTTTATACAAGTTTGAGTTCTTCTTTTATTTATTATTTTAAAATTACATAAAAAATAGTTTATAATTTTCTTTTATATAAAAATATAATTAGTGCTCACAGAAAGCTGAAACTTTCAGTATTTGTAGCAAATTTTATATATTACTAGAGGGTCCATACGTCTGAGTTAGAATATTAATAATTTTTGGGGAAACTGGTGTTTTTAGAGACCTTGTCTTGCGCCTTGCAAAATATTTTGATTTAGTTTAATTCTGATTAAATAAAAATACGAATAGATCTCACAGAAACCTGAAATTTTCAGTATTTGTAGCAAATTTAATATATTATTAGGAGGGCTATATGTCTGAGCTAGAATACTAATAGTTTTAGGGGAGACTTGTGTTTTTTGAGACCTTGTTTTGCGTTTTGCAAAATATTTTGATTTAGTTTAATTCTCATTAAATAAAAATACAATTAGTGCTTACAGAAAGTTGAAATTTTCAGTATTTGTAGCAAATTTTATACATTATTAGAAGGTCTATACGTCTGAGCTAGAATACTAATAGTTTTAGGAGAGACTTGTGTTTTTTGAGACCTTGTCTTGCGCCTTGCAAAATATTTTTATTTAGTTTAATTCTCATTAAATAAAAATACGAGTAGTGCTCACAGAAATCTGAAATTTTCAGTATTTGTAGCAAATTTTATACATTATTAGAAGGTCTATACGTCTGAGCTAGAATACTAATAGTTTTAGGGGAGACTTGTGTTTTTTGAGACCTTGTCTTGCGTCTTGCAAAATATTTTGATTTAGTTTAATTCTCATTAAATTAAAATAAGAATAGTGCTTACTGAAATCTAAAATATTTAGTATTTCTAGAAAAAAACATATATTATTAGAGGGTCTATACGTCTGAGCTAGAGTATTATTAGAATTAAGAGAATTATGGCATTAAAACTCCCAAAGTAGGTAGTATGATATATTAGTTGCAATTTGAAGATAATAAACATGTCAATCTCAATAATTCTTGTTCCTTTATACTGTCTATAACTCTGATACTATTTTAAAGTATTACCTAACAAATCTCCAAGAACAAAGAAACATATTATACATCCATTTAATCTGTTTACTCCAACATAAAGATTTAATCTAAGGAGCTTCAGCAATATTTTTGGCAATATAACTGTTGTAAGGCTATAAATGTTTAAAAGTTATGTTTAAGTAAAAGACTTTGGACAAATTTGATCATTTTGTGCCTACACAACACGTGGGTTTAACCCTGAGGTCGATAAACCGATATTTAGATTCAAGAAGTTCAACAGAAAAACCTTTATTTGGATTTTAACATAGTATAACAGTTCTTATTTTGTACGATCTGTTATTCTAAATTCATCACTAGTTATAATAATTCTAATATATTTAAATTTTTTATTGGAAAATATATTTTTTATGTTAGTTTCAGACAAAAACCTTCCTCAACTTGATTTAAACACAAAATGTCTGAAACCTAGAGGTCAGTTTCAAGGAACTTCATGCCAGAGTTACGTTTCATGCTGGGATGGAGTTGTCATTGAACAAAACTGTCCAGAAGGACTATTATTTAACCCTATAAAACTATATTGCGACTACCCATACAACGTTCAATGCCAAGCAACGTTATCAAGTAACATTCCTGAAACCCCTACATGGACTAATGACTATATTAATAATCCTTTACAACAAAATATTCTTAATGAAGTTACTGGAAATTCGGGACCGATGGTCGAAAGTGGAAATATTGTTAATCAGGGTGTGTCATCTTTAAGTAGATTTTGTCTAAAAGACACTGGACTATTTCCAGGTAGCAGCTGTCAAAAATACGTCAATTGTTGGAATGGAAATGTTGTAGAGCAAGATTGTCCAGGAAATTTACTCTTTAACCCTGTGACTCTAAACTGTGACCATCCCTTTAATGTTAAATGTGATTTAATTTCAAATAATGCTACTGAAAACTTAAATAATAACATTATTCAACAAGTTGAAGAAAACAAACCTATAGATAATGTCTCTCAAACAATATCAAATCCAATTAACCAAAATCTAGCAAATTTACGTAGATTTTGTTTGAAAGAAACAGGGTTGTATCCAGGAAGCTCTTGTAATAAGTTTGTGAATTGCTGGAACGGTAATGCCATAGAACAGGAATGTCCAACAGGGTTGTATTTTTCTAAATCTGGGTTCTGTGACTATCCAGAAAACGTCAATTGTGGACCTGAAAATAATAATAAAGAATTTAAAAATAGTTTGTGTCCAGAGGAGCATGGTATTTACCGAAATGACACTTTTTGTGACAAATATTACGTTTGTGCTTTCGGAAGAGTGGCAACACAGTACCAATGTCCTGAAGGATTCAGTTTTAGCCAGGTAATATATACAGTATGTCCAGAAAAACATATATAAAACTTTTTTTAAAGGATGCAAGGAAGAAATGCTGATACAATATAAATTAAAATTTTTCATGAAACAATTTTTTTTTACAGTTTTATTTGCATTAAATTACTGAAAATGCAGAAAGTACTTCTAATAAAAAATTATTAAAAAAAAATGTGCGTTACCATTACGTAAAAAAATGTGCGTGTTTTCTCAGCTATTAGATTGTAACAAATAGTTTTATACTCGCAAAAATAGTTTTTTTACGCGAAAAAAATAGTTTTTTTTATGTTTTTTATAACTTGCTGATCACTAAATTCAGATATTGATTTGTTTTAATTAATTTAAACTTTCTATATAGAATTTAGGCGTTTGTGACTACTCCTACAGGGTTGATTGTGGCAATACCTCTACTTCAGAAGCTTCAGAATCTGATACAATAGCTGATACATATTTTCAAACTCAAATTCAAGAAAAAGGTATTATTTTTCCAGAATTTTGATTCAATTTTTTCAAATCTTTTATATTTTTACTAGAAAAACACCCAAAATGTACAAAAATCCTTAATGGACTTGTTAGAGATGAAGAAAATTGCTCAATATATTATCTATGTGACTCTGAAAAAGTTGTAGCTACTTACGAATGTCCTGCTGGTACATTATATAGCAATGTATGCCAGAAATATCGTAATTTTAATAATATAACTAAACTTTTATAATTATAGGAGCTGGGAACATGCGATTATGCATACAGGGTGAACTGCAACAAAGGAAATATTAATAAAATTGAGCCATATAAACCTCAACTGTCTTCAGGTAATCTTGATTTTATTTATGTCTTGACAAAATGGTGAAGAAAAAATTTAAAAAATATTTTTAAAAATATTTTAGAGTTGATGTCACAGGTACAAAACTGTGTACCCGGTGCGACAATACCGTTAAATTTTGACTGTTCCAAAGCATGCAGATGTCGAAAAAATGGCGCAGAAATAATTGAGTGTCCTGCAGGATTATTTTATGATTCAAAGTCTAATAAATGCCTTAGTTCTGCCCTGGCAAAATGGTGAATATAAAGCTTTTCTCTTTATCTTTTCTGTTATAAAAAATATATATAAATATACATGATAATAAATATGTTTTTTTTACAGTTAACGATGAATTGAAGACTGAAAAATAGATATTCCAGAAGGTTTTGATAAATTTATAATATATTTTAAGAATAATAAAATAAATTGTAGAATTTTTAAGCAGTTTTTTTTAATAAACCCGTTAATATTGATGTCAAAGTAATATTAAATAAGTTGTAAATAATAGATATTTATTATATAAATATGAGGCGTCAAGTTGCAAAACTCGCCTTATCCATTTAAAAAAAAATGGTTTAATCACATATACAGGGTGGCGCACCTCATTCATCTCGGCTGATTATACGAAAACTAAAAAAACCGGGAAGGAAATGCGCATAATTTAAAATTATTTTCAAATGTACAGGGCGTGTCAGAAGTAAGATCCATACCAAAGTTATATTTTTCCTTATGGCACACCCCGTATTTTATTTGATTACTTTACTTGATTACCACCTTGATTACAATTTTGTGAGCCAGATAGTTTGAAAGAGCATTTAAATCTACTTCGACTTATTTAAAAAAATACATAGTGTTGTATTTGAAATAACGAAGTTTTTATGTATAATAAATATTTAAAATAGAGCAGCAATTTTTGATACCCCTGTATACATTTAAGAAAGGAACACATTTTAATAATAAAGTTTATTTCTCTGGCTTCAAAGTCAACACAAGAATTAACTTTGAAAAGTAATGTACAGGGCGTTGCAAATTTTTTTATTATAACATCTATATTTAAAAATATTTAAATATCTCAAAAACCAAAGCATTTAAACATACTAAACCCTTATAATAAATGCCTTATTTTATGCCCAAGAATCAAAAAATGAAATAAAATACCGGGATGAAAATATATGAAAAAATATAACTTTGGTTTGACACAGTTCTGACACAGCCTGTACATTTGAAAATAATTTTAAATTATGCACATTGTGTCTCTATAAATACCCACAAAAAAATTGTTTCTACATCTTTCCGTTTTCGTAAAATCAACCGAGGCGAATGAGGTGTATTAATAGTAAACCCTGAAAACTACATAGTCCCAAACCAAACATAGTCCCAAACTGCAGCAAAATCCGTCTTATCCATTTACTTTTACTTTTTATTGTCATTAACGTTGCAAATCCCGCATTTTTTCATAGGCTTTTTACACAAGTATAATATTACTGCTAATGTCTTATCGTATCTATTTCAAATCCTTACCCAATTTTAAAAAAAAATAGCATACTTATCTAATAAATCAAGTTAGGATGCAAATATCTTGCTCTAAAATCCGCCTTATCCGAATTATTTTTGTTTTTTCTCTTTAAAAATTACATATTCATTTTTATTTCTAGAAAAACGAGATACAAAACAATGATTCCACTCAATGGACACCCTTTTTTTTGTAAAACAACGCTTCAAACATTTGCTAAAACAGTTTTATTAAAATAAAACGGGTTTTAAGGCCTCATATTATGTACACCATTACAGAAATCTTTCTCAGTCAAAATTAATGTAGTTAGAACGTTTGCCAACAGATAGCAGTATAAGTCTACTTATTTGGGTGTTTTACTGAGTGGCGCTCTTTGGGGTCCTCCCTGGGGCTTTCAAGGTCCCCTGTGGTACCTTCGAGGCATCGCACAGGAATATTTTAAAGGTATTCTTGCCTTTTCACTTTCACTGTGGTCACACCCTGCCCAGTCAGCGTGAACACACACCGATTGTGTATTCCATAGTAACGACATAGGTATTTATTTAAATTAAATGGTATGTCTGCAGCAATTTGCAGGAATATACATACAATGTAGCAGGATAATAAGCAGGTCTTTTAATTTGAATTGTTATTAGTCATTTGAGTGTAGATCTATGAGATGTAAAGAGAAAATATTATAGTACTAGCGTGTACCCGCGACTTCGTTCGCGTCGAATTAATCATTTGTAATGGTGATGATAAAGCAAAGCAAGAATTTCCATTAACAACATTTAAGCAGAATCGTGATTATTCAATGGACATATTTTATGAAACACCCTGTATAAATTTTTAAAAAATCCTAAAATATGTAATACAACAAAATAAAATATACGTGTTTAAGGGTTTTTCCGAAAAACTCACCGGTTTTTAAATAAAAAATATTCTAATATTTGAGGGGTGGTTTCACCCCCTTAGAATTCGAGTTTTGAAAAATCCCTTCTAATCGAACCTCTACACCCTAAAGTCAATCCGTTTTCCAAAAATCAGCTTTTTACGTCAAGCGCTTTAAGCAGGATCGTGATTAATCAATGATTTTTCAAAACACCCTGTATTCATTTTTAAAAAATCTTAAAATATGTAAAAAAAATAAAATATACGTGTTTAAGCATTTTTTCGGAAACTTGACCGTTCTTAAAATAAAAATAATGTAATATTTGAGGGGTGGTTTCACCCCCTTCGAACTGGAATTTCGAAAAGTCCCTTCTTATCGAACCTCTACACCCTAGAATCAACCTGTATGCCAAAATTGAGCTTCTTACGTTGAGTGGTTTGAGCAGGATCGTGATTAATCAGTGAGTCAGTCACTTAAGGATTTTATATATTAGTATTAGTATAGATTTTGTTCTTTTTACTATTATTATATTATTTAAGTTATTTACAGTACATACAGGGTGTGAATCCAATTATCTACAGAAAAATGGAGGTTCAATTTAAAAAAAAAATAAACTTTTATCATAAATTTTTTGTGTGACACCTTGTATACAACAAAATATTTTTAGTATATACCCCTTTATAAACTATGCAACAACTGTATAAAACTTTTTTCATATCTTCGACAACAACGACGATATTGTACTCCATTGCACTAATGGGCCACCCTGTATAAAGCCTCCATCTTTATTTTGCCAGGTGAAAAAATTAGTAAACTTCAGATGATGCACGGTATCAGTGAAAGTGTCATTCGCCTTTGAGACACTTTCACTTTTTTCGGTTTTGTCACCGAAATTCCAGAAATTCAAAACGTCTGGTATGTAATTCCATACACAATTAAGTTTAATCTCAGTTTAAGTTATTTTAAATTAACTTTAAACTGCTTTAAATATAATTAAAACAAATTTCTCTAAAGTAGTAATGTTTTTGAAGATTTTAAACGACTGTTTGTTGTTTTTAGTTTACCTAATTACAATATTTTTCAAGAAAAACTAAGATTTAAACTAATTTACTAAAATATCCTAACTTAATATACTTATATTAATTTTAATTAACATCGATTTTCTCTATATAAATTCTAATCGATTTTTTTGTCTTACTTTTACCTATATTACATATAAATATATGGCTAAAAGTAAGGCAGTAGTTACTAAAATGTCAACATATATTTTACAATAATTATCCAACATTTTTATTGATTAAAAAAAATAGTTTACATAGAAAGTGAAATTGTGATCAAGTTAAACAGGGTTTTACGCAATACGATACGATTATGAACTAATCTATCCATTTTGTTTACTATAAATTACGTTCAAATGAACAAATAATGACATAAAAATTATTATACCTATTAGGTTGCCTTTTGCTAAGTAACCTTTTTACAAAACTTTGACGTGGGTATTTTGTTATTTAATCCTCAAAAAAGTTTTGGTAAAATATGCTCAGTTCATGATATTTCCAATGCATATTCAAGATCATGTTATTGGCAATTTTACACGTTTTTTTTTGTATCTCAAAAACTATTAGAGATAGGTACAGGATAGTGCAATATAAAAATGATGAGATATGAAAATAGTTTCTGAAATTGTAATAATATACCGGGTGTTCTATTTAAAATAACAAAGATGGTGCCATTTTTCAAATGATGCGGCAACATTGTAACGCTGAGATTAATTCATATAGATGGTGCAAATTATCAAAAAATCTATGAACATCTTTATAGATTCTTTAAAGTTAAAGTTCTTTCTAATAACTATGTACTAACCGTATGGTGAATATTATTAAATTAATTATACTCTAACAATGACAAGATATATCAAAACAATTTAACAATAGGCAACAATTTTCTCTTAAATAAACGTTTTAAATGATACACTTTCACAAAACTAGTAAAAGTTATAGTATTTAGTTGACAAAAACGTAGTAGTATTTGAAAACTATAAACAATTTAATTGAGGCCAATCATTCGCTTGCAGACCAACACAAATTGTTGTTTTAATTCACCAAACTGAGATTAAAAAAGTGCCATGAGTAATTCTAACAAGAACAAACCACTTTAATATGGGTATCGTACTTGGGTTGGGCTTTTTTTTGACGTTCCCACAATATAAAAAAATTGTGACTAATAAAAACCAGAATTTCGAAAAAAAATACAAATACAGTAGAAAGAAACAAGTGAAGGTGAATAATCAATCCAGTTTTTTTGACAACCTTGAACGTCAACTTTTAAAGCTTATTTTGGCAAATGTACCTACGTTAATTGTTGATTTTTAGAACTGGTTCCTGAGGAATCTCGAACTTTCAGTTCGTTCGATTTCGTTTGTTGTTTAAAGAAATCGACATAACAGGTAAAAATACGTGAAATTAAAATATGGGCTAGAATAGCAAATTTGTATTACCATAGATTAACTTATTTTTGTTAAATCTAGTCTATGTCCTGTATCCATGAAGGTGGTCAAGCGATCTCTTGAAACAAGAGGGGCGAACAGTACGATAATTCGCTGGTTTTGGGAAATGCTCTCAACACGAACAGCAGAGGCTGAGATAGGTACCAAAACTGTAGTTGTTAAAACAACGCAAGGAACTCCACAAGGTGGAGTGACCTCCCCCCTACTGTGGAGCTTGGTAGTGGATGAACTACTGGAAGAATTAACTCTAGGGGAATACACTGCATAGGGTACGCAGATGACATAGTCATCATTGCACAGGGGAAACATGAAGGCACCCTGTGTGATATTATCCAAAGAGGATTCCGCATCGCTGAGAGATGGTGCAGGACTGTCGGGCTGAGTATTAACTCAGATAAAACCGCAGTAGTGCCATTCACCAGAAAGCGAAGTTTGAAAAACTTGAAAAGAATCCATCTAGATGGAAAGGAAATACTGCCATCACAGGAAGT